GCTAACATGGAACGACGGGCAACTTTTGGGGCAACTTTTGGGGCAACTTTTGGTGGGCCTGACTCGCCTGTCGCTGTCTGTCCAAGTCACGCCTTGTGAACAAGTTTCGAGTACTTAGCAGGGGCTGGGTAGATAGCCACACGCCTCTCGCTTGATGCCTTTTCGGCTGGCATTTGTCTTCCCTGCGCGACTATCACTTCGTGTGCGACAGATGTCTTGCAACGCTCCCCTTTCCGGACGCATGTATCTCGGTCACTACAGCCGCTCGGTGAGTCATGGACTGTCGTGTCAAGAAGGGACCTCGCACATGCGGATAATCAGTGTCACTGACGACATTCGTTTTCCCGTGTGATACAGCGTACGAACAACCCGTGCAATTGTAGCATGTGATGAAGTTCTCGCCGGCTCCGTCGACATTCATACAGTATTCCAACAACTATGGAAATGCAGCCTAATTCCGCCTGACGAGTTGATAAGGCCTGCCAGGGCGTCTTTTTCGCGACTTGGATACGCGGAGCCCGCCAAGAACCATGGGAACATGCATGAATCCTGCATCATCACATATTACTGTGCAGCACGGCCATGCTGCGCGACTTGCAAATTTACTCATGCATGTCGCAAATATATTTTTTGGACGAAAGCCTGACCAGGTTGTGCAAAATTGCCCAAACCCGTATTCGCACCGTCGTATTCATCTGGGGTGCATATTACAATGTCACAGTGTATCCATACTGTTGACGGCCTTCACCCGAGCCTTGCGCGCCTGCTTTTGTAGACTGTGTCATCACTGTCATCGTTACGACGCGAGGTTGTTAAGAAAGAAAGCGATGATGTCAGGCACAGTGTCATGCTGCAGTCTATTAACGCGGGTATAGTCGCCAGGGTTGCATGGAAGGGCCAAATGTCGTTGTCAGCAGAGCTGGCTGCATATCTCGCCGGTGCTGATCCGAGCCCTGCATCCTTCACTACCTCCTCGGCCCAGCACCGCCCAGCCAAACTGGTGTTGCATTACCGAGCCTTACGGCGGCCTGACTCAATGTCAGCCGACATGCTGCAGCTTGTAAGCGGATCATTTTTCTTTTATTCCGCTGCACTGGAGAAGAAAAGAAGAGGAAAGACTTCGACGACTGAATCGATTTGCAGCTTTCGTTGTGTAAGTCGACCAAAGCTCAACATCGGAACTGGGGTGTATACCTACATGGTGGTGTTCACACCACTGGCTGGTCGACCCTCCCCTCTCCTCCCCTGGCAGTTTGCACGATTGCCAGCCCTATTCAGATCGCGCCATGGTGTTGGTGTGTACAGGTAGTCAGTGTGTGTGGTCACAGAAACATGGAAACCCCGGGCTTTTAGACAGGACCCTGTCGCTCGCCCTTTGAGCAACATGCAATGGATCACTCCACAGGGGAGATTTGGGACATACAGGGTAATTTTGACTCGAGTGGAAACAACATCTTGCAATAGGTCGATGAGCCAGATGGCGTCCTCGAACAGTGACAAAGCTACTGCATCGAAAAGAGCCTGCATGCGGGTAGCCGTTTTTAATTTTAATTTCAAAGGCCAAGAAACAACATCAATATCCCTAACCCAAGCGAGATACGGCGCGTGCGGGAAAGCTTTTGCCCATGTGTGATGAGCGGCGCGACGGGTTCATCATGCATGTCGTCGAATCTGGGATTTCGGCGCATTTATCCACCAAGCAAGCCGCATCGTTTCCCGAATTGAGCAATGCGTCCTTTGCTATCTACCGAAAACTACATGACGCTGTATGAATCTTCCCGGACAAACGAGAACCGGCCAACCTCATCTTGGCACCAGGCTCTGCTGCCATACTACCTTACTGGTATGTCGCTCTTTAAATCTTTAAACGGATACTCGCTCTTCTTCTTCTTTTTACCCCCCTCTTGTTCTCATGACGTGGAAACCGATCCAGGTATAAAAATAAAAACGCCGCTCATTGTAATTTTTTTTCCTTTTTCCTGTTCCTCTCAGCACATTCTACAACATCATTGGCCAGCCAGTGGCTTCCGGAGGGAGGGGAACGACGGCGATCATGAGGTCTAGAAAGGTGTGCGGCGCACGTCACATCGTGCTCGAGAAAAGACCAGGGCAAAAGAGCAACCCAGCAACGCAAAGGAAGGAGAGAGGACGCCACTGTCAGGCGAATGCTCCACACGCACCCCCAGCTGCACATCATGGATGATGGGATTGTCTTGAATGCGCCCGCTGCCCTCCCTTGCCTTGTTCCCTCACCAATGACCGCCTGGCGAATGAGAGGAGCAAGCGCGTGAGGGCGTCGTGGCGTGTGGTCCACACCAAAAAGGCGGCCAACCGTGGACGGCGTGATTTACATGGTCATTGTGGCTAACGACATGGATAACAGGATCCTGGAGAAGTTTGAAAGAGGAGTTTTGAGCAACACATGGAGGTATTCGCTGGCGTCTGGATTTCGACAGCCCAGAGCGAATGCCTGCCCGCTTTTAGTGAGATTAATAACACGCACCGACCGGAGAGACAGGCAGCAAGCAGTTCCAGTCCAGCTCAGCTTTGGACGAGCTGGTCAAATTGGGGTGTTCAGCGCAGCGAACAAGTCCTACACAAAAGGCGCAAGGTCTGGAAGCTGAGATGGGACAAGAGAATAAAAAGACCAGATGAACCCCCCCAAGGCAGATTCAGGTATGAGCAGACCAGAAAGAGGCAAAATTCCCGAGTGAAAACGGCACAAGACACATTGACGAGAGCCCGTGACGCCTCGTTATGCAGGGCGCCAGCCAAGCCGGTTCCATGGCGAAAGATTTTGACCGTGTACTAGTTAGCAGGAAGGCGGTCTTCTGCATGTTAGTGTTTTATCAAAAACAAGGAGGGAACGCATCCGAGGCAGTATCATTTGCCCGCGAGGCTCTGCGACCTCCCGATGCACCACCCAGTGCTGTCTCCGGCGAGACGCGTCGGATGAGGGGGTGAGTAACCTTGACATCATTGCGCAGAATCCCCCCCGCTTGTTTTTCTTTCATTATTTATGCGGCTCGGCTTTGCGGATGATGACTGGGTGTTGGCGGCAGAAGGATTCATCAAGTACAAGCGGTGGCGGTATTGCAGCTCTTTCTTCGGCTAAAAAGCTTCGATGAGAGAGACTCAGAACTGCCAGATTCTCTTATTGCTTTTCGCACTGATTTCTTGGCACACGTTTCCATTACTTCTTTTTCTTTACAACTCTGCGCATTAACCTACGGACTTGGCATGAAGGCGGAACTCATGATGACGACCCAGGTCATTCGGAACGATCATAGCTCTCTGCTCTGCCCGTTGCTGCTTGAGGCACCCCTGTAACATGCCAAGCATTATTCCTAGTACCGTGATTCACTCTCAAATTTCTGACCACTTCGAGTACATCCTGCGGCGGCGGTCGGCCCCTGCGAACTGGCTGACAGGGAAGCAATGCGAGATACCTTGTGCAGGTGAGATGTGAGATGTCACTCAATTACTTCAAAGCGTTCTATTATTATGCAACGCTATATCGCAGGAAATCTTGCAGGGTGCGTTTCAAATGTAGTGTGTCAACCGCTGGGCATGCTCCGTGTGCCAGGGTGCTTCTCGTGAAACAACATACATGTTACTTCGCTCCACAGGCGTCATTGGTAAAAAGTCTCCCTCCTCTCGTCCGCCTTATGGAGCCCCCATGAAGGAGAATTATTGCTTCGCATCGAGAGCCGTTGGTCCATTCGGCCGATCAATCCTGGAATGTGAGGAAGCATGCATGCATGGATCAGCCATCTTGGAGATTGCACTATCAAAAGTACCATGCTTTTATGCCGCGGCAGGGTCTTGATGTCGCTATTGTATCGGCTCTCGCGCAGATCCCCTGGGATACCTTGTTACTCGCTGCAACCAGCATTCAACACATCACTCATGGAGTAACCAACCTCCCTTTAGAGAGCGTCGCCGCCACCGCAGCGCCGAATGTACAGGTTAGCAAGTTTCGAGTTACTTCACTTCGGTAATAGCTCCTCGTTAATTAGGCGGTTTTCTCTCAACTTTTATTAATAGACATAATGGGCAAGTTTCGCGATTCTCGTGAGCTTCGCCAAGCAACTCCTATGTTGGACTCATATTTGACATGCACTGCAACTGATACTGAAGGAGGAGCGACAAGACTTCCTTCTCTCGCCAGCCAATCAAAGGTTAGAGACCAAATAAGTGTTTACAGTTTATCTGCAGACAAATATCTGAGGGCTATCCATGATTTAGACAAAACTGCAAAACTGTCGGTAGGTGTGTCAAAGTACAAGGGCCAACCTGGCCAAGTATGAAACGGTGGCTGGCAAGGCTCCGAGCTAAGTTCTTCTTTACATAACTTTATTTCAAGTCTTTAGAGACAGCCTCGTGTATTCCTTCATTAGTAATCTGCTTTCATTGAAAATTGTGCATTTTTTCTGGAAGAGGAGGTGCCCTGAAGCCTGTAAGGCTGATGGGTATCCGAGGTCCTGATTTACAGAACAATGAACTTTACGCATGCCACATAGCATTTCTAGCTCAGAAATTAAAGAGGAGCACTCGAGCAGGTCCAAGTAACACTTCATCTTCTGCATCTTGGAACAGAAATCCAGGATACTGAGGGGAAGAGAAAACACGTGATCCCTCACGTGATCGATCCTCAACCCACTGAGTGAGCCTCTCAGTCAAGCCTCAAGTCAGCCCTCCCAGGATCGAGATAATGTAAAAAGATTCGATGATTTAAAAAAAATTGAATTCTGAACTCAGATCCCTTTAGCCTCTTACAGGCAAGTGCTCTTCCAGTCTGCCCACCTTTTGGCTACTGTTCTGCATGTATGCGTTGGCAATGCGCTAATCGATAAGCCAGTTTACAGCCTTCTGATTCGCCTGCTTGGCGCATCCCAGCAAACTTCACTCGAGAACTCTGCCGCGAGATAACTTCACGAATCTGCCGCCTTGTCGACGAATTCCCTCTTCTGCAAGCCGGTATATTTAACAGACACACAATGACAAGTCTTAAGAGGGCGCATGAGCCCGGGCCGCTGGCCTCCAACATTTCTAGCAAAACATACGTCCGATCCACCCGCAGTGGCAAGGTCCAAAAGATTGTGAGAGAAGTCTATCTCAGAACAGATATCCCCTGCTCGTCGCAGCTGTGTAGGGCCTGCCTGGAATTCGCTCCCCGCACCGCTGCTGGCCAAGGTAAGCTGCTTTTCACTACCATCGGCAACCACGGCGACTCGGCCAGCTAACGACTTGGTAGTTCAACCGTTTGTCCTCTCTGACAAGCCTGCGGGCACCAAGGCCTACCCACGCGGACACTACCTGGTGCCGGACACCAACGCGCTACTAAACGCCATGGATCTGTTTGAGCAGAGCTCTGCCTTTTACGACGTCGTCGTCTTGCAGACCGTGCTGGAGGAGCTCCGCAACCGCTCACTACCGCTGTACAACCGCCTGATATCCCTGACAAAGAGCGAGGAAAAGCGCTTCTATGTCTTCTTCAACGACTTTCGCGTGGAGACGTACGTGCAAAGAGAACCCAACGAGTCGGTCAACGACAGGAACGACCGCGCTGTGCGCCAGGCCGTCAAGTGGTACGGCGAGCACCTCGCGGCGCAGACCAGCAAGGGCTCTGCGCCGGCAGTCTTGATGCTGACCGATGATCGCGATAACATTCGCAAGGCGAAGAAGGAGGGTGTCGAGGCATCCACGCTCAGGGATTACATTGGAACTCTGGCGGATAGCGAAAACCTGCTAGACTTGATTCCGGAGTCACAGAGCCAGGGGCGCGTAGACATCAACAAGGGCTCCCGGCCACTGTACCCCGAATACTTTACAGTGTCACGCATGATGACTGGAGTCAAGGCTGGTCTCATGCACCAGGGCATCTTCAACGTCTCGCCATACAACTATCTCGAAGGCTCCATCAAAGTGCCAGCTTTCGCCAAGCCGCTCATCATCCTGGGGAGGGAAAACATCAACCGAGCTGTCGACGGCGACGTTGTTGTCGTGGAGCTTCTCCCACAGGACCAGTGGAAGCAGCCATCTACGAAGATTGTCGAGGAGGACACGGTGACGAAGAACGAGGATGCCGATGCAGAGCAGCAAGATTTTGTCTCGGATCGTGAGAAGAAGGCGTTGCAGGAGCAAGTCAGGCGAACACACAAGAGCGGCTCAGAGAGCCAACCACAACCCACAGCAAAGGTCATCGGTGTCATCAAGCGCAACTGGAGACAATATGTTGGTCACATTGACCCGTCATCTGCGAGCAAGGGCCCGAGCCAAGGCCGCAAGCTGGACAGCGTCTTCCTCATCCCCATGGACAAGAAGATCCCCAAGATTCGCCTGCGCACGCGACAAGTATCAGAGTTGATGGGAAAGCGACTCTTGGTGACCATTGATGCGTGGGATCGCGATTCAAGATACCCGGTGGGCCACTTTGTACGCTCGCTCGGTGAGCTGGAAACCAAGGCTGCTGAGACCGAGGCGCTGCTTCTCGAGTGGGACGTGCAGTACCGTCCGTTTCCCAAGACTGTGCTTGATTGCCTACCTAAGGAAGGCCATGACTGGCGCGTGCCGGCCAGCACCGATGATCCCGGCTGGCGAGACCGCGAAGACTTGCGCGGTTTGTTGATCTGCAGTATCGACCCCGTCGGCTGCCAGGACATTGACGACGCCCTGCACGCGCGCAAGCTCCCCAACGGCAACTACGAAGTGGGCGTGCACATTGCGGACGTTTCGCACTTTGTCAAGCCCGCCAACGCCATGGACGCCGAGGCCAGCGTGCGCGGTACGACCGTGTACCTTGTCGACAAGCGCATCGACATGCTGCCGCCGCTGCTCGGCACCAATCTGTGCTCGCTCAAGCCGTACGTCGAGCGGTACGCCTTCTCGGTGCTGTGGGAGCTCAACGACAACGCTGACATTGTCAACGTGCGCTTCACCAAGTCGGTCATCAAGTCGCGTGAAGCCTTCAGCTACGAGGCGGCGCAGCTGCGCATCGACGACGCGACGCAGCAGGACGAGCTGACGCAGGGCATGCGCATGCTGCTCGCGCTGTCGCGGCGACTGAAGAAGAAGCGCATGGACGCCGGCGCGCTCAGCCTGTCGTCGCCCGAAGTCAAGGTGCAGGTCGAGTCGGAGACGTCGGACCCGATCGACGTCAAGACCAAGGAGCTGCTAGACACTAACTCGCTCGTCGAGGAGTTCATGCTCTTCGCCAACGTGTCGGTCGCGGCGCGCATCTACGAGGCCTTCCCGCAGACGGCGATCCTGCGACGCCACGCAGCGCCGCCCAAGACCAACTTTGACGAGCTGGCGGCGCAGCTGCGCGCCAAGCGCGGCCTCGAGCTGCGCAGCGACACGAGCCGCGCGCTGGCTGACTCGCTGGACGCGTGCGTCGACCCGGCCGAGCCCTTCTTCAACACGCTGGTGCGCATCATGGCGACGCGCTGCATGATGAGCGCCGAGTACTTTTGCTCCGGCACGCAGGCCGAGCCCGAGTTCCGGCACTACGGCCTCGCCTCGCCCATCTACACGCACTTCACCTCGCCGATCCGGCGCTACGCGGACCTGCTCGCGCACCGGCAGCTCGCGGCGGCCATCGACTACGAGGCGGTGCACCCGGCGGTGCGCAGCCGCGGCCGGCTCGAGGCCGTCTGCCGCAACATCAACGTGCGGCACCGCAACGCGCAGATGGCCGGCCGCGCGTCGGTCGCGTACTACGTCGGGCAGGCGCTCAAGGGCCGCGTCGCCGAGGAGGACGCCTTCGTGATGCGCGTCTTCAGCAACGGCCTGGTCGTCCTGGTCCCGCGCTTCGGCATCGAGGGGCTCATCCGCCTGCGCGACCTCGCCACCCCGGAGCCGGAGAGCGAGTTCGACCCGGAGACGTACACGCTCACCACGACGGGCAGCCGCGAGCTCAAGGTCGAGTTGTTCCAAAAGGTCAGGGTTAGGGTCCGCGACGAGAAGGACGAGAAGACGGGTAAGCGTGGTGTTAAGATGGAGTTGATTAGTGCGTGAGAGGAGGTTGGGAGAGAAACGAAACTCTTTGCATTTAGATTGCGGAAAGCATTTACAGAAGGAAGAAAACGTGGCGTTTCGCATGCTAGACAATAATAGTTAGAAAAAAGCTCATTGTATTCATGACTCTTAGAATAGCTACGTGTGTGCTCGGTCCTTCTTTTTCTTTTTCGGCAAAAGTATCAAAGCACCCCATAAACGCCAAACTCTCTACAAAGAAAGATGATATAAAACCCAAAATGCGACGGAGAGAGAGAAAAATCAAAGGGGCTTTTTCTTCTATGATTCGTGTCATTCCATGAAATGTTTCCTACTGCTCCATGGCATCGCCATCCGCAACGCCGTCGTCACCCCACAGGCCCTCGAGCTTGAACTCGGCCGCCCACTCGGTGACGATCTGCTTCTGGTCCGGCCCGGGCTCATCGTCCCCTGCTGCTGCTGCTGCTGCCGCCGGCGCCTTCTTGGTCTTCTTGGACTTCTTCCCGCCAGCGGTGGCCGCGTCCTCGCTGCTGACGGCGAGGACCGGGGCCTCGACCCAGCCCTGGATGCGGCCGTCGCGCCAGTCGGTGACGACGGTCATGGCGGCGGCGGCCAGGTTGGGCACGCCGCCGCGGCCGAGCCGGCCGCGCTTGCGCGCGACCTGCACGAGAAAGTCGGCCGTGACGTCGCCGTCGACGCGGCTGGGCAGCAGCGCGGGCACGTCGTACAGGTCGGTCAGCTTCTGCAAAAGGACGCCGTCCTGGCTGGCGGCCAGGCGGCGCAGCAGCAGCGAGACGGCGGGGATGGGGTCGTCGATTTGCTTGGGCGGCACGGCGTTGAGCAGCACGAGGTGAGCGTGGGCCTCGGCCGCGCTCTTGACGTTGACCAGGTTACCACCGCCACCAGAAGCGGATGGGAAGACGACGCCGGGCGAGTCGAGCAGGGTCAGCTTGCTGTCAATCTTGACGGAGCGGATGCTCGTGGTCACGCCCGCCTCGGCGCCGGCCGGGCAGGCGGCGCGCGCGGCGACGCCCGGGTTCTTGCCGCTCAGGCGTGCGAGCAGCGCGTTGATGACGGAGCTCTTGCCGACGTTGGGGTAGCCGATGACGCCGACGGAGACGGCGCGCTTGAGGTTGCGGCTCGCCGCGAAGCTCTTGAGCGCGCGGAACAGCGTGGCCGAGGTGGCCTGGGCGGTGAGGTCGCGGTGGTTGAAGGTGTGCGCGTTGGCCGCGGCGCCGGAGGCGCGCAGCGGCAGCGTGGGCAGGTAGCGACGGAGGTGGACGAGCCAGGCGCGCAGCACCTGCGGCGGGACCAGGTCGATCTTGTTGAGGACGAGGATGAGGCGCTTGCCGGTGGCGGCGGCGGCGGCGAGGATGCTGCGCTCGACCTCGCGGGAGCGCGTGCCCTCGGGGTCGCGCGCGTCGATCACGTAGAGCACGACGTCGGCCTCGTCGACGACCTTCTTGAAGACCTTGTCGTACGTCTTGCGCGAGGACGCCTGGCCGACCGAGATCTCGTTGGTCTCCAGCTCCTGGTCCTGGTCATCGTCGGAGTCGTCGTTGATGTTGAAGTCCTCGCATTCCATGTCGTCGTCGGCGAGGTCCTTTTCGTACTTGGCGGCGGCCTTGCGGGCGCTGGCGAGGAGGGCGGCCATGGGGTTGGACTCGTCGCCGTCCTCGTCGTCTTGTTCGTCGTTGTCTTGGTCGTCTTCATCCATGAGGTCGTCGCTGTCGTCGTCGCCGTCGACGTCCCCCATGACCCCCTCATCGGCGCCGGTGCTCGCGGCCTTGACCATCTCCTTGCGGCGCTGGGCCTCCTCCAGCTTCTTCATGCGCTTCTCCTCGACCTCTTGCAGGAGCTTCTCCTTGTAGGGGAACAGGTTGGGGATACCCGGGTCCTTTTTCAGCTTGGAGCGCCATTCCGGGTTCTTCTTGGCCTGCTTGCGATCCTTTCGTGCCTTGGCCGAGGAAGCCTTTTTGATCTTGTAGCGAAGGCGGGCGGTGGCTCGCTTCGAGTTGGGCTCTGGGAAGTGTTAGAGGCTGGGATTCTTTTTGGGAAGAAGTTGGGGCAGTGAAAGTGGACGCACTCTTAGGTTTGTTAATTGAGCCCGCCATTTTGAAAGCAGTCGGGGTTGTTGACTGGAATTGTTCTTGAGAAGACGACTTTGTCAACTTTCTTGACCGGTTGGTGGATGATGGATGGCAGAAAAAAAATTAAGTGGGTTGCACTGATAGGCCAGATTAGGCAAGGTGGGACGCTGCTTTATCAGACTGTGGTTGCTTACAACAGTGCGTGCTACTGCGTTATTCTCAGTATTCTTGGTGAGAAAATGTGAGTGATACCTGTTGTAAATATTTTTCTTCATTAATAGAATGGTGATCTAGTCTTCATTTATCCTTTTTCCCTCCGTTACTGGATAGCTGCCTCCCTCTACCACCGATGGAGATTGCGGCCAGCAGCAGAACCAGCACTGGAAACGGCCCAACTTGGAAGTCTCTAGAGTACGTGATCCTCAGTCAATCAATGGCAGAGAACAACAGATTTTGACCATGAGTGTCGCGAGAAACTCCATAATAGAAAGATTGCCCATATCCTCTGACAGGGTATAGATTTCAGAGGCTTTGGATCTTTTACCTACAGGCGTTCTGCTATGCCTGCGTAAGATGTTCTGGATCTACTCGGACGGACTATTAAGGTTCTGTTAGTACTTGTTGCCAAGAAACCAAAGTAGCCAACTCAGCGACTCCGCCACCGCGATTTATACCATCCAATTTAACGTCTCAATGAGCATCTACCTACTTCCATCTTCAACCGCTCCGGTATCCTTAAGTCAGGCCGGTCCGGCCCCGGTCTACCCCAGCCCCACCCCCGCCGAGACCTCGCATCGGGAGCTATTAGCCAACGGAAACTCAATGCACCCCCGAAGCAAGGCTGCGTTATCGGAGCTGTTGAATCCAAATCCGCGGGCATCTTCACTGTGAGTATCTTTGTATAAGTAGCCGTCCGCCCCCCTGCTTGTATTACGTATTGATCTACTCACTCTACTCTCCGACACATCACATTGTACACTTGTCTACTCCGCACATCGGCCCAACTCACATCGCAGCCTACTTACATGGATAGCTTCCTGAATCAAACATCATTACTACACCACTTGCACGATTTTACTTGCCATCTGTGAAATATGTCGTCCGAGCTTCAAGCCGCTCTCGAGGTCGCCGTTGCGAGCTTCGTCGCTCGCAACCCCAAGTCCAAGGCTCTCCATGAGGAGGCCGTCAAGACGTTCCCCGGCGGCAACACGCGAACCGTGCTTCACACCAGCCCCTTTCCCCTCTGCATGAAGTCTGGCAAGGACTTCCAGGTCGTCTCCGAAGACGGCGACACGTTTGTCTAACCCGCCTTGACCGAGGACTCTGCTTCGTCTCGCTGATGACAAGACAACAAAACCAGATACACGGACTTGACGGCCGAGTTCACGGCGGGCCTGTACGGGCACTCCCACCCGGTCATCCTCGCGGCGCTGGATCACGTCGTCCGCGACGTCGGCCTCAGCGTCGGCGCGACGACGGCGCAGGAGCAGCTCTTCGCGCGCGCCCTGTGCGACCGCTTCGGCCTCGAGCGCGTCCGCCTGGCCAACTCGGGCACCGAGGCCAACCTGCACGCTCTCGCCGCCGCCAAGCTCTTCACCAAGAAGAGCAAGGTGGTGGCGTTTGGCGGCGGCTACCACGGCGCCGTGCTCGGCTTCAAGGACGGCAAGGTCGCGCCCAACAACGTCGACAAGGCCGACTGGATCGTCGCCAAGTACAACGACGTCGAGGGTGCGGTCGAGGCCGTCAAGAGTGAGGGTGTCGCCGCGGTCATCCTGGAGCCCATGCAGGGATCCGGCGGCTGCATCTACGGCACGGCCGAGTTTCTCACTGCCGTGGAGAAGGCTGCGAAAGAGGCAAGTCCGCTTCTGCACCATTCATGCACACCTACAAAGACACGTCACCCTTCTAACATCCAACTAGGCCGGCGTCGTCTTCATCGTCGACGAGGTCATGACCTCGCGCATCTCCGGCGGCGGCCTGGCCGCCGTGCACGGCCTCAAACCCGACATGAAGACCTTTGGCAAGTGGCTCGGCGGCGGCGTCGCCTTCGGTGCCTTTGGCGGCCGCGAGGACATCATGGCCGTCTACGACCCGCGCGTCGCGGGCTCCGCCGCCCACTCCGGCACCTTCAACAACAACACCCTCGTCACCCACTGCGGCCACGCCGGCCTCACCCAGGTGTACACGCCCGCGGTTGCCGATGCCTTCACCAGGACGGGCGACGACCTGCTCGCCCGCCTCAACCAAGTCAGCGAGGGCACCAAGCTCTGCTTCACCGGCACCGGCACCGTCGCGACGAGTCACTTCGTCGCCCACGGACCCCGCGACATCGCCGACGCGCTGGACGTGACGGAGATTGGCGAGCTGAAGGACCTCTTTTGGTTTTATCTGCTGGAGAACGGGTTCTGGGTCACGCGCCGTGGCTTCTACGCTCTGGTTCTCGGGACGCCTCAATCGGAGCTTGATCGGCTCGTTGCTGTCGTCAAGGACTTCCTGACCAAGTATGCAGCCTTGGTCAAGGTGGAAGCGGCATAGGATTATCTAGTGGGCTATTCAGCTTCAAAAATGTTTGACTTCTCTTAGGAACGCAGCCACTCCCTAACATGATGTTTTTATTTGTTTTCAAGCTGGGTGAGCACTTGCAAACGGAACGCTCTGTACCACCAATCACACCCCCCTTGTGAGTGAGGTTGGGCCGTGAAAAAAGCCCATATGCAAGCCGTGTTTCTCCCTCAATAGCCCTGAGATTTCTCCTCCTCCATCTCTCATCTCGGTTACCATTTCATTGATTGTCCTACTGCTGCCTGGTCCTCTGTTTTCTCTGCTTTTGCTACAGATCTTGCAATGGATTGTCATGATGTCTCCGAAGTTGAATACTTTAAGCTTCTGATGGAAAAGGCAAAGGATGCACACCTCAAAGCTCAGAAGGAAGCAGGAAAGAAAGTTGCACCCTACCCCTCTCGGGAAGAGATCTTGGCCGAGTTCCTGCCAACACTCCTTCATCACAGGTTATGGAAGCAAAGCAATCCTCACACAGTTGGGACAACGCAACTCCCGGCTGCCTATCCGCCTTGTGTCAAATCGAGCGACAAGTTGAAGCCAATGTTCATTTCCGACATGACAATGGAGACGCACCATCGCGGCCGCAAGATTCTGCTGCGTGTGTGTACTGGTGTCTACCGCATCAACGGTCTGTTGATGGTCACCGAAGATGAGCAGCGAAACGCGATTCGGTTACAGCTATACCATCAGCCAGATGAGGACCTCATCCCGGCGGAGCAGCTTTTGAAGCAAGGGACGGTTCTGCTTGTCAAGGAGCCATACTTCAAGCGAAGCCTGGACGGTAACTACACTCTTCGAGTAGACCACGTAAGTGATGTCATCTGGCTTGCTAGTGACGATGACCGTGTTCCTGGCAAGTGGAGGCCACGGCTTCTCGAACTTGACAGTGTCAAGGCAAGACTACGCGGCAACGATTTCTTCAAAAAGCACGAGCTTCCAAACGCCTTGGAACAGTGAGTACAAGAAACTCGTCCTCCTCTCCCCACGCCGGTTCAAAGCGCTGACAAAGTCTGCAGATACACTTGGGCAGTCAAGACAGCTGAAGATCCTGTTGATGCTCAGCTGGCGTACGTCAACCGCTCCCTTATCAACTTTCGGCTCGGAAGGCCCGAAATGGCACTCAAGGACGCCATCGCCATGAGTTCCAAGCTTCAGCAGACTGAAAAGGGGGCTTTTCGCGAGGCAACGTGCCTGTACAGCCTGCAAAGGTTTGAAGAATGTTTGTCCAAGTTGCAGAGTCTCCGTGACTTATACCCCAACAACGACGATGTTCGAGTCGAGATACAAAAGGTGACAGCCAGACTGAAGGAATGCAATGACGGCATCTATGACTGGCAAGAGATGCATCGACAGGCCAAGAGCTCACCGCCGCTCATTGACTGTGGCACATTCTCCAAGAATGTCAAGGTTCAAGCTTCGCCTGGAAAGGGACGCGGCCTTTTCACAACCAAGCCAGTCGTCGCCGGTGAGCTGTTGCTCTGCGAAAAGGCCTTCGCCTACAGTTTTGCCGATACGGATGACAAAACAGAGTCTTCCCTGGCCATCCTTCTCAACTTTCAGACCATGACGGCCAAGGCAGGCGGCCAAGCCCAAAACCTGACTCAAATCGTACAAAAGCTGTACCATGCTCCAGAGGCTGCCGCTTCCTTTCTGGACCTGCATTGCGGAGAGTACCCGGCACCACAGCGGGGTCTGACGGTCGATTTCATGCCCGTCGTCGACACGTACGCTTCTCTGCCGCCCCCCTCATCCGAGACTTCTGACTGATTCGAACCATAGTTTTCTCGTCGCCGAGACCATTGCGATGAATTCCTTTTGCGCGCCAAGATCGACACTCGAGCTCTTGAATCCAGCACTGCTGCATGGCGAAAGCATAAGCAATGAAAAGAGAGCGTTTGGAACCAGTGGGATATGGTGTGTGGCTTCGTACATGAACCATTCTTGTGTTGCCAATTGTATCAGGAACTTTATCGGAGACATGATGGTGATTCGTGCCACGGAGGATCTGCCCGCCGGCACTGAGCTCAAGTTCGCCTACCTTGACCTGGACCGGATCGCGTCCTATGGAGAAGCTCAAAAGAAGCTTGCCCATTGGAAATTCTCTTGCGACTGCTACTTGTGCAAGATGCAGAAAAAGACGGTCGATGCGGACAGGAGGCTGCGCAAGGCTCATCTGCGGACCTTGCGGGAGCTCTTGGATAGGCCCGTGCCAATCAACATGAATCAAGCGCGACGGCTTCTGAAGCAGATTGACAAGACGTTCAACAAGTCTGGCCAAAAGAAACTCAAGCTCGAGCTCCAGGAAGGATATCTTCGTCTTGGTCAGGCATTATTCGTCCGAGGCAACTTTGTCGAAGCCACACCGATGCTGCTTCGTGCACTGGAGCTTGGAGATTTCGTTCTTTCCGGTCTCTCATCAAGCGGTCCCCAAGATCTAGCAGTGATTGAGATTCAGAAATGGGGTTCTGAAAGTGCAGTGTCGTGCTGCGCCATTCGAGACCTTTACCGGGTCTGTGTCAAGTCGGCAGTAACCCCTTTGGCGCTTGATCGGTTCAAAAACATGCGGCAGTATGCCATAATTGCGTATTCACTCGTCATTGGAGAGAGCGAGACGTTTGCCAGCATGATGCTGGATGATTGATGGATGGGACTTGGTAATGCCAGAAAAGGCGATGCGGCTCTGAGAGTGCTGGCTGAGAGTGCCTTGCTTGCTTCGAGTGATTGATTTGAGCGTCGCTGGTCTTTGCAGATTGTTTGTTTTAAGCCGTGAACACTTGACAAAAACCATTGGTGTTGATGTAGGTAGATCATTTACGTCTGTTTGTAAGAACTCGCCCGCCTACTCTAACCTCGTTCTATCGTTGTAGTGGTAGGCACGAACACCAACATATTTGGACAAAACAACTGTTCCAGCAGCAGTAGTAAATATCAAAATAATTTCGAAATTTCCTTGGTTCCATAAATGGAACATTTCTATATCCATTAAATTTGCAAAGAAATATGTGTAGCCGCAAACACATCCATCGCACACCAGCAGCACCAGGCAGCCGGCCGGCCCCACATCAACCTCGCAGCCGTCAACTTTTCCACGCCAAACATGTCCAACTACAATCTCGCCACCACTCAACAAGCAACATTTCTCGACCTTTCTTCCTACGGCGACCATCACCAACGAACCCCCTTCCCCCCTTCGAATCGAATCGAGGTCCCCGAATAACCAGACACACACACCCAAACACCTCCCCCCATGGACTACCAGAACCGCGCCGGCTCCAAGTTTGGCGGCGGCGGCGTCGCCTCGCACTCAGCCACCAACGCCGACCGCCGCGAGCGCCTGCGCAAGCTCGCCCTCGAGACCATCGACCTCGACAAGGACCCCTACTTCTTCAAGAACCACGTCGGCACCTTTGAGTGCCGCCTGTGCCTCACCGTCCACCAGAACGACGGCTCCTACCTCGCCCACACCCAGGGCAAGAAGCACCAGACCAACCTCGCCCGCCGCGCCGCCCGCGAGCAGCGTGAAGGCAAAGCTGCAGCCGGAAACGGCGTCGACCCGGTCACCGGCCTGCCGACCGCCGTCGCGGCGGGTCTGGTGCACAGCTCCCGCCGGAACCTGGTCAAGGTCGGCCGCCCGGGGTACAAGGTGACGAAAGTGCGCGACCCGACGTCGCGCCAGCAGGGCCTGCTGTTCCAGCTGCAGTACCCAGAGGTGGCGGCCGCTCCTGGTGACACGGCGGCGAATAGCAGCCCCAAGTGGCAGGTCATGAACGCGTACACGCAGCGCGTCGAGGAGCCGGACCGCAACTTCCAGTACCTCTTGGTCGCCGCGGAGCCGTACGAGACGGTCGGCTTCAAGATCCCGGCCCGCGAGCTGGACCGCCGCGAGGGCAAGCAGTTTTCCTTCTGGGACCCGGACGCCAGGGAGTTTTGGGTCCAGGTGATGTTCATGACGGAGCGCGAGGCGCGCTTCAACGCCGCGCCGGGCTTGACGGCGAGATGAAAAAAGGAGTGAGGAAGCGATACGTTTTTTTCTCTACTTTTTCTGCTGTTGTTCTTTCAAACGATATGGCGAAAACCGGGACACTATACTGGTGTACTTTGGGCAATGGGCTCGGCGTTGGGACTCTGTACAAATAATTAGAAGCATAAATGGCACGCGGCTTGAATCCACAATCATCTTCATTCTGCTTGTTGTTGCTCAATATCGTCACGCCGATTTCAGCGACAGTGAAATCAGACTATGACCAAAATCATATTCATGCACAAACCACTCATGACGGCTTGATTTCTGCTTCTCGCTGACCAATGCTAGGTAGAGACCTGGAAAGCACACAGCGTCCTTTTCGACGCGGCAGCTGATGCAAACAAACGGCATGCACTACTGGACCAAAAAAAGACACTCTTCCACATCTCAGGCAATTCAGGCAACTAGTAGCCCTTTTCTGTTTCACGTTGTTTTCATTCTTGTCCCCCACATGCTGCCGTTTTAAAAAAAAGCGTCTATGTACACGCACATGCGCAGCCTCTATCGAAAGTTGTTATCGAATCGCTTAAAGGTGTAGCCAATGAAAGGCAAGCTCATCTCAGGCGACTCCTCGACCTGGCGGTTACCGTTCTGCTGCAAAGCCTGCGCCTTGAGGACGGTAGCGTTGTCGGTCTGGTCAATCTCGTCGGTAGGGAAGTAGGTGGTGTCAATGTTGGAGGTGAGGCGAGGCTCAAACGGCGCACGAATGCGACGAAGGCCATCAAAGTCAACGCCACGGAAGAAGGCGTGGTTCTTGAGCTCGTGAGCACCACCACGACCCAGGCGGTTCTCCGTGTTACAAACCATGCTATCAAATGTTAGCTTGTGCTTCATCACAGACCCAGCTAGCTAGCATATAACATACCTTCGGATGAGATTCTCCGCCTCAACACCGAGGGTGATGTCGTCGGGGAAGTACAGGGTCTGTCTCCAGTTGACAATCTTGCGGTAGGTATCGTGGCTATCCTCGGCGCAGAATGGAGGCCAGCCGACCAGACACTCAAACATGATGGTTCCCAGCGACCACCAATCGCAGTCGAATGTGTAGCCGTGCCCCGTGAAAATCTCGGGAGCAATGTAGTCAGGGGTGCCGACGGTAGAATAGGCCATCAGACGTCGCGATCGTCTCCAGTCGTTGATCTGGGAACGGTTGCTGACTGTCAGGTTAATCTGGTCAATGGCAACCGAGTTGCGGTCTCTGGGCTTGTTTGAGCGCCCTTGCAGCAGCTGCTGGTAGTAGTTGTTGTCATGCAGGCGGTGGAAGCCGGTGGACAGACCGAAATCAGTCAGCTTAACGTGGCCGCCACGGTCCAGCAAAATGTTGTCCGGCTTGATATCACTAAGCTTTGTTAGCGGGGATTCACACAGTGAAGGAAGGTCAAGCCTAGAGCATTCGAACGCACCGATGGATGAAACCAAGTTTATGAACAGCCTCAATAGCGAGGACAATCTCGGCAATGTAGAATCGAGTAATGTCCTCGGAAAAGATTTCATACTTGATGAGCATGGTCATCAAGTCGCCACCAGGCAAAAATTCCATAAGCATGTACAAAAAGTACGTATCCTGGAACGTGGTATAGAGCTTGACAACCCAGGGACTGTCAGACTCGGCAAGAATATCACGTTCTGAACGCACGTGGGCAAGCTGGTCCTTCTTGAACATTTCCGTCTTTATCAGAGACTTCATGGCGTACACCTTGCCGTCGCCCTTCTTCTGCACCAGCTTGACCTCACCAAAGGCTCCCTTGCCAATGATCTTGACGGTGGTGTAGTTTTCGGGCTTATCCTTAGTGCGCAGAAAACGCAGATACTGCCCTTCTTTGCGGCCTGCGGTCGACCAGAGCTGCTCTTTCCTGGCCTCATTCTGGGCAGGATCCCGAAACTTCTGCTCCAGCTCGCTCTGTCTGTGAGGGGTGAGGGGGTATGATAGTCAGCTTGACAGCCCAGTCTTGTAGCCTGCATGGTTCGGGGAGCCTACCTTTGGTTGCGCTCGCGGGCCCTCTTAACGCTATCCTTAAAAAAGTCGGCGGCAAGCTGCGAGCACTTCTTCTGATTGCTGTTGGCATTGCTGCCGTACTTGTCGGGGTTTCTCTCCGGTGTAGGCTGGAACTCGGCGGGCGCAGCACCGCCCTGCGTGGGCAGCGGGACGCTGGAGTAGTTGCTGTAGGCGGGCTGGGAGCTGCCACCGGCGGTCCGGGGACGCTGGGCTTGGGCACCAGCGCGCGGCGCATAGGGGGCCTGGCGAGCGGCGCCGCCTAGGTTCTGGTGGGAGAACTGGTGGGCGAGACCGGTGTTGGGGTCGCTTCCAGGCGTGTTGGAGCGAGGCTGCTGGTACTGGGCACCACCGGGAGCGGGCACGTTGTTGTACTCGTAGCCGGCGGGCGGGACAGAATACTGAGGCTGTTGCGGCAGAGGGGGCTGCTGCTGGTACTGGCCCTGGGCAAAGTAACCCTGGGGAGCGTATCCGGCAGCACCATAGGCAGCCTGTTGCTGCATCGTCGCGGGTTGCTGACCTGCGGCGTTTGGGGGGAAGACGGGCTGCGGGAAAGTCGAGGGCGTCGTGGGGTATGTGCGATCGTTGGGCATGGGCAACCTCTCGTTGCCAAAGTTGAGGTGCAGGCGGTTGTTATTATTGTTGTTGGGGTCCATTTCGGCTGGCCGTTTAGCTGTTGTTATGCCGTATCGATACGGAGCCAAGGAATTCTGCAGCGGCTGAGAAGGAGCACGAGCAGTGGCAGCACCGGGAAAGCTTCGTGTTAGAGGACAGCTCGAGATGCAACCCAAGATTTGAGATTCGAAACGCGGGGCCCAAAGGGGGGGAAGGAGGGGGGTGAGGAATGGACGGGATGGCGCCGGAACAAGACCAAGACCCAAACAAAAAAGCTAACAAAAAGCTGCCGCGTGTAAACTGGGGCAAGACAGATTGTGCAGGAACAGGGCCGTGCAGTCGAGTCGATGGGGAAAAGGAGAAGACGGAAAGGAGATGCAGCAAGTCGTTGGCGGTTTATCCAGTCCCCAGTCCACAAGGAAAGGCGAGAGAGAGTCTGGCCTGATCTGATGGCGGTCAGTTCAGGGGAGGGTCAGGCTAGGCGGGGCAGGCCCAGCAGAGGACTTCTCTGCTTGCAGGCGGGAGGCTTGTTGGTAGGGTCGCTTTTCGGCCAGTGGCTCGCTGTTACGAGGATATGTAGCGACGGTGGTGACCTGAGACGATAAACATTGTCTTGGCTCTCGAGTTGTGGCGTCCAATTGCAATATTGCGGGAGGCTTGTCTTGATGTTTGTGTTGCTTCAGGTAGGCACCAACTAACGACTCAAGATTGTACTAGTAAACAGGTAACCATGCATGTAGCAGATGGTGCCTACGAGCTATCGCCAGAGGCAATCTCAGATATCGACACCTCAATGGCTGTAAAAGATAATTAAAAGCACATGAAACTGAATGAGATATTCAAAAAAAGAAAGAAAAAAGAAAAAACTGCAACTCATTGCTCCAAAAACACCAAGGGTCGCCCAACACAACAAGGTCATCTCGTGGCACCCATTCCTATCATACGCCTTGTTCTCCCCAGAAGTACATAATATACAACAACAGCAAGAGAACATCCCATTCATAAAAAAATACAAAACACAATACAGAGTAGACACCTAATATAAGCAGCACCAGATTGTTCCATCCTTGGCTCATCTGTGCAACAAAGTGTGCCCCCGGCTCTACACTGTAAGTCGGCTAAACCATGGTAGTTTTCCATCAGCTTATCGATCGAAATCCGTCCTTATCGTAGCTTTTTTTTGGTCACTCACCCTTCCTCCCGAAGTCGCCCCCCCGAATCAACCTCTTTACCGAACCGACAAACTCCGCCCTCAACTACACAAGCGAGATGGCGGACCAAGGTACGAAACCACCGGCGGCCGTCCCCGTCGCCGCCGCCGCCGCGCCGTCACCAGCGGTCCCCCTCAAGCCCGAGGGCAACCCAGCCCTGCGCATGATGGGCCTGCCGAACCTCCCCAAACGCCTGCCCTCGCGCAACTGGCTCATCTTCTGGGCGCTGTGCGGCACGATCTCCGGCGCCATCATCTACGACCGGCGCGAGAAGACGCGCGCGACCGAGCGGTGGCGGCGCGCCGTCGCACCCCTCGCCACCGAGCCCATCGGCGCCGCCAACCAGCTGCCCCGGCGGCTGACCGTGTACATCGCCGCGCCCCCCGGCGACGGCCTGCGTGCCGCCCAGGACCACTTCATCGAGTACGCCAAGCCCGTGCTCGCCGCCGCCGGCGTCGACTGGGAGTTCGTCCAGGGCCGCCAGCAGGGCGACGTGCGCGCCGCCGTCGCCGAAAGGGTGAGGCGGGCGCGCCGTGCCGTGGAGCGGCCTGGGGAGACGCTCCCCGCGACGGGCGAGAGCGTCGTCGAGGACCTGCGCACGAGGCTGGAGCTGCCCCGCTACCTTGGCGTCCACGGTGACGTCGTCTTCGGCAGGCACGCGTGGAAGGAGTACGTCCGCGGCCTGCACGAGGGCTGGCTAGGACCCCTGGACCCGCCACCGGCGCCGGTCGTGGAAGCCCCTGAGCCTGCTGCTGCTGCCAACACGACGACGACGACGACGCCCGCTGCCGATACGGGTGTTGGCGGCGACGCGGCCGCCAAGCCCGAGGAGGATAACAAGAAAAAGGACGAAAAGCCCAAGCGCCCGCCTCAGCCCGTCCCCTACAACAAGCCCGAGGACTACGAGGCCGCCACCCTCCCGAGCACCATCCCCGATCAGCTCCAGCCCTCCACCGCCATCCCCTTCCCGCACCGCCTCGGCTTCCGGCACACCTTTGTGCGCCTCGGGTGGTTCCTGAACCGCCGCGCCCTCGCCGACGACATCGGCCGCGAGGTCGCCGCCGTGTGCTTCGCCGCCTCGCGCGACTACGCACCCCGCGACGCCGACGGCGCCGCCGAGCAGCAGCGCCTACTGGATCACGAGGAGCGCAACTGGCAAAAGTCCGTCTGGGCGCCGGACGTGCCGCCCAAGCCGGAGGACGACACCCGCACGCCCGAGGAGAAGGCGCGACCGCCGAAGGAGAGGATCTGGGCGAGCCCGCTGTTGCTTGACGAGCGCGTGGCGCAGCGCATGCGCCGCTTCGAGATCGAGCCGGAGCGCGAGGCCGCGGCGCGCGCCATCGTGGTGCCCGAGGAGGCCGTTGAGGGCTTCATCAAGGGCAGCCTGCGTGGGCTGTGGCGCTGGGGCGTCCGCAGCTGGACGGACCAGCCCATGCGGCCCAACGTGGGTAACGTGGACGACGAGTAGAGAAGAAACCGGTGGCCCTGGGATGGGGGAAGACCTGTCCTCTGTTGTACGATTACCAAGCCTCGCCTCTTTATTGACGGGGAAGTTCGTTGGGAATAATCTTTTCTGTGTATATTAATCACCACCATTATACTCTCCATGTGTATCCGTACTCGGTTTAGATAAAAAAAGAGCGCATTTATGACTTCATAACAATGACGCGGGTAAATGTTGATACAGTAATGATAAAAGACCTAACACTTCCAAACGGTATATAATAGTAGAAAAGACAAAACGCCGCTTTCGCCAGTTGTCCAGCATCATTCGTCGCTGTCCGAGCCATAATCAACCAACGCCAGCGTCGCCTTTTTCGTAGTGCCAGGCTCTTCCTTCTTCTCCATCTTCTTCTTCGGTTGCTTCTCCTTCTCCTCCTCGTCCTTCTTCTTCTCACCCGTTTTCCTCCCCTCCTCTCCTACGCTCACCTTTTTCCTCACCAACCCACCTGCAACATCATCCTTCTCCTTCCACTTCCTCTTCCTCGTCCCCCACTCCTCCTCATCCTCCTCCTCGTCCCCCTTCGCCACCACCACCTCCTTCCTCGCCGCGCGCCGAAATGCCTCCAGCCCGGCCTCCGTCTCCCTTCGCACGCTCTCCTCCTCGCGTCGCCGCCGCGCCGCCACCTCGTCCAGGAACGCCACCTCGTCGTCGTCCAGCGCCCGGAACTGGTTCGTCAGCCGCGCCGCCTCCGCCGCCGCCGCCTCCTTCGCCGCCTTGTTGGCCTGCAGCGTGTCGTACAGGCTGCGCTCCCCAGAGCCCTCCCCGGCGGTCGCCGCTCGCGCCCGCGCCTCTTCGCGTCGCCGGCGGTCCGCCTCCAGCTGCTGCTGCACCCTCTCCCACTCGGCCGCCTTGCTGCCGCCGAGCGCGTCAGACGTGGAGGGGGCGGACGCCGGCGCGGTCGCCGGCGCAGCGGGAGGGTGGCTCGCGCTGGCCTCCGTCTCGCCGGCGGCAATGGTTCCGCCGGAGACGAACCGGCCAGTCATGGTTGTAGGGCGTGGTTCTCCCAGGCCAATCTGTTTCTTCGTGTGCTTGGCGAGCTCGGTGCCCTTTTTTGGCGGCAATGTTCAATGCAAGTCGAGAGGCATCGGACAGTGAATTGGAGAATGATCAACGTTGAATTGTCATGGAATCGCTGAAACCAAGTTAATCGTTTGACAGACTTGACGTTGCATTGCTTGCCCCACTATTTAGCCGACGCACCTAATTATACACTACAGACAGTATTGGAGCACCAACAACTGAGGGCACACAAGCATCACTTGTAAGGAGTTGGCATAGAGTTGGCATGAGAAATATTGGTAATTGTATTGTCTGGTCTGAGAAAAGTGTGCGAGGCATTTCCAGGGTCCAACAGGTGTAAAAAGTGCAACTCCATTGTGTATGCAACAGCGATCTAATATAATGATAAACACTTTTGAGCTTCACGACCCCGGCAGGACAAAGCCAGTGTCCATGGTATCGCATGCCGCGTTTTTTTTTTGAAAGAAAGTTGTCAGCTGCAGCCTCAGCTAGCAGCCATCGATAAGTCCTCATTAAACTGAAACAATCCATCAAATCCTCCCTCTACTAATGCTTGCCCTTGGCCAGGCTTTCTAAAAAAAATCGTAACAAGAAAAAAACCGCTCTCAAACAAGGATACGCCAAGAGTACTAAAATACTCTGCCAACGTACCGTGCCAAGAATTGAGATGCAAAACCAACAATAACAAAACAAGCCGACTCAGCAGTCGCCATATACCCGCTGAAAGCAATGCATAAAGTCTCGTGATATCCTAAGCCTTTTTTTGTTGACAGCAAATGCCGCCTATGAAACCCAGCTCAGAGGTGTGAAATATGTACCCATGCCATTAGATTCAGCATCTTGCTTCGCCATAGCGTCGACAGGAATCTGTCGCAGCTGCGAGCAAAATGCGCATGATCATGAGCATGTAAGCACAGTGCTATGCCGGTCGCGATGGAAGCTTTGTTGATGACTCCTGAAAAAAATTCGAAAGCCCCAAATGATCAAGACGCCAATCCAATCCGTAAAGCACAGTGTGAAGAATCCGAAAAAGAAAAAAAACGTAATGCAAACCCACAGCGACAGATCCTTTACAAAAAGATCCATCAAGAAAAAAGGTGTGCGAAAAAAGTATGTTGAGCCAAATCTATCGCCAATGTCGAGGCCCATGCAAAAGAAGAACCGTGATGCCGAAGTGCGCCGATAATTCCATTATGAACGAATAGCGTGAAAACAAGAAGCGCCAGGGATGTGTGAGGCGTCCAAGACTGGAACCTGCTGGATCTGGAGCTGCGCGAGGCAAATTGCGACAACCAGCTCCCCCGACGTTATGAAAAGAAAAACCGAAATAAATGCTCCTTAAAAAGTCTTGCGAGAAGAACCGTTCACTTTGTTCCGTGGTTGGGGTATCTGAAGAAGAAAATGTTGTCCTCGCAAGAGCGTGTAGAAATCGTAGTCGTAAAAAACAAAAGGCCAAACCCCTTTTATACCGTAGAACCGAATAAAGAATGAATAAATGGTCGAAACGAGTGACAAAGTCTGCGTGGATTGTTGACAAAAGAAACCACGGAAGCTGGTCTTAACCCATGACGGGTTGACCATAGCCAGGAGCTGCAAAGTAGGATGCGGGCTTCATGGATCCAGCGCAGCCAGTGCAGCTGCAGTCACCAATGCCATGCTCCCAGCCATTGTGGTGGTAAGGATACGCGGAATAGGGTGCTTGACGGCTCGCATAGTACTGGCTAGCTGGGGCAGGCTGAGGGTATCGGTTGGCATACTGGCTGGCAGCATTTGCGAACCATTCGTTGTAGCGCGCGTTGCTCGAAGTAGCCGACATGCCATAGTCTGGAGTGCCGTAGCCCGAGTCTGGGGGTGTGAGAGGGGCACTCCAGGGGTTGCTCTGCCAGATGGGGTCGCGGCTTTGGTAGTGCTGCTGAGCCTTGAGAGCCTGGTAGCGCTCGTACTCGGCGGCTTGAGCTTGGAGGTAGCGTGAGTTGGGCGAATGACGGGAGTTGTAGCGTGCGACCTCGGTGTCAATGGCAGGGACCTGAGAGGCGAGTCTCTCACGAGAAGCCTGGGCAGCTTGACGCTTCTTCATCTCCTGGTAATCACGCCAGCTGTCAAGCCACGCTTGATAGTCCTTGCTAAGGTCGAGATTAACATAAAGGCGCCAATGCATGGCTTGCACCCAGTCGTACTCGAGGGAATTGAGCTCGGCAACGGAAATACCGCTGACTTCGGACCAAGAACGATTTTGGAAAGTGTTGTCATCGAGAAACTTGCTTCCAAGAAGAAGGGAAACCGTGAGATAGCGCCAAACCTGGCCTTCTGATGCCTTGTACGTGCCTCCCTGTCCTTTCATGGCGTTGATTCGCTTAGCAAGATAGTTCATGCCAAGAAGAATAGTCGTGCTGGGCAGTCTCGTCGATGTGAGAATCTGCGTGACAAACTTGCGGAAGGGCGATGAGACAGTAGCGTCGGGGGTAACCAAACGGGTTGCCATCTCCGCAACGTACTCAGCCATCATATCGACCTCATAGTCGAGGACGGCACACACGCCTCCGGGCATGATGAGTGGCGAAGGATGATCCGACGAAGATCAAAGGACCTTTGTCGGAGAATTAACTCTAGTACAGAGACGCAGCAGCGCAAGAATTCACGGCCGACAGTTTGCGTGTCTCGGCACCTGGCGAGTTGAGTCGTTGCTGACGAAGGAAGGAGGAGAAAAATCTGACGGGTCTAGCAAGACAGCCCAGCCATCAATGATTCCAAAGCTGGTGCAGGTCTAGGCGATGAAGGCGGGTCGTTTCAGCGGTCAATTGTTGACGTATGTCGAGTCAACGGTTTCGCATGAATATGAGTATAGACAGCCGACGACGAGTTTTTGACACCAAAGAATCAGACTCGTAAGAAACAAGGGTGAAATGATGAGGTGAGACTCAAGCACTGCAAAAAATAGTTAGTTCCACACCCAAAGAAATAACGTCGTAGAAGCCGCTCGCTTGTTGTTCCAGCCACAGGGAATCCACCGAAACTCGTGTTAGGTCGAACAGGCCACAACTACTGCAACGACCAAAAAGACAATCAGGTGATTGGTTGAGATCTCGGTGATGAGGGGATTTTGGAGCGATAAAGCGTGCAGCCAAACAAAAAGGGCATATTTGTCGATGGTTGGAGCGTGTCGGAGTTCATGATAGGCAAACAATCAAAACAGTGGCAGGTTCGGCTTCCCTCAACAGCGGCGAGCATGCAACCCACGAGTCGCAAGTGGTTAAAAAAGAACTGACCTCTGGTAAAAAAGAATGCCGTAAGAGGAGGTTCGTTTCGTTATTTAACGCAAGGGTAAGGTCGAGAGGTGAAAGGGTGGTTGTCTGGGAAGACGAGCGTCCGCAAACACGGAATCGAAGATACAACGGCGAAAAAAACGGGCGTTCCAGCAGCAACAAAACGCTAGAAGCACAGGACGGATGCTCAGACGAAAAAGATGCCGGAATTCAAGGCCAACGAACGATGACAAGTTCGTGACTGTGTATTGTCGAGTGTGAATCCGGCGGCTCTCGATACGTCGTGAGGAAGAGTAGAGGGGGAGGAGGAAGGGTGGTTGAAGGATGAAAAGAAGGGCAAGACGAGAGGTGTGGGAGCATCAGGTAGGATAGCATGGCTCGGGATCATGTACTGTTAGTCTCCATGGTGCTGGGCTGGTGTGGGAGGCAACGGGCGGCACAGCCGGCCAGTTCTGGAGCAAGCAACGGGCAGGGCAGGGACAGGAGAACAAGATGGCACGACGACCAAGCAGGCCTTGGTACCAAGTACAGTGCCAGTGCCAGTTGCTGGGGCCAGCCTCCCCTCCCACCCGCTCACACTACACCAGCGAGCCAGTGATGAGCGAGGCCTGGTTGGGGCGATAAAAAAAAAAAACTCGCCCAAAAATCAGTCCAGTGCTTCCATACCAAACACTGGGCCGCCTTTTTTTTTTTTTTCCTTCTTCTCTCTTCTTGCGACCTTTCCCGTTTTGTCAAACCCAGTCTCGGCTGAGCGAGGTGGCTACCGTCTGCCAACACAGTGTAAATCAACAGTACAGGCACGCAGTACATTTGCGGGCATGGTCGGCAGAATGGAGTTGTACATTACACAGCCAGCGCATTCGGTGGAGATTTCAAGTTCCCGAAGTGCGGCAGGAGGTAAAACGTGGCTGGCACAAAGTAGCCAAGCAGGTGGGTGGGAGTCACTGCACAGTGCACAGTACACATGTGGGGCTGTTCTGGTATTACCTGATTTACCAAACCCTGTTGAGCCAGCGCTTCCCCTTCCCCCCGGCAGGCCAATTTTCGTGACTTTTTGCAGTACCAGCACCGCAGAAACAGGATAGGGGGCAGGCTCCACCCAACGGGGGGCTCCAGTTGTTGTGGCATTGGACCAGCTCTGGCCAGTGAATGATGCCTCCAGAGCCAGGTACCAGTACAGATATTCGCTGCGGTAGAAGAAAAAAACCGCAGAGGGTCCTTGCTCGTACACGGTACTGGACCGGACAGTCGCCTGCGATCACTCTCCTCCCCTCCCCGACAAACCCTGCAAAAAGTGCCACCGCGGCTGCACCAGTTCCCCTGTTGACCAGTCAGCTCTGCTTCCAAGCCCGCTAGCGCATCAGGCTACAGCGGCCAAAGTGCAGAGAAAAACGTCACCTGCGTCGTGACATGGACGCCGCTAGTGGAACCCGAGGCCAGTCTGCCTGTGACTGGACGAGGCGGTATTGGGAACGGTGTCTACGTTGTCATAAGTGTACAGTACCAGCACGTATCCGTCCTGTAATAATAACTATCGTTGTCGACTTGTTGACGGACGGAAGAAGCTATACTCGATCCAGTCGCAATATTAAGGGCCAGCGACGAGCACAATGCGACCCCAACAACAGGACTCTGTTACGGGTTGCCTACATCTCTGTTGTACTTGTACATACATACGTCCTATGTACCTTATCCGTATTTGCCGTACTAAATAACAGAGTACACTGGTCCAACGGTCTTGTTATTTTTTGCCTCCGTCTCAGCTTCTAAAAAACGCCGTTGACTCATCGCCACAGTGGAATGCACTCATTGAACTAGGTCATCCGTCATGCAGGCAGGCGACTCCCAGCAAGTCTTGCTCCTTTCGACCAAAGCCGGCGTCACTCGCGTCTCAGTTTTGCTACGGTGCGCAGACAGTGAGAAGCAGCCTGTCACAATGCCATGCCAACCCCTTGTGCTGCTGCTGATGATTATAATAATAACAATAATACTGGAAAGTAGGGTAGGTGTGGAAACTTGACGGAGCCAAAACTCGTAATAATACACACCAGCAAATCAGTCAATATTGGATGGGCTGGGCGGGCCGGACAGGCACTGGCCTGAAATGAGTCTGATGTAGGGCATGTACTGGACACGCCAGCAAAATCGCTCGATGAGAGAGGTATCTGCATATGCCAGGAATTGTAATTCGGTCATCGGGCTGGCATTGCAACACAGCGGCAGGTCCATGCCATCAGAGCTAAGCTAAGTTATGGGTTGTACATGCATTATGACCAAGTACTAAGGACGAAGCAGCCGTTAATAAGCGGATAGACCAAGGACTCGCTGCCAGTTGTGTTGCTTGTCGACCCTGTTTACTAGTTATCTGAGGATTGTATCGGTACATTCAGAAGCATGAGACAAAGAGTAAAAGGAGGGAGGGTCATGCCAGATATCACCATTCATTCGATAGATAATACGGGCCGGCTGTAATAAGCGGCTGGCAAGTGGTTCCTCCTGCCTGATGCGCAGACAGGCAGGTACTTGCACACCCACGCTGGTTGCCTGGCGGCTCAAGTATACCTCCCACCTTCGTCAAACCTGCCTACTCTGCCTCAAACACCGACTCAGACGCGCCGCACATTCCACCACTTTGCCCACCCATGATTACCAGTATGATATTCATCATCATCCATCATCATCCATCATCATCATCTCGCCTCCTCTCTTCCTCAGGCTAACAGCCATGGAAAGCAGCTACCTCTCAAACCTGACTGCTACTGCTGCTGCTGCTGCTGCTAGAGCCCGCTTCTCAACTGAAAGGAAAAAATGTGACACCCAGCAGACCATCATGAGGTGGACACGGCCCAACCAAGCATTGTGCAAGGTGGCCAATCAACACTCGCCTATTCCAACGCGACGGACAGCTCCAGCATCAATAACCAGCCCGCGACTTGCACAGAATACCGACCGCCAAGTCCTGCCATGCCGTGCCTGTGCTTCGACACGGAAGGCGAGTGGCCCTGGGTGGGAAATAGAATGTACCGTGTACATACTCGCCCGGCCCTCCGGGCGTCGGTACCACTACGCATGGCACGCTGTCAGACTCCTGTCCCAACCCAGCAGGAGAGCAATAACTAGCTAGTGAGGGTTCTCGAACGCCGTCGAGAAAATCCTGCCACCAGCCCACCACCCTGGAATGAGTCTGCCCACCACCATGCGGACACCACGCGGTGGCTTTCGCAGACTCCCTGGCCTGCATGGGCGGCCCCTCGTCCAGCCATCCACAAACAACAGAAGCAAGCCTGAGTCCTCCAGTCAGCCATTCACGAGGGCATCAAAGGACTAGTAGCCCCAGATGCAGTGCGAAGGGCCCACCGTGAAGAGACTGACAGCGAGCCACCAGCAGGGTTCTGATGCTTTCGCCTTGCCGGCCTCTTCCATGTTGCTCTCCCCCACGCTATCTCTCTGCAAGCCAGCGTCATCATGCGGACCCTCGAGGCTAACAAAAATTAAAAATAAAATTTCCCCTCGCCACTGGGTCATTATTAGTTACAACGCACACTAACTAGTTATTTGCGACGACAAGTGAGTGCGTGGCAGTGCTCGCAGTGCCTGGGGCAATTTTTACACCTGCTGTCGTGGTTGGTGTACCCCAAATCATGCGAGTCCCCCGGAATTGATGCGGTCGCAAACCCGAACTGCACAAACCCAAACACATCAAGAGCCTCCAGGCACAGGCGTGCTCCTCAGGGGGATGGGACACGGAGCCATTTCGGATGCCAACGGGGCAATTATGCACGCTTATTTGTCTGTTGTTCCACGGACAAAGAGGCGGACTTACGAATAACTACAAGCTGTGCTACGTTCAAGTCGCGAAGTGTCGTCAATCCGATTTTTCTCTTTCCAAGTTTGGTTCAGTCTCATTCGCCTTGGCCTCGGGCTTCTCTACGGCAGCCTTGACCGCCTCGAAGAACAGCCATGAATACGCTAACAAGTACAACCGAGTGCCACTTACCATTCCTGAATCCATAGCCGCCCCTGAGAACCAACCTGAGAACAGGACTGCTGAGTGCAGGGGAACATGCACTAACATCCGAGTCCTTCTTTCTCTCCGTGGAGACTCAACCTTTACCTAGCGCTTGATCAGGACCCACACGAGAACCGTGACCGCATTTTGGGGTGCCACATCGTGGGTGTGGGCAGCAAAGACAACGGATGCAGTGCCACTCTCCAACCTGCCCTTTTTACCTCTCCTCCGCTCGTCGAGAATTGGTTAGGTTGACCTGCATGAGAGATGGGGACACATCCGTCGAGCTAACTGGGCCGCGAATTCCTCCTCCTCTCCTCGCCGCAACAGAAGCGCCGTAACACCTTCAGAAATGCCTCAGGTCCGGTCCACCGCTCGGCATCAGGAACCATGAACCAGTCGACCAATTAGTGTTGTATGCGGGTGCAGCTCCCTTGTGCCATCTTCCCACAGCGAAGTGTCTAGCGCCGGAAGAATAGTGGAAGAATGATCATTCCCAAGATGCAAAGGCAGTGCTCGGTCTCGGCACGTTTTGCGAAACCACCAGTATTCTGCTCGCAGCTAACTATTCGGCTGGTTCGTGTCGCAAAGTGCCAGTTGCCCAATATACACGGCCCACGCCTATCTAACTGTCGCGCAATTTGAGCCATGACATTAAAAACGGCATCGTCCAGTGTGTGCTAACCTACCAAATCCACCTGCATGGTACCATGTATGTGAGTTCCATAATCATACAAAGGATTATACGGCTCCGAGGCGGCATGGAGCGGCAATGACAGCTCACCATCACGGCATAGCGCAAAACATTATTTTAAATCCATGACGGCAGAAGACTGGAACCACGGCCAGTATCAAGAAAAAACGTAGTAAGTGAGTGGTCTGTGTGACCTGGCTCACCAAAGCCACACGCATTTGACTACATGAATAAGTTTGGTCGTTAGTACATCGGTACATCGAAAAAGGACCCTGCTGCCTCTGCACCGCATATACCGATCGACAATAGTTACAAGGACATGCTCGAGGTTTTTTAGCGTCGGGGGTGATGAAGGTTCAGAAAGCCTCACTTGCGTAAACTAACGTTATGAGAAGGGCTTCAACGAAACGCCACAGTGGAGGTGGCGCCAATTGTCTCTCCCTGCTTGGTAGGGTACTCGGTACGGATACTTGCGGTCGCTTTGCTTGTGCGTTCTTTTTCCACGACAGCAAGAAAAGCCCTTGTTTGCGTCGCCCGCCGCCACTAGAAGGCTCAACGATTGTCATAATGACCATTGTGCGAGTGGGCACTCACGGGCGGAGGACGAAGGCGACAGTTATTACTGACGGCAATCAACAACGTAACGCGCATACAATTACTGCATACGCCGATGAGGGGTTGTCGTCAGGAAGGTCCAGCTTAGACATACTAAGTTATGCATGTATGACCACCCCGGCATATTTGTTCCAACCAGCGAGTGGCATTGGGGTTTTGAAAGGGCAAGTAGACGGCGACTCAGACAGTGAGTTACTCCATCACAGCCCGCCGGCCATGTCCATTTCGATTCAACTGCAGGCCGGATCCCGACACCGGCGGGTACAGAAAACCGTGCATGCATGCATGTACTCAACAGTCAACAGTGGAAGGTCGGAAGGTGTGGCGTTCCCAGACCTCTTTCATCCCTCCAACATGGGTTCCTTTGCACCGATCCTATCCTGGGCTTGATGAAGGCGACTGGTCGTTTTTCCCGGCCCTCGTTGTACCTGGTATGTATGGAGTGCATGTCGGAGGCGATGGGAGGCTACGCCCACGACGCGCCTTGCCTGCTACAACACCTCCATCACTTTAAACAAGGCACCTCTGCGTAATGAGAGGCTCGAGATTGTAAGTCTTTATCCGTTTTAACTCGAAGCTTCACAGGTGGAAATCTTGACTGCGTGGCTTATTTATGATTTATACGTGAATATCATATCCGCATATCCACCTACCCCCATGGGCAAGGAGCGAACATCTTTTCTCGTGCCCGTGGCAGACAGAGGTACAGGTCAGCCAGCTTCAGGTATCAACAGTCGGGCTCACTCTAGCTACCTTGCTCTTCCGTACAGGCCCCTCCCGTATCAATACCGTGCCGCCGCTCCACGTCTCCTCCCCGTCGACGGCTTCCTGCACGAGCATATCCCCCGCCCATCTATGCAGCCCACCTGCTCCTCCTCTTCTAACAAGATGCATATTTTGTTCGGGCTGCTCCCACGCTGGCGGCCCGATACCGCACGACAACATCCTCCGCGTGAGCTTTTGACCTGCCGTCTCCTCTTCCAGGTGATCCCCCTCTCCCGTACGAGGGCATGTTCCCACGCTCGCCGAGGAGGGCTACTGGTGCTGCTGCGGTGCAACCTTGCAGCGTGCACTTATAGGTTTAGTATGGAATTTTTGTAAGTGGCCACGCGCGGTGCGGTGGTAGTTGGTGTCACCAGCAGCTTTCTGCTGCAGAGAAGGAGGGAGGGAGGGGCGGCCCGGCCCCGCGAGCGGCTTCCCTTGTCTGGGATGAGGCTGTCGCGCCTACTACATACCCGTCGTGGCCTCTATGGTTTTGTACACAGGCCTTTTAAGGGGGTTGCGTGCCGGACGCTTGGTGTGAGATTGGAACGCTGGGAGGTAGCGACGTGTGACCTTTTGGGAAGGGGGGAGAGGGCAATGCGATGGATGGCTCTTGGCGAGTCGTGCATGCGCGAAGCTGTTGGCACGACGGTTGTGTGATGCCGGTGCTTGCCGGCACTTTTGCTTGGAAAGGCTTCAATCTTCGTAATAGCTCGTAGAACCGTAACGGTGCAAGGACGAAATGCTGGTATCCATCCGTGCTGCCACTCGGTCGTGAGCCGCTTGTCAATGCTGGTGATTTCGTATGCAGTGAGGTTGCTGGAGCAGGGCATAGCGCATCGTCTCCCCCTACATTACGGTTCATACGTAAACCTCTGTATCGGCCATGTGCAAGTTTGCCGAGTTTGATCCTTCGATCCCCTTTAGGTACATGGATGCCCGGGGAGTTGTCATGATTCAGGTTTACTATGGGTGTGTTCGTGTCAGTCGCCGCATCGCGCTTGGGTTGGGCTTCATCTCGTGTCGTGTCGTGTGGCTCTTCACTCTTCACCTGCCGCCCGTTCTCGGACGCGTCGTAGTTTTCATTATGCCAGTTCAGGGGCGGACCTCTCGTAGAAGTTGGTGTGAGGATTCATGCTTGTACTCATGTCAAGTCCTGCTCATGCTTCAGGCGTGGTATGGGAGCATCACTGGCTTCGTCGGCTTGCTTGGTTCATATCAATGCCATGCCCCTGGACACCACTACGCCGCACATCACGATCCTCTCTTCGCCCATGGTGTAATCCCGTTTTTTTTTTTCATGGGCTCTGATGTGTCCATTCGGTATTTCAGCTGCATTTTCTAATCGCATTGACAACGGATTGGTGATCAGGTACGGAGGAGTGTTGTTTAGCATTGTCGACGTAGCTCTGCATCTTGGACCTACACTGCGCTACTTGCACCACTCATCAACAGCGTCAAGGCATGACAATTAGCACTGCATCATGATATGATTACGAACAGAAGGCTGCTCAAAAACAACTACCGAAGAAAAAAAGATATCGATAGCATACGCAGCCCTTTGATGCCGCCTCATTCCACACATTTCCACTCATCACAAGTACAGGGTAAGTGACACGTGACTGATTCCACTCAAGAGGGACCCTTTTTGCTGCGACGTGGCATTGGCAGCGTGGCCACTGGGGGGCAACCTCTAGCGTACTATTGCGGCGTATCTCCTTTGTGGCCAACCTGTCTCGATACACCTTTCGTGCCTGTCTTTCCAATCCCATCTCTCTGCGACCGCGACCCGACGTTCCCTTTCCCTTCAAGACCGTTCCTCGACCGTCACATTTCTCTCATTCATATCCAACTCTTTTCTTCGCCACAACAACCCACCACACACCCACAATGGCTGACCAGGTCGAGAGCCTCATCGACGTCCCCCGGGAGTTCGTCAAGGAGGGCATCCAGTTCATGAACAAGTGCCAGAAGCGTGAGTACTGCCCAAACTTAAACACCAGGCCAATTGCGTGGGAGGAGGGTTGCCGGGAGGTCGGGTTTACAGCGTCCCGGGCCAGCAGCGCGCGAACAATGGCAGCAAGCTGGATGTGAGGCTGTTCGCGATACCTGGCGCCGATCCCATCTTGACCATGCGCTCCCTCAACCCCCCAAGCGCGGCCGCCTCCCGACATTGTAAATATTCGCTCTCGCTAACAACTATCCGTAGCTGATCGCAAAGAATTCATCAAAATCTCGCAGGCCATTGCCATGGGCTTCGTCGCCATGGGCACCGTCGGCTACCTCGTCAAGCTGAGTACGATTACCACCCACCCCGGACATGCATACCGTCCCCCAACGCGCAGAGAAGTTGACATTTTCGCCCATAGTCCACATTCCCATCAACAACATCCTCGTCGCTGGCGCGTAAGCGAAAACAACATCAAGAGGAGAAGAGCTGAGAAGTCTGGAGGTGGACCACTGAAGATCAAACTAAAAATAAGCGATGAATCTTAATATACAACGAGCGTGGAAGAGGGAGAGGCAAAGGCTGAGAGACGAGGGATCACCCTGTCCGTGTCCAAGGACGGGGATGGTCTCCAGTTGCCCTCAATTGGGACGGCGGACGTGGCTTCTTTTGGGCATATGATACCAATTATGGTGCATGGTTTTACGGGAAAGAGAAAAGAACGCAAGGGAATCTGTGCACAACACTGTTTGACTTTTGTTTCACTTGTCATCTCGTCGGATACTCGGGGACTTGGGTTGGGATAGGAGGAGATGCCAAACCTGTATACCTGCTTGCTCGAGCAGACTGTAACAATACGAGGCAAAATATTGCTGCACCTTTAAAGGGTTCTCGCTGGCGCCACACTGCGACTGCTTACTCCAATAGCACTCTATTGGTTCACAGATGAAAAGAAAAGTGAATGAATTCATATAAACTTCCGTACAAGTCGAGAGCCCTCCCAAATGATGTCCTCAGAATAAACGCCTTTCCAAGATTCTTCGCAACCACGTCGCTGCCCGTCACTTCCACCACCGAACAATTTTCACAGGAACAGGAAACCACACAATTGCGGCATGCTGGCTTATTATACATGCTCTTTAACCCCCTTGCCTCCCAAGGCTAAACCACAAGCACAACCACCTCTCCCCGACGCCGAGGAGACCAACGCTCAGGATGACATGCTGTACGGCACGATCGCCTTGTCGATGATCGGCAGCCTCCGCGCGCCGCGCTCGCTCTCCGTGCCCCACTGCACCCTCCACGCCTCCTCCCGCTCGAGCGCGCCGTCAAACGCCGCGCGGCACTCCGCCGGCAGCAGGTCGCGCACCTCGTCCGGGACGGCGCCGAGGCCGTCGAACGCGGCCAGGAAGCTGGCCGGGTCGCTGCTCGCGCCGCGGCCGTGGCGCGCCGCGGCCGTCTGATGCAGCCCCACGGCGCTGTCCATGAAGGTGTCGGCGACGAGGAAGTTGCGCGCCACCTTGCGCGGGACGACGGGGAAGCGCGGGCCGGCGGCCGCGGCGGTGGCTTCCTCGTCGTCGGGGGAGATTTGCTCGAACCGGGCGAGCGTGGGTTGCATGTGCGCGGGGTACTGTATCACGTTGGTGTGGATATCGTATGTGCCCGCGTTGTTGAGCTTTCTGTAGGCGTTGAGGCGGGTGTTGAACGTGCTATTTTATCGCGAGTTAGCTTGCTTCCTGTTTTTTGTCTAGGTGTAATCATCTTGTTTGAGAGCCGCTTACCTAGCTTCTCGGGCGTGTTCTAGCATCCAGTTGGTGTCGTTGACGTTCACGCGTCGCTTCCTGTACTCGGGCTTGCCCGTGGGGTCCGGCACCGACGGCACGTTGGTGTGGTAGACGGCGCTGGCACCGTGCCACGCGACGTACTGGTTCTTGTTGTACGGCTCGCCGGGGATGATGCGGTCGTTGGGGTCCGCGAGCTCGCCCTCGACGACGCCCGCGGCCCGCGCGCCGGCTACGTCGTAGTCGTCAAGGATGCGCTTGCCGCCTACGACGATGCGAGCGCCAAACTCGCGAAACACGGACCGCGCTGTCACGATGCCTATCGAGCGACCCTTGTACGAGTGAGGGATGATGTCGCGCTCAATCATGTCGCGCTTCTCGTCGTCGTCGACGATGATCTTGTAGAGCTTGCGGTGCTTAGTGAAGAAGAGGTAGCTGTCGCGGAAGCCCACGCAGCGCGCCGGCTCTGTCGACAGCATGTACAGTCGGTTGCCGCGACCCAGCACCGTGAACGTGCGGCACCGGTAGTCGCGGTCGCCCTGCAGGTTGCCCAGCTTGTCGACCTTGGTCTCGCCGTCGGGGTCCTCGGCGAGCACGCACTCGTCGTTGGTGATCTCGGCAATGGTGCCTTCGGCGTCAATGACCTGCTCCGCCTTGGGGGGTGGCGCGCCGCCCTTGCGACCGCCACGGCCCCTCCAGCCGCCGCGGCCACGTCGGCGCGGCATGTTGGCCTCCTCTTCCGTGATTGTAATCATGTTGTCCCAACCTGGGGGTTTGTTTTTCGGCGGCCGTCCGAGACGCTTTCTTCGAAAGACGGGCGGAGGAGGCGGCGTCGGCTCCTTGTCTGATGGCTCCTCCTTGGTTTCTTCTTCAGCAGCCGCTTCTTCGTTATCGTCGTCTTCTGGCTCCTCCGGAGGTTCTTCATGATCCTCGTCCTTTTCATCGTCTTGGTTGGCGAGCTCTGACATTTCTGTAATGTCTGCGTCGGGCATGGGCTCGTCTTCGACATCTGCGAAGCCTCTAGGTGTGCTCTCTAGAGTTCGAACTTGGTTAGTAAAACAAGACCATTTCGCGCACAGTTTTCATCCAAAAAGACAGAGGAGTAGTATCTTCGTTTTAATTTGAACGGCGCCGAGCCTCGCGCGCTCTGTTGGCGTTGTAGTTCCTTCGAAATCGTACCTAGAGCAGCTGCCGCCCGCTTCGCAGCGGCACGGCCAGAGCGGCGACCCGCAGGCATGTTGAGCAATCGAGCGGAGAATTTTGATTGAGTGGTTATCAATGTGGTGTTAATTTGGTGATGTATTATGGTGGCTCGATGTTCGTGGTTGCGCAAAGCACAAGGCGTCGGCTCTTCCAACCAAGCGCAATTCTGTCTGCAAACGTTGGCAGTTAACCCACGGGTTGGAGACGCGCCGCGCTACAAGGCACAGCCGCTGCCCTCAAGTTGATTGGTCAGGCTGGGGTCTTAGTGGTGCCAATACTAAATCGCACTGTACATTCGCACTGTCCCTCTCGTAGTCATCTTTCTATAACCCAATCACAATGTAAAATATTACTGATTAAATGACTGCAGGGCATTCCTCTGGATGAATCGCTCGTGAAATTCAATTGCGCTTTCTCTATCAATCGCTGCTCCGTATGCTACACCGTCCATCATGCACACGGCTCGTTACAATGTGTCCCATCCGCCATTATTGATCTCAGCCTCCAATTTGCGGCTGATTAAGCTTGGCACGCCATGATTCAAAACTGTATTGCGAATCATGGAATCGTATCGTTTCTGATTCAAAAAGAGCTGTCGTCCGTGACGCAGCTGAGGATCCGTCTCACCGTACTTGTCGATATAAGGTACCGGTGTATACGACCCCGCCCGCCGAAACAGGTAGATGATAGAGCTCTTCCGAATGTTGAGGAAAACACCGATATTTCCCTGGCACCTAGAAAGCAGTTAGTCCCATCCCATCAGTATCTATTTCTGGCAAACATACTTTTGCATGTGCTGCTGCGCTCCCCCGAGCCTAGTTGACTCCCTGTCAGACGTATCTATGCGTTGGCAACACGTTCCCTGGCTGCAGAAAAGTGCGCCGCAGAACAAGCATAAAACAGGATCAGTGAGGTCCTTGCCAGTAGTGGGGCAGCGGTTTCGTATAGCTGCCTCAATCAAAGTGTCATAGGTCTTGGGCAGGCCGATGAGCTCGAAGATGCCGGGGTGGCTCATCATCCCCGAAGGCGGCACGTCGTTGTATGCTCGTGGCCACATGACTTGATGCTTGACCCATCCAAAAACGAGTGCCTGCGTAGTCTCTGGCCAGTCGCCATGCTCGCCATGGGGGTGTAGGGCTAAACACATATCGTCAAAGGAGGGAATGCGCAAAGCCTCTGTTAACCGATCAAGCTCGTCGGCATCGGGAGATGGGGAGATGTGACTGTTGAAGTCAACCCCATACATGACGTTGAGGAATACCACACACTTGCGTAAAAATGTGAGGGCATACTTTTTGGCGAAAGTGTACCATCCTTCCACACAGTCCACGCCAGGCTGCTGGAAACCACGGTCCTCTCTGCTCTCAAAGTCTGTCGAGGCTCGGCTTTCGATTGCGCACTTGGTAATCGTCATCGCAAAGACTGCGAAATTCCTCATCGTTGTGTTGTGTGTTTGTGCACGCACCAGATCCTCTAGCCACATGTTGCTGGGAATATTTTGACCCATGTGGAAGACAATTTTGACAAGTTCAGCAAGGTAGCAGAGCCTCAGAACGTGGAAAATTTCAGCTCTTTGCGTATGGACAAAGCCGTAGGAGCACTCAACCAAGAAAATGAAAGGATCCATGCTCAACAGCGGCGGGTAGACATCCAGCGGCCTGCGAGCGTGAGGCGTGCCTGTACCAAAGTAGCGCGACATGAAGAGCTGGCAGTGCTGGCGCTCTGAGTCTCTATTGAATTCGGCATCAACCTGCTGGTCAGAGAGTGACATTATCTTCATGAACGACCCAGCTGTCTCGGACAAAACCCGGAGGTGGGTGATGGTTTGCTCGGGAATCTTTTCTAGAAGCGTCATGCCTGGCTGCGCTTCCATTCCTCTCTGCTGGATTTCTACCGAGGAAATGGTATAGGCCAGCGAGTGAACAAGAGTACCATTCAAGCGAAACTTTTCCATGTCGTCTACACTGATGTCAGACATATGATGTGAATCAATGTCATTCAGTCTAAGCGTCTCCCTCAACCGGCGGTATGCAGCCTTCAATTCATTGAGGACTTGCGAGTTGCTCGCGGCAGGCAGCGCGTGGCTAGGGGGGGTAGGTATATCTTCTGACGTCGCCGATCCTTCCTCTGGCGTACTGAGAGATGGGCTGGTCTCATTCAGGCCCCATGATGTGCCCGAAGATTGCTGTGACCGCGCCATTGTTTCCATGAGGCTGCCGGGAACACTGGGGGTAAATAGGGCAGGGAGATTCGAATTAGCTAGCTCAGGCGCCTTGCTGCCGCCTAGCCAGTACGCAGAGCTCATCTGCTGAGCCAGGAAGTCTGCAAAAGAATGCTGGGGCTGAAGATAGCCCGGGTAGCACTCTTCCAAACCCTTCCAAATGACAGGCAGGAATGCGTTGCCTAGGGCTTTGCACAAAGGACAAACGAACTCATTGCGACGAGTGTCTTCGGGGTGGTGACGGGCAATTTGATGAGTGTGCCTGCGATTTGTGGCTTCGTAGTATTGCTCAAAGCAGCGGAAGTGCATCATGTGTCCACAACCAGAGGCCACAGGCCCGGCTCGCGAGAACTTGGGGTCAAACCCCTTTCCAACTGTTTGCCGCTCGGCCAAGAACGCATTCCCCTCAGAAGTAAGTTTCTCTACCATTCTTCTGTTCTCTCGAGCAATACCAAAGGGGCGGATATCCTCGGCAGAACGATCAAGGCTGCATGGCGTCTGTGATGCGTCTCGAACCATCTCGGGGTCCTGAAAGTCAGTTTGCCGAAGAATGCGGCTATTATTGAACAGTGCGAATGTTCCGTAGAGCTTGCGCTCATCAGCTTCCTCCTGACACAGAATGCAGGTACCAGTAGGATACTTCCAGTTGTGTTTGCGATCCTCGGTGGGCTGCGGCTCATCCTCCTCTAAATCGGAGCTCCAGTCAATCTCGCCCTGGTTTTCCATGAAGCTCTTTTGTTGTTCCTGAAATTGTGCCATGACCTTTGCATGGCGGCTGAGCGCCGCCTTCTTGCGCCTCTCTCGTTCCTCATCTGCTGAAGCATTGGCTGGCGACGCCGTATCGACCCGGTCAACAGCAATCCCAAGGTGGACAAGAGACGCCTGGAAGGCATTCAGATGGCGCTGTTTCAGTCGCTTCAACACCAGTGAGATCTTGGGATGAGAAGACTTGAAAGCTTCTTTGGTAGACAGAATGTGCAGAAGCGACACAATAGTTCTGGCGTTCTGAGCATCGGGCATAAAGTTTCCTCTTGACGCCCTAGTGAGCGCAATAAGAACAAATGAGTTTGTCCCCTCTCCCATCTGAGTTTCTTCACTCGATCCGTCCTCGTTTATGGCAATCAGCATAAGGTGAAGAACGACCTGTAGAAACGTCTCAAGCCTTGTGACAGGGACTAACGGCGTGAATCTTTCGGCCACCAAGGGATACAGTAACGAGTAGTAAATGATCTGAGCAAACATGCCCGTGCCTGTGAATTGACCCAGGTTCTTGAACAGGCCGGAGGGGATGGGGCGATGCTTCGGTTCATACACAATTTCTTCCAGCGACTTTCCTGTCTTTTTGGCCATCTTCTTACGGTATGCTGTTTCGGACTCTTCCCGCTGATTTTTGTTGTAGTGTGCGATGTATGGGTCAATCTCTTCGACAAATTCCGGTCGCAACTCGAATGTGCCCACGTCAGAGACTCCTTCGGGGGGCTTGAAAGTGGCCATCTCATCCAGCACGTTGTGAAAATCTTCCTGTTCCTGGTACTTCTCAGGCAGCTTGTTGCAAATTTCGTTGAAGGATAACGGCTTGAAGCACAGCACATGAATGATGTCTCTGCGCATTGCTAATACGCGGGAGTTCGGTTCGTCCTCACTGGCAATCAAGGATGTGCGATCGCTGAGGAGCACAATGAGGAGGTGGATCATGTCTTCCACAATATCAAGATGTTGATTGTCGTCTTGCGCTTCCGACTTGACCTCAAAGAGACCCTTCACCCACTTCTCCATACCAAAACGATCAATTATCGAGGCAAGGACGCGGCTAGGATTGCACACAACCATGGCAGTTTGCAAAAGGAAGATGTCGCGGTGATGCGAAACGTCTCGCTGCAACACGCCTTTGTAGGTGCTTGCTTGATGGCGTAGGCTGATGCCATTTCTAACCCACATATTGGCTTTGATTTGTGCTAGCCAGGCGCATACTCTTAAGGGGTAATCAAAGGCGGCCATCAGATAGTCCTCCGCGGTGGAATCAGTCTTTGGGACTTGAGCCCGTCCCATCAACTTTGGATTCGCTTTGAGCTCTTGCCGAGTGAAGCTCAGCAACAACTTAATGTCAGACGCGGGCAAAGATCGACCACATTCAATCAACCAGGACAGGGTATAATGTAGAGCATGATGGAAGCTGATCTGGTCTTTCTCAACCACAAATTGGACTACTTGGTACGCCGGCGAGTCCAAGTCAAACTCAAAGTCATCGATAGTCTTGAATTTCACCTCGTCCTTGATTTCACTATTCTTGAACCGCTGCCGGTCAGCACCAACAGAGTTGAGAATAACCGTCTTGGCAGTGAACCGAATTGCACGTTGGAGATGATGGATCTCATCCAGAGGGCAGTCTCTAAATGATTCGGCAAGGTTTCGCGCTTGAAGATTGATTTGACGAGTAACCAAGGAGGCTGTTATCCAGGAATCGGCCTCGTATTCGACGTGTTCCACGACTGCGCGGACATTGGGGCCAATGCATTGATGCAATTTGACCAGATCAAGGAACTGCATCAGATACCTTGGTTCGCAACGTACTCGTTCCTGAACATGGGGAGATCCAAAGAGGTACTTAAGGTCTTGATAAAAGTGATACATCCGCCGATTAGTAACAGAGCCACTCTCAAAGCCCAGTACTGCAAAAGGAGAGATGTCCCATGGATGACCAACCTGACGCGTTGTCAAAAAGGTGTAGAGAATGGCTAGTAAGCTGGTCATAAAGTTGCCGCGCTCCACCACCTCTGCAGTGATGGAAGGAGTTGTGAGCATCTGTAAGGAGAGGTTGATGATGGAGTGGTCAGGCTCCCTGTCACCGACAAGGTACAGCTGCGCGAGAATAGTGTAGAGACTGGCGAACCTGAGCGCCAGCACCCGCTTGAACTCTGGCACCGAAACTACGGTGGAGATATAGAGCGAGCGAAGGTCATTCCTTGCCTTCTTCCACATTCGAAGGTCGAATAAGAGAAGCCAGTCCAGCCTCACTCTCTGAAATACATCTTCAGCTGGAGAGACATTCTCTCGCCGAGTGTAGCTGGTGGGTGTCTCGATCCAGTACGGGCCGGGGCGTGGTACCGCCTTCGTTGTCGTACCGGGGGTCTGGGGTATGGCGAGATTTTCTTTGACGTAGGCAGCCGGTGGACGGATAGCATCAACAGGGTCCGAGTCCGATGGTGTGCCCTCTCGCTCCAGATCTGCGCCTGTAGCTGCTGTTGTTGCTTGCGCAGGAGGTGGGGGTGGCGGCGGCGGATATCCGGCCATGGTGGCTTCATCCTCTTCCAAGGCTTGGTCCGATTGACTCCAGTTCATATTCAAATCACCGACATCACCTCTAGCGTCGACCATCATAACATCGTCGTCGTCGTCGTCACCGCGTCTTGCTGCTGAGCCGGCATGAGACGCATTTTCTTCTTCCTCTCCGAAATCTAGAAAGTCATCAATCTCAACGTCATCCATGACATCCTCGTCAGACTCCTCATCCGTGTCGAGCCCTACGCGTCCCGCCGTGGCCTGTAGGGCAAGAATGAAGTGCGCACTAACACCTGGAAGTCTAGTCCTGGACATCATGTACTGGTCATCCTGATCCTCGTCATCAATGAGCCCGAGCGTATGAGTAGCAGAACTGCCCTGGTTCCATGGCTTCATGACTTCTTCGCAAACTGTATTGCGAAGTATATGATGATCTGGTCCCACAGAGCAACCGGAAATATCACTCAGCCACTCGATAAGAGCACCACACATTTGCTCTCGAAACGTGTCACGAGCGGATCGAATTGTGACTGTAATTCTAATTGCTTCCAGGATTCGTGCCATTTGCAACAACTCGTTTATGTCGTGGCTGTATGCCAGGAGACTGCGACCTGTAGAGTCTGTTTCCCAGGCATCGCGAGCGGCCTGCCGCCTGGTTTTCCTACAGGCACGAGCGACCTGGTCTTCCACCTCTTGCACAGTGTGCTTTTCATCATTCCAAAGGAGAAGAGTGTATTCATCGCATTGCTCGGCTGTATTGTTGAAGTATGAAGATGAAAGTCTCGAAATCTGCTCATCCTTTTCGATTGACTCCTTCGTCTTTGCTTGGCGAAGCTGCTCTGGCGAGCAGGAAATAACGTCGCAGATGTAGTCAAAGGCTCGACTGACGGTCATTTGAATGCTCGAAACAAGGTCTTTTGGTAGGCTCGCAGCTTCCTTGCCTTTGTCTTTGCGCGATTCGGAGTGTACATCGGAGTGGATGGTACACAGCAACGGCGTCCGCCAAGCTTCATCGTCACCACAGTCGCAGCAACCACTATTGCCGACAGAAATAGATATGCGAACCATGTGTCCGGTGTGATCAGTGGAATCAAAGCATCTGCTACACAGACAGCAAGTCTCATCTGTCCCGCAAGTCCTACACATGTATGAAGCTTCACCGGCCTTGAAAATGTGGCCGCAGCGTTTGCCCCGCGCTGCTTCGGTGTACTCGGCACCTTGTAGGCCACCTTGAGCTTCGGCAAGCTTGAGATTATCTGTAATCTGTCCATTTGGGAACATCAGACTCAAATACTCAGGCCGGCTACCACATAGGAACTGAAACATGCCGCGCAGAAGCTCTTGCTTTGCCTCATCTGTGAAGCGGTATTGAAAACGGTATGGTAACTCCGCGAGCAGCTGGCAGAGCTGCTGCTCTTGGGTAGGCATCGGCTGGCTGGGTGGTGAGGTAAACATTATGTGTCCAGAGTGCAGGCCGTGGGAGGGAACCCGGCCTCGTCGAAGGCGACTTGGATGGCAAACTGTCGATGCGGCGGGGGCGAATTTGAGGTCGAACGGTGCTGTATAACTTCGGCGGTGGTGGGTGTGTTTGAAATCTGGCGAAACTCAAGATTTGAGATACAGTGAAAGACAAAAGAGACAGAAGGAATAGCAAAGCAAGCTCAGTCGTTGTGGATGGGTTCTGTTGCCTTTTTAGATGGAAGCGGAAGACCGCGCAATAGAGAGGCAAGGTACGTCGGTTTTGTGTGTGAACTTGCTGCGTCAGTGCCGCATCTCCTCTATCGGCGCCTAAATGACCGCCGTACCTCACTGGAGGTGCTATTCAGTGGATGCATTGCCCCGCGCTACTACCTACAGCTAGTGGAGTGTTGTAGGTAGTATGGGTCACAAGCCGCCCGACTTCACGCGCCCTGAGATCTGTTTTGGAGTATTGGAACGGCCCATTAAATTTCAAGTCTGATGTTTTTGATTGAAAATGTAGCTACTGGACCTCTGAGGGAAGTCAAGCTCCCTTGCAAATAGAAATTCGGGATGATGGCTGCCACTCCTAGCCGCATTTCTGCAACCTTGAGCCATCAAAACGTGACAAAAGAACTGTAGTTTCCATTTCTATCCGTATGAGAATATTTTATACATGATTACAGTGATTGATCCACCCAAACCGAGAGACATCGTTTACTCGTCATCCTCGGCCTCCTCGACGTATTTGTGGCGAATGTCCTTCCATTGGCGCTGACTATGGGTTAGCCGCAATCCATTGTCAGAGTCTGATGTCGTTATTGACTTACGCCGCGGTTGTTGTTGTCCCAGATCTTGTTCATGGTCTTGTTGAAGCCGCTGTGTTGCGCGTTAGCATCCAGCTTGGACGGGGGGTTTTTGGGAGGCCGGGCCTACATCTCGAAAGCAAAGCCAGCCGTGAAGACGGCGGCCAGCATGGTGAAGTTGTTGCGAAAAAGAGTGCTGTAATCATCGAGGGTTAGAAGTCGCGTTGGGTCGGAGCGGATTCGGGTTCGGGTCGTTCGTCGACTTGCCTGTAGATCTGCGGCGTTGCGGCATTAGCATATGTGGTAGGGCGTGACGAGGAGATAGAGGCTGCCGGGGGACAGTAATTTGTACATACCATTATGAGGACTCTGTGCGATTGAGGACTTTTCGAATTGTCTCGGTCTGGGACGGGCCGTGTGGCGGGCTGTTGGAAGCAGAAAGGCTGATGAGGTAGGAAGTTGGCAGAGTTGCTGTCAACGAAATTCAGGAAGTCTTCTGCGCAGCCATTAGCCGGGCGCTGATTGGCTGATGGAGTGCAGACCAAGACCTCGGCCCCACTTGTAATCCGATGGCTTCCGTGAACTGATTGCACGACCAAGTATGTAGATGGAGGCAGAGAGCTATGATTCAGAATTCGGATAAGAAGGATGGAGAATACGCAGGGGTAAATCAGAAGATAAATGAATTACGGTTAGCCGATTTTTTCTAGAAGGAAACAGGAGATACGTAGACTTTTTGCTTCAAGATTTATTAAAGTATAACGCCTGTATTCTGAAATGTCCTCAGGCAGCGTTCGTTATCCCCATCCATGTGAAACTAGTTAGATACACTTCATCAGAGTATTTTGCGTAGTGACGAATTATTACCCAGTAATAATAGGTCTTGGATCCTGTTCCGACACTGCTCAAGATGATGCGGGACGCCACGATATTACCCACGTGCTCGCCAGTGCCAGCATGAGTACGGTCTGCAGTGTAACCCCGTCAAACAACAGTCTCAGAATGAATTCTGTCTCTTCGCCTCATTTTCAACTTATTATTAACTACTCACACCCGGCTTTATACGACGCTCTGTCGCATTCAGGGCATGTCAGCTAGTGTGGGTCACCAACGCACCACGCTTAACAGACCGGCTGGATGGCTATCGGGGTGGCATTTTTGATCTCAAAAGTTTACTATAAATACCTGCCCTACGTTGTCCAATTTTTTTCTGCCACGAACGGCGAAACAACACATATAACATTGACCGTGATCGCAGCAGTGGACACACCACACGCTATAATTTACTAGCAACAGAACTTCCAAGCCTCATATCCGAGCATAGACCTTTGGCGGGGCACAAAAACGGCAGCGCCATCATGCCACCGGCGGCCACCAACTCCGGCATCGTGACGGACGAGACGAGCGGCGAGCGCCACATCCCAGAATCTCTGCGTGCGGATGGAACGACTCGAAAAGCGATCAAGATTCGACCCGGCTATCGCCCCGCGGAGGACGTCGAACTATACAGACCCCGCAATGTTGTCGCACAGCGCGAGCGCAGGCGCATAGGCGTGCCCGGGGCAGAGGCACCCAAGGATGAGAAGCCGCAAGTCCCAGGTGCTCCCGGTGCCGCCAAAGAACCGAACAGGGCCGCGAGCCTTTCCTGGAGACGAGATGACGGCAGCAGCGCCTCGGCCGCGCCGCCTTCACCAAGCACATTAGCCGCGGGCAACAAGAACGCGAAGCGACGGGAGGCGCGTAAAAAGGCCAGGTCTACCGATTTAGGCGAGGCGGCGCCGTTGAAGGAAGACGGACCTCCGTCAAAACCAGTGCCGTCCAAGGCTGAGGAGGTCGACCCCAAAGTCGAGCACGAGAAGAAGGTCCGCAGCTTGAAGAAGAAGCTGAAACAGGCCAAGGAGCTCAAGACTAGGAAGGATGAGGGCCAGGGCCTACTGCCAGAGCAGATCGCCAAGGTGATCAAGATTAACGAGCTGATACGAGAGCTGAATGCTTTGGGAATCGATGACGAGGGCGAGACGAAGAAGGACATTGGGTCGGTCTCCGATAAGGCCGCTACTTAAGCGACAACCTGTGCCGGACACGCCGGTCACTGTACTACAGATCAGGAGTTTGGCAGCATTTGGTTGATTTAGTAAAAGTAAAGGAAAGATCGTCGGCCAGGCGTTTTGGTCGGTGATCTTTTTTCTCCCTGATAAATGAGAGCTGCAGGATTGCTGCTGCACACACTTAGGCTTCAGACTACGTAGATCGGTCGAAGTCACAGGTGACTTGATGAATGCGGGCCAAAGAAAGTAGAAAAGGCCCATCAATGCAGTAAAATCCACTCAAAATACCGATGAGTAGGCGGTAAAAGCATGTTTTCAGGACATCTGCCATTATCTAACTTCCTATTCTGATGATTCTAGACGAGAGATCAGCAGCGGTAGGAAGGCAGGGCAATACTTGCGGTCAAAGATAGCTCCAACTTTAGGTTCTCGGCGGATGCTATCTGAGAGAAAGCTAGAAAAGCAAAATGTGATATTTTTAAAAAAAAAAAAAACATTGAAACATGCTGCTGGTCTTTTCACATCCTCTGTTTCTTTTTGTAGCATTACCTGCTCAGCAGGCCGCCAGAGGTCGCGTCCTAATGTGGTTAGCGCCTACTTTCTGCCGTGCGTGCTTTGGCCACTGGCGCAACCCAAGGCTCCAGCCGGTGAGGTAAGCTCGCGGCCAAACAACGTACCTTGACAATCGCAACCACGCACCTCGAATCCGTCCTAACGAGCATCGAAATCGCGACTTGACGCACGAGGTCCACCAAGTCGCGGAATTGAATACCGATACTTGAATAGAGATACACAGCAGTCCGCGATCGAGCAACCATGTCGCCGGAAGAGGAGCGCCAGGCCGCCCTGAGCTCGTACCGGGCCAAGCTCATCGAGTCCCGCGAGTGGGAGGCCAAGCTCAAGAACCTGCGGTTAGAGATCAAAGGCCTCCAGAAGGACTTCGACCGCACAGAAGAGAATATCAAGGCGCTGCAGAGCGTTGGACAAATCATCGGCGAGGTGCTGAAGCAGCTCGATGAGGAGAGATGTAAGCATCCGAAGCTGATTCCGCGCGAACTCGAGCACTGCAACCAGCGACAGGAGCAAGCTATGGCGCGTCAAAAGAACCAGAATACTAACGTATGCACGGCAATTAGTCATTGTCAAGGCGTCTTCGGGCCCTCGATACGTGGTCGGCTGCCGGTCAAAGGTCGACAAGGCAAAGATGAAGCAGGGCACCCGTGTAGCGCTCGACATGACGACCCTCACAATTATGCGCATGCTGCCGCGCGAAGTTGACCCTCTTGTATACAACATGTCTCTGGAAGATCCCGGTCAGGTCAGCTTTGCCGGTATTGGCGGCCTGAATGATCAGATTCGCGAGCTGAGAGAAGTCATCGAGCTCCCCCTCAAGAACCCAGAGCTCTTCCTGCGTGTTGGCATCAAGCCGCCCAAGGGTGTGCTGCTCTACGGCCCGCCTGGAACGGGCAAGACGCTGCTGGCGCGAGCCGTTGCTTGTAGCCTGGAAACCAACTTTTTGAAGGGTATGTTGACTTGCTGAAGAGAAAAAAAAACCCCGAGCGTGCTGTACTAATGTTTCGCAGTGGTCTCCTCTGCCATTGTAGACAAGTATATCGGTGAATCTGCGCGACTGATCCGTGAAATGTTTGGCTATGCCAAGGAGCATGAGCCTTGCATCATCTTCATGGACGAAATCGATGCCATTGGTGGACGACGATTCTCAGAAGGTACTAGTGCGGACAGAGAGATTCAAAGAACACTGATGGAGCTGCTCAACCAGCTGGATGGTTTCGACTACCTGGGAAAGACCAAGATTATCATGGCCACCAACAGACCCGACACTCTGGACCCGGCGCTGCTTCGTGCCGGCCGCCTGGATCGCAAGATTGAGATTCCGCTGCCCAACGAGGTTGGTCGACTAGAGATTCTCAAGATTCACGCGGCCGGTGTCGTTGTCGATGGCGACATTGACTTTGAGAGCGTGGTCAAGATGAGCGATGGCCTGAACGGCGCTGATTTGAGAAACGTGGTTACAGAGGCGTGAGTACCGATTACGAGGGTTGCAACGTTCAGGGAGAAAAAGCTAACATGTTTATCTAGTGGTCTCTTTGCCATCAAGGATTACCGCGAGTCGATTAACCAAGACGATTTCAACAAGGCGGTGCGCAAGCTGGCCGAGGCGAAGAAACTGGAGGGCAAGCTGGACTACCAGAAGCTGTAAAGGGCAATTGATGAGACCTGGATAGTATTACCAAGAGCAGGGAAAGGTAGACGATGCTATGACACTGTACATTAGTTAGTTGGCACTGGAGAGTAGCAATCGACTCAAGGGATTCTTGCACGCCCTGTTGTTGTGATGCAGGCGACAGAGTGACTGGCCTATGGCTTTGCCCGTGGTGACTACGCTTACTAGGATATACTTGTCAGCTCACTCCCAATGAGATGCGCTGAGAACAAGTTTTGATGGCGAGGCCTGGGGCTTCGGGGCGGAGCGGACGCCACCAAGACTGGCAGCGAGCCTATATGCAGCCAGCCGCACAACACTCGGGCGGCATATGTGCGATGGCTGGGTAGAGCATGGAAAGAGGGTGAGGAAACCTGGACACTATCCTAGAACATGGCTGAAGAGCAGGGTGATGGCGCCAGGGGAATAAGATTCGTGAGGCTCGCAAGGCTGCGGCGGAGAGATGTAAGCCATATGCATGCACAGGGCTAGGTGACAGGCTGGATTCGCCAGTGCAAGGCGAACTCGGGACGGACATGGCTAGGGCGAGGCTTCTGTCAGGATAGCGCAAATAATTGACTAGCACTATCTATACACAGATGCCGTTCATTTATTGTTTATTATTCATTGGTTGGGCTGATTTACAGTAGGACTGCAGAAGAGGCCGCTAGGTGAAGAGATCTCAGGTGCTACGTCATGGTGGCCACGGACCCTCCGGGCGGTACCTAGATGCGAAATAAGGGTGTTCTACTAATAGGACGAAGGGCTCGTAAACGCCGCGGATCCGGACGATTGACTTGCATGAGAAAAGAGGGAATGTTGGCATTTACGGGATTTACCTAACGCAATGCGACACAATGGAACGGGACTGGGAGGGAATGTGGTGGCAATGAGGGCGGAGTTCCCACATTCGGATAACGGCTGCGAGAGATTTTAGGCCCGTGGTGTTCTATTCTTGGGACGAGGCTGTGCTTCCTGTCCAGGGCGGCGATCTCTCAATGCCAGCGGCGCAGTGGACAGATGGATAGTATTCATGCCAAACCTTCTTAGCGCGAAGCCTTTTTTTTTGCCTTCCCTTTCAAGGGGAGCCAGTCCTGATGCTGGAGTTGGTTGCTGGGCAGGGTCGTCGCCACAGAACATGGTGTCAACAAAGTCTACCGCGGACGGGGAACGCATCCACAATGGTTGTCGCATGATGGCCCCGGAGCAACACGAGGCTATGACGACACAAGCCACCCAATCGTGTATTGTTTTCCCCGTTGGTGGTTGGTGTCGTGTTTGTATGAGATACGGTGCAGGTAGCCGCGGTGGCCTTTCTCGTGTTGGCCTGAAAGGAGTGACGACAACTATCACCAGGGGGACCCTTATTTTGCCATTGTGAAGCAAGATGGTGTCTTGGCATGGGGCGTTGCATCTGAAGTAGATTACGGAGTAAAAGGAGCTGCAGTGAACCTATTAGTACTGGTAACTAGTAATTATTCGCTACGGATTTAGCGTTGGCCAGGACAGAGATGAGTTGCAATCTATCAAACCAAGATGCTGCACCTACCGCCCAGAGACTTTATTTTGCCGTTGCAATCTACAAGCACTTTCGCCCTAATGGCACTGGCTTTCACTGCCTTCCATGGCTATGGTGCACTACTTACCTACTTAGGCTATGTACAAGGTGCCATTATTGAATCCTAAACCGCTTTAATAACGGCTGCTATGCCCAATTTAGGGTTTCGTCATGTTGAAACATGTAGTTATAGAAAGACCCCCAATTTATGGTTACTTAGAATGCCTTCTGGGGATTGGGAATTCCGCTGTAGATTCATGTACGTACTTGCGGTGTGTGGCCAACTGAGACGACGATACAAGCGACTGAGATCTGTAGGCATGTTTCCGCACCAAATCGACACAACGAGGTAGTTAGCTACACCACGAGTGAGCCTCTGCATCAGCACCACGCGCAGCTGCATGCTAACTGGTTAACAAGATATATCGTATATCAGCAGATTTTCTGGGGTGCCCGCGTGTTCGAGGCGGTAAAGATAGCATTCATCTGACTGATCAAAAGCTTTGTCTGGCCGAACCCTGCTGTCGCCTAGCCCACGTGTGGTGGCCGAGTACCTTTAAGAATACAGGTGGCAGGGCAACCGACAACCACCGCCGCCGCTCACAACCCGTTCTGGAGACTGAGCCGCTGTAGTGCGCTCACTGTACGACAGATAGGGAGGGTGCTTGTTGCTGTATTATTGGCTGCCTGCTCATCCACATCCCGAGCCTTGGACAGCGGCCTATCAGCCTCAAAAAGCACCGGGAAGATGCCAAGTGAAGTAAAAAGGAAGAAAAAAAAGACACAGAAATAAAAAGTCGGCTTTGTTGCTGGATAGAATTCAGTTGCACCACCTTCAGCCCCTGCCAACACCCTTTGAAAGATTCCCCACAGCGGTCGCTGAGCCCCCTCAAGCCCAAGGCTTGGGCCCACCGCCAGCTGCCCCAGCAAAGCCAAAAAAAGCTCCAGGCTCCTCGACCGACGTCAGGCGAATTACAGTAACCTGTACTGGGTACCCAGGTACCCGTTCCGCCGCGCCAGTGGTCAGTGTTCTGTTAGTACAAAGCCAAGTACGAGGTACGGGTAACACTGTGCATACAAGAGCTCCCGCTCCCCTCCTTCCCTCCAGACTCTCTTCCTCCGATCCCAATTCTCCTCCTTCATTCCCACCGCCTGTTAAGAAATATCATACATCTAAACGCCTTCACCTTCTTTCCTCGCCTCGCACAAAAAAGCTCTCAAGTGCCTCTTCTTTCTCTCTCCTCTCCCTCTATCACCAACGCTACTCCGACTGCCATCAACCTGTCACCCCGCACCTAATTCCAACGCGTACCCAGCGGCAGCCTCACAGTCGTCTCATTCTCTATCACCTTCGTTCTCAGGCTTTCTCTTCATATTTCAGACATCATGTGGTGAGTACCTGCTTATCAATGCCACCGCCAAGAGAGCAGTGACCGGGTGCCCGCACCCAACCGCCGCGCCCTCCTGCGCCGCCTTTCTGAGCACCGCCAGCGTACTAACTCAAGCCCCAGTGGCATTTTCGGTTACATCAACTACCTTGTCGAGAAGGACCGCAAGTTTATTCTCGAGACCCTTCTCAATGGTGAGCAGCTCTTTGCCTCCCCCTCTCTGCCATCTACCTAGACTAATCACACTTGTCTCCCAGGCTTGGCTCGTCTCGAGTACCGGGGATACGACTCCGCCGGCCTTGCCGTCGATGGCGACAAGAAGAACGAAGTGCTCGCTTTCAAGGAAGTCGGCAAGGTCGCAAAGCTGAGAAAGCTCATTGAGGAGCAAAACCCCGATGCCACCAAGATCTTCGATTCACATGCCGGTATTGCCCACACCCGTTGGGCTACCCACGGCCCCCCCTCCACCGTCAACTGCCACCCTCACCGGTAAGCTCAGACAGATGCTCCCGCGAGAAGGATAGCCCTAACGCTGTTATACAGTTCGGATCCCACTTGGGAGTTTGCCATTGTTCACAACGGTATCATTACCAACTATAAGGAACTCAAGACCCTGCTCGAGAGCAAGGGCTTCCGATTCGAGACCGAAACCGATACCGAGTGCATTGCCAAGCTCACCAAGTACATCTATGACCAGGACCCCAAGATTGGCTTCACCGATCTTGCCAAGGCCGTTATTCAGGAGCTCGAGGGTGCATACGGTCTGCTCATCAAGTCTGTCCACTACCCCCACGAGGTCATTGCTGCCCGTAAGGGTTCGCCTCTTGTTATCGGTGTCAAGACCCAGCGCCGTATGAAGGTTGACTTTGTCGATGTCGAGTACGCCGAGGACAACACTGTCCCCCTTTCCGCCGATGCTGCCTCCCAGAACGTTGCTCTCAAGAAGAACGCTTCTAGCCTGCTCACCCCCGGCGACAGCCTCCTAGGTGCTGCTGATAAGTCGCTGCTGCACCGCTCCCAGTCGCGCGCTTTCATGACCGACGACGGCATGCCCATGGCCGCCGAGTTCTTCCTCTCCTCCGACCCCTCCGCTATTGTCGAACACACCAAGAAGGTCCTCTACCTCGAGGATGACGACATTGCTCATATCCACGAGGGATCCCTCAACATCCACCGTCTCAAGAAGGCGGATGGTAGCTCCAACACTCGTAGCATCCAGACCCTGGAACTTGAGTTGCAGGAGATTATGAAGGGCAAGTTTGACCACTTTATGCAGAAGGAGATTTTCGAGCAGCCCGAGTCCGTCGTCAACACCATGCGTGGTCGTCTTGACATTGCCAACCAGACCGTCACTCTTGGTGGTCTTCGCGCCTACATCAGCACGATTCGTCGCTGCCGCAGAATCATTTTTATCGCGTGCGGTACTAGCTATCACTCGTGCATGGCTGTGCGTGGTATTTTTGAGGAGCTTACTGAGATCCCGATCGCTGTTGAGCTGGCTTCTGATTTCCTCGATCGTCAAGCCCCCGTCTTCCGCGATGACACCTGCGTCTTTGTCTCACAGTCTGGCGAGACTGCCGACTCTCTCATGGCTCTCCGCTACTGCCTGGAGCGCGGTGCCCTGACTGTTGGTATTGTCAACGTTGTCGGCTCCTCTATTTCCATGATCACCCACTGCGGTGTCCACGTTAATGCTGGTCCGGAGATTGGTGTCGCTTCCACCAAGGCTTACACCTCTCAGTTCATTGCTATGGTTATGTTTGCTCTCTCACTGAGCGAGGACCGTGCCTCCAAGAAGGCTCGTCGTGAGGAGATTATGGACGGCCTTTCCAAAATTTCTGCCCAGATCAAGGCCATTCTCGACCTTGACAAGCCTATCAAGGACCTGTGCCAGAAGGTTTTCAAGGACCAGAAGTCTCTGCTTCTGCTCGGCCGCGGCAGCCAGTTCTCTACTGCCCTTGAGGGTGCTCTCAAGATCAAGGAGATTTCCTACCTTCACTGCGAGGCTGTCATGTCTGGTGAGCTCAAGCACGGTGTTCTGGCTCTCGTTGACGAGAACCTGCCCATCATCATGATCATGACCCGTGATGAAATCTTTACCAAGTCACTCAACGCCTACCAACAAGTTATTGCTCGCGGTGGCAAGCCTATCGTTATTTGCAACCCTGGCGACGAGGAGTTCAAGTCGAGTGATGCTCTCAAGATTGAGGTTCCTAAGACCGTTGACTGCCTTCAAGGTCTCCTCAATGTCGTCCCTCTCCAGCTGATTGCCTACTGGCTGGCCGTCCTCGAAGGACTTAACGTCGATTTCCCGCGAAACCTTGCCAAGTCGGTCACGGTCGAGTAAGGACTACTGTAGTCCCGCTTGATTGTGTTGGTAGGCATGCTCTTGCCCGGCGTTTTCCTACATGTGATTTTTGAGCCATTGAGCTCCAGATGCTCTTATGGTGTGCAACGTCGCATCCATGGGACTTTATGGAGTTGGGCATGACGTAAAACTTGGATTTGTGATGGTTTCTTTATATCTTTGCACGACGTACGTGATGGATAATACATATGGCGTCTCTATTTTGTACGGCCACAGGTGGCCTAGCGACAACTAGCTAGTATAATGAATGATTTAGCGATAGATCCAAGATGTGCGCAAGTGATGTGACTTGAGGGTTTACGTGAGTGCTATATGGTGCACCGATGTGGACAAAGTTGAACGTATGGTGGTGCAGAAGCAGCGTCTGATGGTACAAATTCATTGTTCTATGACTCCGAATACATTTGTCCTGCTATGGACGCAAGGAACACCTGTAGCTCAAGATTGGCCGAGTCGTCTATCCCCCTTATACACGCTCCCACTTAGACAGTTTGCGTGCCGTAGCCGCGGATCCTCTCGGCAAACGCCCAGCTCTGGTTCTCCAGCTTGTTGTCGTACGAGACGTCGACGCCCTCCGCGGTGACGACGGCCAGGGAGAAGGTGTCCATGCTGCGCGCGTCGCGGTAGAACAAGACCTTCATGCACTCCTTGACGAGCTCGACGGCCTCGGCCTTGTCTAGCGCGGCGGCGGCCTCCTCGTCGGGGACGCGGCGGCGGAGGATGGGCTGGGCGAGCATGGCGCCGTAGCCGGTGGCCAGGGAGGGGCTGGCGTAGGTGGTGCCGAGGAGGTCGGCGGCAGCGAGGAAGGGCTTGCGGTCGTCGTCGAGGCCGGCGACGAGCAGGTGGTTCCACAGCGGGTCGAACTTGGAGCGGCGGTTGTAGAGCAGCTTGGCGAGGTAGCGGTGGAGGTTGGCGGCGTTGAGGCGCGGCGGGGTGGCGTCGGAGGAGGACGGCGCGGAGTAGGCCTCGTTGAGGGCGAGGTCGGTCAGGTGCCGGTCGAGGTACTGCATGTCGGAGATGTCGCCGGAGAAGCCGACGACGGAGGTGTCCTGGAAGGTCTTGAGGCGCTTGACGTCGGTGAAGCGGGCAAGGGAGCCGTACGAGGCTGGGCGGGTGGTGGGCGTGTTAGCTTTATTTTGTTGCCTTATCTCGCTTTCGATATATGCAGGGTGCGCGAGAGGGGGATGAGCGTACCTAGGTTATCGGCGGCAATGACGACGCCGTCCTTGAACTTGACGCCAACGACGGACGTGCCGGTGACGATGGGCTGCTGTGTGTGCGTCCGAGGCGCATTCTCCTGGACGTATGAGTGGTCGTAGGCGCCGTAGACGTCGTCTCTAGGCTGGTAAAACGTTAGACAAAGAGCTCTCGACCGCAGAGCTCATCTGCGTCCAAATAAAAGACCAGGAAGGTGACGTACGCGACCCCATGCTTGCGGACGGTGATCCATTCTGAATTATGTTGGGCTTGTATGTAGTGTGTGGCTCGGTCGGAGCTATGTGGGAAGCACGGGAGGCTGGGCTGGTCGCTTGCGTTGTGAAGAATGCACAATTCGTTTCGAACCGGTGAAAGGAGGAGAGATGCAGGCAGCGATGATGGTGGGATTGCGGAATGGCGATGTTTGAGCCGAATGCTGCGTCGTCGAATAGCTATGGCTAGACCTGGTGTTCGCGCGTCCCACTGCAGCCTGCGTTCTCCAGCTGCTCAGAGGAGGATGACATAAGCTGTCCAGAATGGGCTCACTTTATTGGACGGGGAGCTTGGTGAGCTGCCAACGGAGCTGCTAAGTAGTGAGAACCTACTGTAGGCAGATATTCCGCTAATATGACATGTACTGAGTACATTGAAGCTCCCCGCTCGAATGAGAAGCTGGGTGACTGACGAGGTACTTCTATCCACACACAGTTTTCCGCCAAATATAGGTATCTGTCAAGGTAGCATCAAGGGAGGCAGGACATGCGACCGCGTTCAATCGGAAACAGCCCCCCAGCCCCCAGCCCTCGTCTCGTCATTTCCCTACATCCCATCGCATTCACTTGTACGAGACACACAACGGGACGGCCATCGGCATTTTCGGACCATCAATATTGAATTCGCGAAAATTCTCGTGGCCATTCGACTCAAAAGACGGGTTTCCACTACACTGCCACAGCGCCGATAGCTCATTGCAGCGATTTGTTTACTTGACTACCGCATTGGGAGAGTCCCGCTTCCCGTTCACCAACGACAACTATATCAACCAATTGCCAAACCGACCATGCTGAGCCTCGTGAACAGGGCCGCGGCTGGGCGCGCACTGTCCGCCGCGGCCGTCCCGACCGCTTCCCGCATCATCGTTCCCGTCTTTGCCGCGACGGCGCCGCGCGCGCACCGCCGCCTCGCGCCCATCGCCAGGAGCTTCACCGCGTCCGCGTGGGTTCGCTTCCCCGAGGGGGCGACTGACAGCACCGGCAAGCCCAAGAAGAAGACGACGACTGCCGCGAAGAAGAAGCCCGCGGCCAAGAAGAAGCCCGCGGCCAAGAAGAAGAAGGCGCTGACGCCGGAGGAAAAGGAGAAGAAGCAGCTCGCGCAGCTGCGCAAGATGGCGCTGCCCAAGGCACCCAAGGGCAAGCCCGCCAACGCATGGACAGTCTTCCTCGCCGACAACATCAATGCCGGCAGCGGCGTAGCCCTGACGGACGCGGTCAAGGACGTTGCTGCCCGGTTCAATAACATCTCTGAGCACGAAAAGACGGTACGTGTGATTCGGGAGTAGTTTGGAACTTCTCGACAAGGATACAAAGGGGGACATGCCAATGCTAACAATGACTCACAGCGGCTCAACGAGCGTGCCCAGGAAAATGCCGAGGCCAACAAACGCGCCCTCAAGCAGTGGATCGAGTCGTACCCGGTCGAGGCCGTCTACATGGCCAACCTAGCCCGCCGCCGCCTGGCGCGCAAGCTCGACAAGAAGCGCCCAGCGCTCCTCCACGACGACCGCCTGCCCCGGCCGGTACCCAGCGCCTACTCGCTCTTCATCAAGTCGCGCCACGACCAGGTCGGCGCCGGCACCTCGCCCACCGATGCCTTCCGCCAGCTCGCGCAGCAGTGGAAGGACCTGCCCGAGGCGGAGAAGCAGCACCTCAAAGGCACCGCCAGCGCCGACGCGCAAAAGCGGCGCCAGGTCACGGAGGAGCTCCGCGCCAAGGGTAAGGCGTACTGGGCGGCCAAGGGTCTGTAAAGGGGATGGCGGGGGGTTGTTTGCGATGACAAGGTAGATGGAGCGTGTAAGTGTATAGAAGATGAAGTGTCGAGGCCGCAGTACCGCTCATTGGTGCGGAGAACTAGAAGGAAAGACCGACGGGGTCGTGTGAGCCGTAATGCTCTGGGTTGAGAAGTGTCGGCTGTCTGGGAAGTTTTGTCTCTTCTCTCCAATCTTGTTGTTCGCTATATTGTACTGCCAGGAGCAAAGGGGGAACCTATGATTTATATTTACGAGGGTGCTGGGCTATTCTTTTTTCGGTATTTTCCTCTTGTCATGTGCTGTTTCGCTGGTGGGAATTTTCGGCCAAAACGGTCATGTACAACTATGCAGAAAGTCTAAATGAAAAAGAATCGGAAAAAAGGATCATTGTTAACGAACTATGTGACTTGATGTAGGTAATATCGTTTGTATTCAAAATAGAGAGAACCGCCATAGACGCCGTCCTATGCTGACTATCAATACCTCGTTGCCGTGCCCACACATGGTATACAAACGCCTGTTCTGAAAACTCAGATTTGACATCCTGATTACTGACGGGTAGATGAGAAGAGGAAGAAATCAAAAGTGATACGGATGATGGGGAGGAATACTAGATGCTCTGAGACCATGAGCAATTCTGAGAATAGACTAAAAATAACCAATGCCACCAGAGATAAACGAAGAAGGCGCCAAGAGAGAGAAACGCTGAGCAACAGAAACACCGGAAATCACCCATGAACCCCGGTCAAGGTGTATGTGAAAACCCGAAATGAAGAAAGGAGAAGAGCCCCGGAACTTGGGTCCTATGGTAAGACCTCCATGGCCACCGCGCCGTCGGCATCGATCCACTGGGCGCCCGTCGTCTTGATGTGCCGGCCACTAGCCAGGTAGAGCAGGAGGTACGTGTGCTTCGCGACGTGCGCCCAGCCATAGAGCTTGATATGGCGACCGTCGGCGGAACGGCGGCACCAGACGCCCCAGCCGGCGAGGCCGCTGCGGACGTAGCCGGCGAGGAAGGCCCAGGCATCGGCGCGCTGGGCGGGCGGCCAGGTGCGGCAGTCGACGCTCCAGTGGCCGCGCTCGAGCGGTGCGAGGGGCCCGGCGGCACGCCGGAGGGTCGGGCGGTAGCGCGAGCCGAGGTCGTGCGCGAGCTTGCCGAGCTTGGCGGAGACGAGGCTCGAGAGGTCCAGGCGGTCGACGCTGACGGGTGGCGAGGCCGGGCGCGCGGAGAGGGAGGACGAGAACGAGGAGGAGCGGGGCGATAGATGCGTGGAGGGGATCTGTGAAAGGACGTCGTGGGGGAGTGGTGAGGAGGAGAACCGCGCGCGCCGGTGACGGTGTGGCTGGTTGGTGTTGTCGCTGGCGCTGCGGAGGGGATGTACGGTGCCGGCGCCGCTGTCCTGGGCGACTTGTCGGGGACGTTTGGATGGGAGCGGATCGGTCTCGGCCCGGGGAAGGGCGGCAACTGGGGAGGCGCTGCTACCGGAAATGCTGCTGGATATGTGTGTGACATCCAGTGCAGAGGTGTCATGTATATCGTCATTTCTGACTGCCCTGCGCTTTCGCGAGGACTCTGATATGAGAGGTGTGGCGGGAATAGTGGGCTGGCGCTGCTCCCTGTTTCCTTGGGTGCCACTTGGGTTGGAGAGAGGGTCTGAGGAAGATATGCCAATGACAGTGGCTGGCACCTCCGTCTTGAGATTGTCTGGCTCGCCGACACTTGATAGCGTAGGCGACGACAGTAGTGGTGGTGCTGTGGGGGTTGGTGTCGGCTGCCGGCCGCCCATGTACCGCTGCAGAACACGCGTGGGAGTGATGTTGAACATGTCGCAGTCCGGCATCGGGTATGAGTCCGAAATCTGGCTAGGCAGCTGGCATACAGCCGCCGTAGGCGTAGTGACATTGTCATCCGGCAGCACCACCTGCTCCGGAGGCGGCCGTGGCGTGACGGGACGGCGTGGTTGTGCCGCGAGGAGACACGGCGAGGACCTGTTATCCAGAGCTTCCTTAAAGCTCAGTTCCTGCGAGTCGGAGCAGAACGACTGTAGCACGGCCTCGCCAAAGTCATCCCCCTCATCGAGCTGACATTGCCGCGAGGGAGGCGGTTGTTGGTGCCGCTGGTGTATCTCTGGCGAGCTGGGGATGGTGACCAGGGTGCGGCTGCCCGGTGCAAAGGACAGGTATGCCTTGGCGAGGCGGCGGTAGGCGGCATCATCGGCGACGCGACTGGGCGCGGTGACGTGGACTAGGATCTCGACGTCGCCGGAGGACTGGCTTGCCATGGTGTAGCGAGATTGCGGGACGACGACGGCAGTGATGGGCGAGCTGCGAGATTCATGGCGAACGAGAGGGGAAAGAAATGAATAGTAGGTTTTGGGTAGGAGCACTGCTGGGCGGAAATGGGTTGGGCGCCACCAGCAAAGCGTGGTTTGGTGGTGTAACTCTCTGTTCTGGCGCGTGCGTGATGGCGGTACTTATACTCGGGCTTCGTTTGCGGGTGACGGACAGGCAGCAGGTCCCAGCGGAGGAAGCTCCGTGTTGGCCTGGCGCGGTGGACGAGGGGGAAGCTATTCGTAGCCTCGTGATGTTCGAGGGCAAGGCTGACGCGCAGGGGTACGAATACGGCCTTGTCAAGGATCTGTCAAGGATGCATGGCGAGGCTGATAGTTCACGACCAGAGGTTAGTTAGGGTTGAAGAGTTGAAGTGCAGTTTGTGGATGCTGCCCAGGCAGCCAGCGACGGGCAACAGCGGGGCCAAGAAGGAAGCCATGGAACCTGGGATTTAAAGAGGATGAAGGTTTGCTGAATGAACAAGACTAAAAAAGCTAGAAAGTGGCCGGAAAGCAGAATGATGTAGAATAGTTGAATATTGTGTCCAGATAATGATATAATTATAAAACCCGGGCAATGCCCCTCCGCGATTTGCTGCCCCTCCTCATCCGCACATCACATCTGCACATTACAGATTACAGTGGAGCGCCAGCTGCAGACCCCCTATAAACCACCGCAACTACAGTCAGTAACCCGAAACTCCGTCACCGCCAAGACGCAACAAAAAAGAGAGATAACCCCTTTCCAACCTCTCAACCTTCAACCTCCCCCCCCCTCCTCCTTCTCCCAACAACAACAACGACCGTCATGTCCGCCCGAACCGCCGCCCCCAAGGGCGACCTCGGCAAGGTCCTCGTCGTCGGCGGCAACGGCTTCCTCGGCCACCACATCGTCAACCAGGCCCTCGACGACTGGCACTGCCGCCACGTCGTCTCCGTCGACCTGCGCTGCGACCGCCACCGCCGACCCGACGCCACCTACCACGAGTGCGACATCACCGACGGCCCCAAGCTCGCCGCCCTCTTCGAGTCCCTCCGGCCCGACGTCGTCATCCACACGGCCTCCCCCGTCGCCAGCGACAACGCCGTCCACCGCGAGCTCTTCCGCCGCGTCAACGTCGACGGCACCGCCAGCGTCGTCGCCGCCTGCCGCGCCGCCCGCGTCAAGGCCCTCGTCTACACCTCCTCCGCCAGCGTCGTCAGCGACTTCCAGTCCGACCTGCGCAACGCCGACGAGCGCTGGCCCGTCATCCGCGGCGCCCAGCAGCCCGAGTACTACTCGGAGACGAAAGCCGCCGCGGAGGAGCTCGTCACCGCCGCCAACCGTGTGGGTCAGGATGGCAAGTTGGGAACGCTGCTCACGACGTCGATCCGGCCGGCCGGCATCTTTGGCGAGGGCGACGTGCAGGCGCTCGCAGGCCTGCTCGGCGCCTACCGCACCGGCAAGTCGCGCGTGCAGCTCGGCGACAACGACAACATCTTTGACTTCACCTACGTCGGCAACGTCGCGCACGCGCACCTGCTCGCCGCGCGGCTGCTGCTCGCCACCGCCGCCGCCGGCACCACGCCGCTCGACCACGAGCGCGTCGACGGCGAGACCTTCTTCGTTACCAACGACGAGCCCGTGTACTTTTGGGACTTTGCGCGCTCCGTCTGGCGCGCCGCCGGCAACCCGGACGGCACCGAGGGCGTCTGGCGCATCCCCCGCGACCTCTCGCTCCTCCTCGGCATGGCCAGCGAGATCTTTAGCTCGATTACGCGGCGCAAACCCACGTTCACGAAGCAGCGCGCGGTGCTGTCCACGATGACGAGGTACTACAACATCGCCAAGGCCAGGAGCGTGCTTGGCTACGAGCCCCAGTGGTCCCTGCAGGAGGGCGTCGACCGCGGCGTCAAGTGGTTCCTGGAGAATGAAAAGGCCGAGAAGGCGGCGAAGGCATAGATGGGAAGGCGGAGTGTCGTGGGAAACGTTTGAATGGAGCCGTGTGTCTGAAAAGTGCTTTCAACATGCATCATGTATAGATCTATCTAATTAATACAACTGTAGTATAAAGACTTCTTCATACTTGAATGCCGTTTACCAGCTCACAGGGGCTTGTTCGCCGAGATCCCGCTCTAGAGTTGCAGTAGTCACTTGCCGTGTTTGGGAAAAGTTGATCTATTCCCATCCAGTGCCTCAACGTCCAAGGGGAGTGCCTGCAGAAGCAGCTTCACAAATCCCCCACCAACATCAACCGAACCCACAACGAAAATAGTAGAATAACCCACCTACCAGAGGAAAGAAACATGCAATGACAGTAGAGGTAGGCATAAGCGAAACCAACACCCGAGTAGAAAATAAACCCATCAGTAAAAGCTAAACAAGGAACGAAAGATTTAGTTCTGCATGGCTATGCTAATAGTCTTGCCTTTCAAATACATCAATAAAAGATCAATCCCTTTTGCTTTTCTGTAAGCCGACCACCCAGAAGAGAAGGAAGAGAAAGGAAACGAAGGAGAATAAACGAAGGAATAAATCGGCGGGAATCTAGTTTTGATACCACTTCTGGCCAAAATGTAGCCATCCTTCACCATTTTGGGTGAGCCTTCCAGGGCATAATGAGAAAAAAAAAGGAAAGAAGAAAAAAATCCTCTCACTGACTCCTTCACGCCGCCTGCGCCTCTCCATCACCACCAAAAACACCAATGTGCATAAACGCACCATTACATGAAAGCTAGGCTCGACAAATAGCATCCATCGGGTCTGCAGCAGCCTGCAGAAAATCGCGCGAGCCTGGTTGCTCGCTGTCGGTATCCTTCCATGCCGTGACTGACCCTTTATCGTCAGACGATCACCTCTTCATCTGGTCGAGCCCGCCTTCCAGCATGCCATAAACGCCTGGGCTAATGCAATACCATTCCAACTCCCACGGTTCCCTGCAAAGCATGGGCGCTAAAAACATTGTCAAATGCGCAATAAAACCAAATCTCAAAGATCGACGCTTTAGAAAGTTGCCATTCGAATCTCTCCATCTGCGCTTTTGAGCTCAGAAATTGTTCCCAACGCCAAGTCCACCTGGGTGTTGCTGTTGCTGCTGCCAGCCCGAGTTGCGCCACTCGTGCGGATTATGCTCCGTCTGCGTGAGGTGGCCCTCGGAGCGGTTGTAGTTACTATGCTGGTATGGTGATGGGTCGTCTGGGTTACGCCATTTTGCCGACGGTGTGCCCTGGTTCGACTGTGCATAGTGCGGTGCATCCTGTACGGGCCGTACTGTACGCTCGCCTTGCCACAGTGACGGGTCGGTCTCTACTCTCTTGGGTGGGGAGCGGCTGGAGAGGTCTGGGCGGTTGTAGACCTCCGTGATTTCGGCGGCAGGAATCTGTCCGCGGCGGTCCTGGAATCTCTTCAGGATCTCCTTGGACGTGATCTCGGTGCTGCTGCTGAAGAGGTACGGATCGTTGAGCAGAGTAAGAAGATCATCCGGAACCTGACACATCTCCTCAATATGGGCGATGAGGATTTCGACGGCGTCAATAACATAGATGGCCTCGCTGTCCAGCGCGGGTGCCTTGGCAGCGTTGGTCAGAATGTTAGGCGCAATGACGGTGGCAAGGTTGCGGACGTCCATCTTGGAGCCATTCTCCTCGTCCAGTTGATGGAAAGTGCCGGCCCACTTAAGAAACGTAAACAAGATCTCCAGACAATCACGGTGGCTCTTGGGTAGCAAGCAGCACACCAGGTGCAGACACTGCTTGCGCTTGGCGAGATCGGGGATCTTGGCAGCGCTTATCCACAGGCGATAGAGTTTGTGTGTCATCAGCGGATCCGGAAGATCACGAAGGTATCGTTTCAGGATAGCAGCTAGCTGGATTACCGGCTGTTCCATAAAGTTGATCTGATCACAGCCTTCATTGTTGACACGATCAACCATTTCTTGCTGCTTCTTGATGTTTCCGTTCTTTCGGAAGACACCCTCCACAGAGAGATCCATCTGGCGCATGGATGAAATAATGTCGTCGATGATGGCAGGAATACGCAAGGTACCAGGTCCGACGCCGTCAGTTGATTCGGCGCCGTCTCGCTCAATGATAACCTCAAGAGGCACCCCAAATACACCCTTCTTCTTCACGTTCTTGGTCTTGTCGTTCTTGAAAGCCTTGCCCAGGTTCTTCCAAAAGGTAGGCTGCTTCCTTGATTCGATAAAGGACAACAGCTCATCCAGGCTAAATTCTGGCTCAAGCATTGGTTGCATCGTAAGTACAGCCAAATGCCGAACGTTGAAGTATTCCAGAGCAGAGAGTTCCGGGAAGAATTTACGGACCAGTCTTGTCTGGAGCGGGTCAGGAGCACGCACATCCTGGCTCTGCCCGGCGGACAAAGCTCTCTGGTGACGCGCCGCAATTCCAATGTCACCCAGGGGGGGTCGTCGGGACTCCTGGGCCAACTCCCGTTGCTGCTGCTCCTTCGATTGCTCAACGGCCACGATACGGGGGATGTCGTCGAGAGTGATGGCGTCATTCTGACCAAACATCATATCCGTAGAGTTTTGGGGCGCATGCTTGCCCTCACCCTGAGCAGGCGACTCAGCGCGTGGGCCACGCCCGTCGGTGTCCATGACTCTTGACGTACGGGCATGTCGAACGCTGGATGAAAGATGACGATCGAGGCGCGTGCTCCTAAGACGGCGAACCTCGTTCAAAGTGTTTTCATATGTCGACTCTCGGTGATGCTCTCTATCTCCCGTCGCGGAATACGACTTTGATCGATTGTCGGCACCAAGGCTGGGGCGATCAAGACCAAGTCCATTGGCAGGCTTCTCGCCCGGAGGGTATGGGATCGTGCCATTGCTTCGAAGGATATCCAACAGTCGCGCAAGTGCAACTTTGAGCAGGAATACATATTGCTGCAGCTTTGAGACATGCTCAAGGCGAAGGGATGTGTCTGGGTGCTGAGGGGGCGTGCAGTTGGTGCATGAAATTTTGCGGTCAGATGGGGTAAAGGCTGCTTCTGCGAGGGCACGGCCAAGTTCACGACCGCATCTGGAGCATCGGAGGCAGGCTATATGCCATCTGTAATCGCCACTAGTCGCGCATTCGTCCTCGACGGACCGTCTGCAGACACCACAGTGGTCAGAGTCCTTTGCGGCGAGACGGCCGTCAATCATGCTCGCTGTCTCATCATTTTTGAAAGATTCAAAATCGTTGAGATCATCAAGGAATTGATGAAGGCCGTCACTATCTTGCATCTCACGTTCAAACCGTAAGGCGCCCTGTAGACATATGCGAATCAAAAGCTTCAGGTAGTGTGCCAGACCGGTCACAAGAGAGAGAAGTTCCTGGGTCACACCGAGCTTACGCGCATCGGAGTCTTGCGCTTTCGACAGAAGGGAGAAGAAGGACACGATTTTCTTGCAAAGTAGCTTTGCTTCACGCCCATAGGACATGCCTAGTACGATTAGCATGTGAGTATCTCACCAAGTTGAACATGACTCACCCTTTTCGGACTTTTGGGTGACTAGTTGATCCAATCTGTCGGCTGAACGGAAGAGAATCTCAACATGCCAAATGAAGCGTTTAGCCACAAGCACACCATCAACATAAGATCCGTTGCTGACATGAAGCAACATGTCTGAGATGCAGGCTGCAGACGATTCCTCAAACGTCGACAAGACGCTCCATATCCGATACACTTTATCTTCCATGCGCTCTTCATCGACGCGAATCAATTCTCTAGCAGTAGGATCGGCCAGGTCGAGAGGCGGCTCAGGATCGTCTGAAGGCTGGCCAAGACGGACATTCCAGAACTTGTGGATCATATAGCATTCGGGGTGCCAGTGTTGGTTCTGCCCATTCCGGAAAATCTCGACAAACTGCTTGAGAATGGCAGTCTGGCAACCATTGCATCGTTGAGCGAATCTTGTGGAGTAATGGTAGTGGCAGTAGACGTTGCCGTCATGTTCATAGTAGCTGTCTTGGGCGCCGAATACGGTGTCGCACATGGAGCAGGTAAAGTGATCGACGTGATATTTGCGGTCCAGAGCCGTTATGTATGAACCGCGTAGGGCGCCGCCACACTGAAAACAAAGGAGGCCAAGTCGTCTAAAGTAGTCGGTTTCGCAGAGGGGGTATTGACCCTCGCCGTTCTCGTCGTCGGCAGGAAAGAATTTTGAGGCAACAATTTCACCGCAATCCTAGGCGCGGTTGGTTAGTTGAGTGCAGGCGTGGTGGTTGTGAGCAGAGGGGCGGTTCGCGAGCGCGTTGGCGCCAACGCGGGGATTGGCTGAGGCTAAAAGCAACATACTCTACATTTGAAGCAATCAAGATGAAAGGTGCCGTCGAGAGCACGAACAAACTGGCCAGTCAAGGGCTCGCCACACTTTTTGCAGGTACGGACCTGGCCGCTGGCAGAACGACCGCTTCTCTGGCGCGACCTGTTTCTCTCGCTGCTTTTGCGAGGAGGCTCATCGTGCCAGGGGGCGCCAGCAGGAAGCGAACCAGGTAGCGAGGTAGGGCCCGGGTTGGAATTTGTTAGCCTTAGGTTATGGCTGCTGTCGGGGGTCTGTCGGCCGGTATTCTGCCAGGATCTGTCGCCAGCATCGCAAGCGGGTTGGTTGTTGTCGCTATGGGTCAGGTCGAAGGGCAACCCATTAGAGGAGTCGGGTGCCATGTTGACTGGCATCCGAACGCAGCGGTACTAGGAAGCGCCACGTCCAGAGATGCGACCGGTAGTCGTTAAAAAACAAGAAAGTCGTCGTATTTTCACTTTTTGCTTCTCCCTCGTCGGTTCAGCGCGAAAGCGGTTCGAGATTAGTGCAGAGAGGGGTCAGTGACGAAGCGGTCTGCATCTGCTCGGCTTGCGGGAGCCGGGTAGAAGAAATAGGGAAGATGTTGGTAGTGAATGTCAATTGCGAATATTGGGAGAGTATCGTCGACGAGGGCAACAAATCGAAATGTTGGCTGGGCGAATGGGGGGATAAGGAAACAAATCAACAAAGGTAGGGAAAGTAAAAAAACGAGGTCGCTGGAAGGTTTGCGCGGGCTTTGGCGGTTCGCGTGACGAAGGAACAACGAACGCGGCGGATATCGTTGGCGGCGCCGCGGCGCCTTGGAGACTGGGGTGATGATTAATGAATAGTGCGGGAGCGAGAGTGCAAATGGGCGAGGATGCCTTTGTGCAGGAATCGGCGGGATTGAAACATGTAAACCGGGAGGGAGAGGAAAAGAGGTGGTGGATGATGGGGTCAAGAATTCAAGGCTGGGCAGGCTGGGAGAGGAGGAGAGGAGGGGGGTGCAGGGCGCTGTACTGGGCGCTGTACTGGGCACTTGGTGGTGAGTGTTCAGTGGTGAGTGTGCTAAAAGGCAGTTCTAGAGGGGAGATGAGGGAGGGAGTTGGTGCAGGTATTTGGTGGTGGTAAGGTGCCAGTGGTGGCTTGACAGAGGGGATGGATGTGATGTGATGTGGCAGCCACTTGCGCACCAGCCACAAGCTTGGGTTGGTTAGAACGAGGTTATTATTAGGAGATGGGTAGTGCTTGACGGGAGTGCCTGGAGGCAGATGTAATTTCCAGGTAATCTATCTGAAGGAAACCCAGCCTTGAGAACCTAGACCAAGTTAGTGGAAGGGTCCGTTAGTCGCGGACGCAGGCAGCGGCGTGGAATTGAGTTGGCTGTCATCAAGTGGACGAGTCGGCACTTGTTATTATTCCTCGAATTATTATTAATATTAGTCCCTATTACCCACGCGTGTTGCCTGACAGAGAGAGGCGGACAAGAGCTACCGTCAGAGAATACGGGGCCCTCAACCAAGTTAGCAACCAGCCAGGTGGCTAGTCTGACGTAGTTGGTGGGTACAGGGGTGTAGAGGTACAGTACGTACATAGGTAGGCTGCCAGGTTTTCAGGATTGAGGTGGGTAGGAGAGATGTAGGTATAAGTGAGAGGGCAAAGGGGGAAAAGAAAAGACGAAGAAAAGATGTAAAAAGCTGATTCTGCTAAAGTTCTCTTATATCATTCTCTTAATTATTGGCGGTGGCGTGACTTCCGTCAGACAGCATTTTAAAGACGGGAGCCACTGGCGCCCCTCCCTTCCCGCAACCTGCCTGCGCCTTGCTGTTGGGTGGTACAGCTGGCAGGTACATACTATGTACAGTACATACATAGTTCGTTTATTAATAACCTTCGGAACCAAAAAGGACGTGTCCTGCGTTCGTTCTTTCTGCTCTCTGTTCTGGGCGGGCCGGGGAGCAACTGAGCCAACAGCTCCACGCTTCTCTTCCCTCTAAACCCTCTTCTTCCCCCATCTCTAGTCCAGACACGAAATCCACCGCGCTTCTTGTGAGTTTCATCTTCTCGTACATTTCCTAACTGAATTTAAAGTCCTACCAGCAGGGCAGTCTATACTAATTGTGCCGCCATTCTGCAAGTCCCTTATTAGATAGCAGCTGCTAACCCTCCGAAACCCCGCGCCAGTTACTGCTGTCCCACTCCGACGACTTCAAGACGCGCCCGCACACGTAATAATAAAAACAAAAACAAAGAGCCAAAGCAAAGAGAAAGAAACATTCGGCAGGCATGGGAAATTTTGTCATACTCAAATGGGGCTTGCTGCTCAACATTATCATTCACCATCCCGTTTCACGCCTTGTTCCTGAGCAGCTGCCGCAGCCGGGCCTCCATCTTGTCCCTGCCGGCCTCCGTCTCCCAAATATGCGGAGGGGCATCATCAACAATATCCCACCGGAGCAGCTCGTCCGTGAGACCGGTTAGGTCGCGCTGCTTGGCCTCCCAGTGCGGGTCGTCGCGGACGTGGCGGCCCGAGGTGACAACGACCAGTGGCACGCGACGATGCTGGATCTGACGCGCGGCGGCGACGTCGCGGCGCGTAAAAGACCCGAGCACCAGGCTCTCCTGCAGGCGCGCAAAGAGCGACTTGGCACCCTGGTGGGCGGCGCGGCCGTAGACGCGGTCGCCGCTGGTGCGTCCACGGAACAGCGCGCCGGGCAGCCTGTCGAGGCCGAGCGGGGACAGCACACCACGGAGCCAGAGGCCAAAGCCCCGCGTAGGCGAGGCGAGCGGGCCGAGGAGGTCCTCGTGCAGTGGGTCGACGAGGAGGATACCGCGGACGGCGCTGCCGTGGCGTGCGGAGAAGACGCGTGAGTAGAGCGACCCGATGCCCGCAGAGGCGAGCACCCACGGCCCACGCTCGCCGGCTGCGGCGAGAGCCTCGCTGAGCGCGTCGACGGCGAAGCCAGCGGACAGCGGCGACGGCGCGGCGTCGGACCACGCGAGGCCAGGGCGGTCCGCGAAACAGTACCGCGCGATGGAGCCAGCGTCGAGCGCGGCGTCGGCAAACTGCCACAGACCGTCCTCGACGGGCCTCTCACCGCCTTCGAACAGGACAGTTGGCTGCCGGTTGCCGCTACCATCGTGAGTTGTGGCATTGCCCCGGCAGTACACGTGGATGCGGTAGGTACCACCGTCGACCCGGTGGAGATCGCCGGGTGGCGCGAGCTTGGCGTCGAGGGCACGTAGGATGACGGTGAGGGCGATGAGCACGGCGGCGACGGCCATGAGGCCCGCGCCAATGCTGGAAAGTAGCACGGCGAGCCACTCGCCCAGGGTGCGGCGCGTCTCAGCGCGGCCCGTTAGGCGCTCCTCCTCCTCGGCCTTGCCCCATTGCACGGTGCGGTCAACGAGGATGGTCCAGAGGCTCATAAGCAGTGCCCAGACGACACTAACGACGCCAACCCAGCCCTCCTCGTAGCGGGTTTGTTTGACGGCGAGGATGATGATCATGTCGAGCATAAGGACAAACTGCTTCCAGTCAGTGTCTGCGTATGGAATCCCTGTGTATATGACTTACTGCCATGATAAGTGACAGCACCCGGAAAGCCCGTGACGGCACCTCGAAAAAGACGAGGGTCAGGAGCACGTCGGCGAGGGCGAGGCTGGCAAAGGCGTAGGCGTAGAAGCCGCCGCCGCGGACGTGGAAGCCCGGCAGCGTAGCAAAGGTGGACACGAGGACGAGCACCCACCAGAAAAAGGCGACCAGGGCGAGACTGACGGTGACCCAGCGCAGCAGCCGGATGCTCCAGAGGTTGTAGGGCGTGACGGCCGGGTCATCGGGGGTGAGCATGCCGCGGCTCGAGTCGACGCGATTGGGCAGCAGGCGGGTGTGCTCGTCGGGCGGCGGCATGGCGTTGACGTCGTCGTCGTCGTCGGCGCCGTTGCCGTGAGAGCGATCACCGCCCTTGGGGGACTGCGGCATGGTGAATTTTTGTATGGTAAGCTGGTATGGCAAAATGCTGGTACGAGTTGAAAAGCAATTTCTAAGTGTCTCCTCGATGTCGAGGATGATAGAGTCGAGCTATAGCATAAGCTTGAGGGTGTATATGTAAAGGAGTAAAAAATGCAACTATTCGAAAAACTAGACTCGAAAGAAATCAGTCGATTGGGCCATTAAGGTTCCCGTTGCAGCGCATGTATGAAATGCCGGTTACGGTATCCTGGGTTGCGTCCGATCGAGGTGCGCCGAAACAGGCATTGGCGCTGAAATGTAGACGTCATTCACCTGTAGTGGGGGCGCTGCACCGACTTGTCTTGAGAGAGAGACATTGTCTCGAGAATCTATCCCACGAAAATCGACCAAAATAAGATTTGATGGATTCTTGCTACCTCTTTTGTTTTCTTGGGGTCTGTGTTAAAAGTTTTTCGAGGCCCTCTGCCATGATCATGATCATGTGTAGACAGAATCTCTGTGCTTCAGTAACCTCAAAGTCCAATTGACGCCATCTCCAACTTGGTTCTCGGGAGCCAATCAATTTATAATGGGGCGATTGGGTTGCTAGCGCACCTGCTAACGGACCTCGCTCCCCTCCCTCTCTGCCTTGGTACTTGGATCAAGCAAACGACGGCTTCATGCAAGAGAGTCCGTGGCCTCGGGGTATGCCAAGAATATATTTTGCCAAGATATGCCACGATATGCCGCGAGTATCTTCCGCTCGCATTCCGCGATGGATTCAAGGGAAGCAAAAAAACCACATCGACATACACTCACGTCATACACCAATCATCGAAGGCACACTCCACGCCCATGGACACATGCCATGTCACCATGTATGCCGCTGCAACATTTGCATCAATCGATCAATACGAACTGCATCAAAATATATCGCTATGCTGGGTATCCAACCTAAAATACACGGCCAGGCTCAATCGGGCATCGTGGCGGCGCGCCTGCGCGTCACGCACACGTCGTCCAGCCCGCGCCACGACACCCTCATCAGTTTTGCCTCCACCCCTCCATCAACTGTCGACCTGATTTCACCTCCCCGGTTCTCGGCGCGCTAGTAGACCCGCCGCTGGATGAACACACGGGATGTCAACATGAACAATTTCTCAAAAAACACGACTGAAGCTTCATCTTCATTCCACGGAACCCCTTGCGCCTGCTTCTCCTCCATCGTCTTTCTCATCGACCCGGCGTCCTCTCCACCCCAGCGTATTATCTCCTCAATGCTCGGTACTGTCGGCAGGACTCCCGACGATGCTAGCACGGGGAACAATTTCTTGGTGAAATACTGCTGTATCATGTGTCGGGTCAGCACCTTCACCTCGGACTTGACAGAGCCCGAGGAGGAGGAGGAGGAGGAGGAGGAGGAGCCCGGAAACATCGGCTTTTTCGACCCCAGCTTACAATACCAATCCTCTATATCCCGTTCGGCCTTAATCAGTATACGGTCCCTCTGCTCCTCCAGCGCCCTTTCCAAATCCGTATTCGTCTTAGGGATGCTCGGCGCGCTCGCCGAGCCGTTGATTGACGAGCCGTTGGTTGCCAAGCCGCTGGTAAACGAGCCGCTGGTCGACGACAACGACGGCGTCGAGCCACGCTCACTGTTTGTCGCCGCCGCTCGTCGGCCTTGCTGCTCCTTGGCGAGTCGCTTCTCCGGCGTCGGCCCGGACGTGGACGTGGTCACGCCCGGCGGCACCTTGCCCAGCGGCAGGTGCATCTTGGCCGCGGCCGCCGGGTCCCGTGGGTCGACCTCGTGCTGCTGAAAGGCCTTTTGCTTGTGCTCCTTCAGAGCCTGCGCGGACGGCTCCTTGGTCGACACCCACTTCTTCACGACGCCCCGGAGCAGCTTGAACCGCTGCAGTACCGGTTTTTGGTTTAGGTCTGGTTTTTGGTCCAGGTCCGGCTTTTGGTCCAGGTCCGCGGTGCTGCTTGACGATTTGAACGCCTTGGCCCGATTCAGTGCTGGTCGTGCCCCCAGGACCGGGGAGTGACTCGGAGGGGACATGCCTTGTGATGCTATGTTGTCTTTTAGGGCTTCAGGTGCGTGGTTGTTGGTTTAAATCCGATGCGGGCGGCAAAAATAATGCAACGTATAAGTCGGAAGTTGGTGCGCGGAGTGTTGGTCGATGTGATCGACATGTAGACCTAGAAGTGATCGACAAAAGCCGCGATAAGTGCTGGTCGCGAGGCTGCGGCCCTGGTAAGCAAACTGTATCTTCGGGATCAAGATGACAAGACAGTCTGCAAAGTGCTTTGTAGAGAGGAAAGTGGCAACGAAACGAAGCGAGAAAGGAAAGGGGTTGCTTCGGAAGTAAAATATCAGACGAGGGGAGCGCCAACTACGACGAAGAGCGCCTGTATATGTCGCACCAAGTGCTGATAAAACAGTAGCCCGCAGCACCTAGAGGCACCAAGAGGCACCAAGAGGCACAGAGCGGTTCGCACAGACAGGCAGAGGGAAAGTCGGGCGATTTCTTGGGACAAGCGCTAATAACTGGTTAGTGCCGCCTGTTTTAGAAGCCGTCAGCGAATGTGCAATGGTGGGATGAAAGCTGAGAGCCCTGTCTGCACCTTGCTTTTCTTCGTTTGTGGGTGTTGCGGACTATTAACTGCCTACAGATCACCACGGAAGAAGACGCCGAAGACACGGGAGCCTTCCCTTATGTTCAAGACTTGGTAGGACTATCCGGCGCGTACAACGATACGCTCGTCCAACCATTCATTCACTAAATGCCGGGCCAGTCATTCGAGACGGACGAGAACGCACCATGCATGCATGCCATGCAAGTGTGATATACAGCCAAGAGGCGGAGGGTCCATGGAGTGAGGTTTGCAGCACATCAGCCGTCCAACCAGCAGCGTGCCGCTCACCCAAGGGCCTCTCCTCAATTTGAGCGTCAATAAATTATTAAAAAGAAAACAAGGTTCACGAAGGCCTGTTGTCCCTGCCGTGTTCCGTGCAGAAAATAACATGAGACCAACCCCCACAAAGAACGCGTGCGCCGTGCGTGCAGATGCTCAGAGCCCCAGCATCATTATCCTACCATGCGGCAACGGCAAGCTGCATGCATAAAGCAGAGCCGAATTACTGAATATTTTTTTTTTTTGCTGGAAAGCCTCGAAAAGGGGTTAGTTGCGTCTTGCAACGGTCTCGTCCCTCTTCGTGCCTGCCCAACAACGAGGGATGATGCGGGCAGTGGAAAAAAAAGAAAGCAAGGGTCGAGGAAAAAGAAAGGTGCGCTAATACAATGACTACCGAAATAGCCACCCTCTTCCCTCTTCGTATGTGATTCGACGCGACGCCAAGGAAAAAGAAAAACCTACGGGGAACATCCGTGCGTGCATCGGTCTATCGAACACAGAAATCATTACAGAAATCATGGGGCAAGTCCCATGCTTGACGTTTTGTACCTCTCGAGTTGCTTCCAAGACGAGAGCGTGGCGCCGAGAACACGGTCGCCTTGTGGAAGGCCAAGAGGCGTATTGTATGACAGGTAATCAATCCGTAGCCTGGTGTCTTCGTGGTGTATGCATGCCTACACTCTAACAAGTTGCTCAGCGTCTCATTCTAAGAAGCACGGAACGCCAAGAGCAAAATCCAATTCCGGGTTCGCAGACAAGTAGGCAATCATATGCACAACGCTTGTTCTGGTAGTTATAGCTCGTGCGGCTGTCAGTTGAAGGGTTGCCAAGCGCTCCCGGCGACGAGGGAAGGCTGGCGGTGGTAGACCAGGCACTTTAGAAATCAGGCACAGCTTTGTCTGAAACCATGCAGAAAATAGCTCATGAATAGCAGACATTTCAGCATGCGGTGTCCGAAACAGCAGAGTGAGAGAGTCATCGTCTCGAATCGCAATCGCAGCCTGCTGAGTGGTCGCCACTTGACCAGATATCAAGCCAGATTTGAGAGTAACACGACGCAAGGGAAGGGGAGCGCACAGCCAGTTTGCTTCTATTATCAACTACTACAACCCATTGAGCTTGAAACTCGTAACTTCAGGGTTTCATCTCGTTTATTACCCATTTGGAAGGGAAGCTTTGCACGCAAGCCAGTAACCACTGACAGCCCGAAATCGGGAGCCTTGCTTAGCGACCTCCCCTGAGAGGACGAACTGCCCTGTATTTTAATCTCTTCTCCTTATATCGACACGCTCCACAGGATCACAGCTAGCATCGGAAAGCCCTACTCGCCGGCTGATAGCGGTTCACGGCGTCAATCTCGCCGCGTCAAGAGGGACAACATAACCCGGCCGCAGGCCAACCAGGAGCCTTTGTCCGACTTCTCGGGATATGACCCCGGAAGATGACATCAATTCAATATTATCCGGGGTATTTTTACTTACTTTTTCAACTCGTAACATTTCTTACTTTAGTTGTCGGTTTGTTGGCATTCTCGGCTGCTTGTTACCCGGATGCCGAGGCACCAAATGGCAACAGCACTACCAATTCTTTTTCCATGGTGAACAAGATTATCAAGGTAGGTATTCAGAAGAGAGTAGCGGTGAATAAAAAATCCATTTCAATTCGGCCCAAACAAGGACATCCAGGCTGAAAGTTGGAGAACCCAAAGTTGCCTGCGGAAAGCGGCTTAAACTACGCCGTTGTGCGGCCCGGGCCACAACCTCCCCGCCATCGGGCTCACCTCCCGAAGCTACAACCCTGCAAGTTTGCTATACTCAAAACTGCCTCCAAAATTACCGATTAATCATGTATGCACGACTTTGCATGCGGCTCTTGCTTGTTGGGCGCCCAGGTTCCAGAACATCGCGGGCCCTTGCCCTTGGGGGGCGGCGAGCACATGCGCCGACCGCCGGAGAGCTAATGGCTTATATCAGAGCTTAAATCGTCTGCCCGGTTTTTTCATCTCTACTCAATCCACAAGGCATAATCGAAAGCCGAAATAATTTTTTTTTTTTTTTTTTTTTTTTACAAAGACGAAAAAGAAATTGTTTAAATGGACGATGTGCAATTGACTGAACGTCACCGGCCCGCGGCAACCGGCGGCTCGGCCGAGCCCGTGGCCGGTCACGAGATCCTTCTCGACGACACGGGCAGCCAAATCGAGCAGCCGCAGCTGGCGCCCGTCGACGGCGGCGTCGCGGCCTGGCGCGTCTTGCTGGCGGCCTTTATGTTTGAGGGCTGCCTTTGGGGTGAATGCCGCAGCTTCCTTCCTGCCCCTTTGCCCGCCCAAGACATGGGCTGACTTGACTATCGAAACAGGCTTCCCCATGTCGTACGGCGTCTTCCAGCAGTACTACTCGACCATCCCCGAGTTCGCCGGCAACCGGTACATTGGCGTCGTCGGCACCATCGCCTCGGGCGTCGGCTACCTCGGCGCGCCGCTCATGATGCTGCTCGTCCAGCGCTACCAGCGGTGGCTGCGGCCCATGATCTGGATCGGCTGTGAGCAAAAGCCCGTCCACCGTCCACCATACCCCTCTTCTCTCCCCTTGCCTCCGAAGCGCAATTTCCGCTGACCCGTGAAAAGGGCCCGTCTGCATCCTCAGCCTCGTCGCCGGCTCCTTCGCCACCACCCTCGAGGGCCTCATCCTCACCCAGGGCGTCGCCTACGGCCTCGGCTTCCTCGTCTTCTACTACCCGATCCTGCACATGGTCAGCGAGTACTGGGTCGCCCGCCGCGGCATGGCCTTTGGCATCCTCTGCGGCGCCTCCGGCATCTCCGGCGCCGCCATGCCCTTCGCCGTGCAGTCCCTGCTCTCCCGCTACGGCTACGCCGTCACCCTCCGCGCCGTCGCCGTCGCCCTCGTCGTCCTCACTGGGCCGCTGCTCCCCTTCCTCCGCGGCCGCCTGCCCCCCTCCGCATCCTCCGCGGCCGCCTCTGCCCCGATCGACTGGCGCTTCCTCCGCAGCGGCCTGTTCTGGACATACTCCCTGTCCAACCTCCTCCAGGGCTTCGGATACTTCTTCCCCGCGCTGTACCTGCCGTCGTACGCCGCGGCGCTGGGCATCGGCGAGCGCGCGGGCGCGCTGCTGCTCGCGGTCATGAGCGTGGCGCAGGTCTGCGGGCAGTTCGCGTTCGGCTGCCTGTCGGACCGCCGCCGGGTGTCGACCAGCGCGCTCGCGTCCACGGCCGTGGCGGTCGCGGCGGTCGCGTGCCTCGCCATGTGGCAGCCGGCCCGCTCGCTGGCGCCGCTGGTGTGCTTCGCCGTCGCCTACGGCTTCTTCGCCGCCGGATACACGGCCATGTGGGCGCGCATGAGCACCAGCGTCTGCCAGGGCCCCGACGGCTCCGCCTCCTCGTCCTCGTCCGCGGCGCCGATGGTCTACGGCCTGCTCAACTTTGGCAAGGGCCTCGGCAACGTCTTTGCCGGGCCCATCGGCGGAAACCTGGTTGCCAGGGCGGGAGGCCAGTTTGGCGGCGACGCCCTCGCGTACCGCTGGGTGGTGGTGTTTACGGGCATATGCATGCTGGCGAGCGCCGGTGCGATTGGGGCCAAGTATCTCAAGTCTGTGAGGGTTCTTTTCAGCGTGTAAGCTTTGGCTATGCTAGTTTTTGAACTTGGCGATACTTCGCTACTGCTGGTTTCTGGTACTGATTGATAAGACCATGATGTTATGAGGTGGCGTATTTTGATGATATTTTTATTTGGCAGACCTTAGATTGCATACATACAGTACGGAGCTTTAATGATGATAGAGATATGAACTACTCAGACAAGGTCGCAGTAAATTCGTCTCAGTGTTAATTGCGGTTTGAGTACTCACCAACAAGTTACCTCATTGCTTTGCGTGACCTCACTTGTTTGCTTCTTTGTTCTTGTCAACCTAATTAACCTCTGCTGTAGATCAGTTGTTTAAGTTGAATTTCCCTGCTTTTTTTCTTCTTCCCATCATTTCCACTTGGCCACTCTCATCATATTATTAGTCACTCATCATCACTTGACTTGATTAAATGCTAGTTGGCTCTAGCTCGCCCACCGTGCTGACTCGGCCCCTGAAATCAGCATAGTTATTCAATGAAAAATGGTACAAACCTGCATTGAAAAAAAAAAGCCACCGAAATTAGCATGATATTGACGATAAAGACCAATATACACGCCACCTAAAAGCCATGTGGCGGGGAGCCGGTTCCGTCATCGCCCCGCCCCGCCTAGCGCTGAAGCCTCTTTTCCAGTCATCAATCATCAAGAGCCAAACCTGGATCCTTCAAACCTCGACATTCCTGCAACGCCATCAACCACCGAGCGCAACCTTGTCCTAATCATCGCGCCCAGACCATTCCTGTGCCCAGAAACACGAAATCACCCACAACCACCAACGCGTCCCAACCACCAGGACAGCTTGTCCCTGCCCAAGCGCCCGCCGCTTGCGGCTCCCCGCCAAACCTTCCAACCCCGCCAACCTCTCAGCGCGACAACCAACCCACGATCCTCCCACGACGCGCACCGCGTCCCCTCCCTTTTTTTTTCTTTGCCACAATGCCCGCCCTCACAATATCAGCGAACACCAACAACAAGGGCCCCGTGGCCCCCCGCACAGCCGCGACGCCAACAGAACCGCCGCGCGCCGCCTCACCCGCCAACGGCCCTCCCATGTCGCCCATCACGCCTCCCCTCCGCGCCGCCCAACTCTCCTCCCCCGCGCCCCCCCTGACGCACACGACGCAGGAGACGCCCGCCGCCACGCTCCCGCTCGCGCCCGGCCCGCAACCCATCGACTTCGAGGGCAACCCGGACGCCATCGCGCTGCGCTCCGCCATCGCCGTGCTGCAAGTCCAGCGCGCGCGCGCCGCCGCCGACATGCGCGCCCTCAGCCGCGCCAAGGACGCGGCCGTCGACGACCCGGAGGCCTTTGTGCGGGACCTCGTCGCCGGCAAGGTCAACCACCACCACTCCGGGGAGGCGCAGGGTGACGGGGCGGTGTGGGCGACGCTGCCGAGGCCGCAAGAGGTGGTCAGGTGCCCGCCGATCAACTGGTCGCAGTACGCGGTGGTGGGCGAGTCGCTGGACAAGCTGCACGCGGAGCAGGTGGCGCGCCCGACGCAGGGGGGGCCGGCGGCGTACGTGCCGGGGCACGCGGGCATGTACGAGTTCAGGGGCGGGCACGGCCGGCAGGAGGCGTATCAGGGCGTGGCGGTGCCGTACAACCCGGTCAAGGACAGGGTGGACAGGAAAGCCACGAGCAAAGCAAGAAAGTAGACGCCCTTTTCTCCTGCATTGCTCTTTATTCTTCTTCTGCTTCTGCTTCTGCTTCTGCTTTTGGCGAGTTCAAAGTCATGTACGGTATGGCGTTAGGGATATTTGGCAATCAAACCAAGGATGCTATAAAAAATGGATGGCTCATTTAATTTCTCACTATTTTTCAACTAAAGTGCCCATTTGCATTCATCCTCGTGACCAAAAGTGACAGCCAAGATTATCAGCTGCCAAGTAGACCCCCAATAGTAAGTAAGCGCCATCCCGCCATTCTCGACCAAGCGACAAGAATGAATAAACTGAATGAGGTAGAGGGTCTACCTCCATATACTGACTGCCTCATCAGCTTGCTCAAGTCATTCGCCGTCTCTGTGGGTTGCTATTCAGGAAAGTCCCTGCAGACACGTCAGCGCAATGATCGTAGAACAATGACTGATAAACACCTACTCCATGCTATCTTGTACAGATCGACGCAGTCTTCGGTTATACTGCTTCTTCTCGTCGGGTACTTGGCTCCAATATAGCTTGGTCGCCTCAGGATGGACGGTTTTTCGCGGGTCGTACGCCGGCTCATCATCTTCGAGAGCCGCCACAATGGCCTCAATATGAGTGCGTACATCGGCCACTGCGCTGGTAGGTGGGTTATAGCAGTATGTGCCATCCGGTGCAATTTGATGGTGAAAGATCTTGGATTGGAAGATGACGCGTGGCTGCTCATTGGGGAATTGAGGGCTGAAGTGCAGCTTGATTCGAACGATGCCACCGTCGAACTTCGTCATAGGACGTCCAAAGTATGTTAAAATCCAGATAAAAGGGTTGTCGTTTTCCAGGGCCACACTATGGGGCACGTCTCCTCGTTTGAGATGGGCAACCATTCGGTCGAATTGATGTCCCAGGTTCACAGCTACAGTTGAGTCACTGAGTTTTGCAGCTAGGCCATCTGCGGCCCAGCAAGTAAGCTCCTGGTCAAGAGCCGCCTTGACATTCAAAAGGCGGCGTTCGAGCTGTGTGTAGTTGAAGCTGCCCTCCATGCAGTTGCTCCCCTTGTGTTCGAATGGCATCGACTGGAAGCGCGTACCATCCTTGGTCTCCGATTTACCGAGCCGAACAGCCGCCATATAAGACTCGAAATACCAGAGAAAGCGTCGCTTGAAGAGATCCTTGAACGGCTCGAACGCTACTGTCGCCTCATCGACATCCGAGTCATCGCTGAGCTTTGGTGGCAGGTTTCCAGTTCCATCTGACTTCAAGTTCAGATACTCCTCCAAGCGTTGAATGACGGAGATCCTTAAGGTTTCATGGCGAATCTATTCTGTTTAGAAGGATTATGGGGAACAGGAACAAGGCGCTTACCTTCTGAACATAAGCTTTTTGCCTCTGTTTATCCTCTGCATCGTTGGCTTTATCGTATCCAGGCTCATTTTCGTACGGATTTGCAGACATGAGGCTCTGGATCGATAACAGAACAGATTCCATACCCTGGGCAGATGACCATTGTTCGCCTCGTTCACCTCTCCAGGTCCTGAGAAAAGTTAGCTCAGCTCGCAGCGGCTCTTGTGGACGCGTACCCTAAGATGGATCTGCAACGGTTAGCAAAAGGCATTAATACGAATTCGGTCTTACACACAGGCAAACCTTTCCATTGGAATATATGTTCGGGTTGAAGCGACAGCGCCCACCATTCGTCGTAAGGCACTGCACTGATGGCGCGGTTGATGGGTAGGCTGTGGTAGGTTAGAATACTGCAGGCAGTGGGAACGGGCGGCACATACACTTGGGAATTTTGATGGCAAACTGTAATTGAGTGGTTAGATGGACTTTTTATTGGGGTGTAATGACGACTTACTTCGAAAAAGCCGAATTCGTATGGGGTTTCGTGAGGACCGATGATGAGCGCCTTTACATTACGCACATCGACATCGCGACAGGCAACGGCAATGGCTGAGAGTGGTTAGCTATGGCTGCGGTCTGCGACTCATGTAAATCGACATAGAAAGACGTACAGAGATCAGAAGACCGTTGCATGTCTGCCAGCTCCTAGAGAACCTCGAGTGTGAGCACTGTTTAACGGTGAAGGAGGGCTCGGCTCACCTTTGTGATGCGGATGATTGAGTGGTCCATTGTAGCGACCGTGGGGGTCAAAGGAGAGCAGGAGAGCCGATATCTATGCAGAGCCGTAGAAGCATAAATGACGAGGAAGCAGCAGGTTTCCTGACCCGGGGCGGTTCACAAACTCCAGGAACCTGTGCAGGGCGACCTCGTTGTAGGGTTCGAAGCACCACGCTGGGTCGATGGACAAGGACAAGGCGGGAGCGGGGCAGAGCTATCTCGACACACTCAAGCCGTGGTTGTTAATGCGGTAAGCCGTAATCGTAGGAGTCACTGCAAAGTCGATGACGGTTAATATATTAGAAATGTGAAGATGAGGTTGGAAGAACAGAGTTGTGGTACGGTGGAAGAAGGTTGAGGAAAAAGAGAAGCCTGGCTGGACAAGCAGGCGTTTGCATTGTCGCACTGGAGGCACCGACCTCTTAATTAGTAGGCATGTAACTGCTAGTCTGGGCACCCAACACAGAAGCTTGGCGCCGGACTGGCCTGGTCTGGTTGCAGAGTTTAGGTCACTGCCCCAATCGTGATTCAATTGATGGTCCGTTTCGAGATTCACGGCCACAACGAAGCTCCATCCCAAGGCAACCAGTCGCCCGAGGCAGTGTAAATGAATGGTTCGCAGCTCAGCAGCTCAGGCAATAACGCCCTAATTGATGGTGGGGCTTGCAGGTGCAGGATGTCATGGGGGCGCCTAGAGATTTCAAGGGGACCAGCATTGCAGGATTACGAAGATTGGCTAGAATTGTAGGGGATTTCTTTCTCTGACGAGAAGAACTATTTCCTTGGTATTTCTAGTTGTGATTTTATATGAATTGATCCCAGTAACAGATAGGTATGCTTCTTTACAGCCAGTGACGTCCCGTGCAGTCTCATCCGTTGCTTGAAGCGCCCCGCTCAGTGCTTGGTCGGTACGTACCGTGAATCTTGCCAGGCACGCGAGGCGGCTGTCGCGTCGCAATGCGCGTTAATGGGTTTCCATATTCTATCTTCATCTTTGCCAGCCCAATCTCACGCCTCCCCCTACACATCTCTCTACATAGCTGCGCGGGTCTTCAATCGCCGCATAATTATACGGTAATGGCATCGTTCTTCGATATCAAGGCCCGCAAAGCTGCGGCCGCCGCGAATAGCGGCTCAGAGTCCAAGCAGACCAAGGCCGACGACGGCCGGGTCCAGCCCTGGGTTGAAAAATAGTATGCAACAAGCCACCAACTTGAACCCTCAACGCATTCGCTAACAAAAAATAGCCGTCCCAAGAGCCTCGACGACGTCACCGCCCAAGAACACACCGTCAGTGTTCTCCAACGAACGCTACAAGCCGCCAACGTAAGGCCTCGATCCGAGCTCCCACACAAGACACGCTGCTGACGATATGACCCTGTTCCCCCCCTCAGCTCCCTCACATGCTCTTCTACGGCCCGCCCGGCACCGGAAAGACGTCGACCATCCTCGCCCTCGCTAAGCAGCTCTACGGGCCCGAGATGATGAAGTCGCGCGTGCTCGAGCTCAACGCCTCGGACGAACGCGGCATCTCCATCGTCCGCGAAAAGGTCAAGAACTTTGCGCGCATGCAGCTCACCAACCCGCCCACGGCCAACGGCTACCGCGACCGCCACCCCTGCCCGCCCTTCAAGATCATCATCCTCGACGAGGCCGACTCCATGACGCAGGACGCCCAGAGCGCGCTGCGCCGCACCATGGAGATTTACAGCAAGATCACCCGCTTCTGCCTAATCTGCAACTACGTCACCCGCATCATCGACCCGCTTGCGAGCCGCTGCAGCAAGTTCCGCTTCAAGAGCCTCGACCAGGGCAGCGCGAGGCGCCGACTCGAGGCTATCGCGGAGGCCGAGAAGGTGCCGCTCGAGGAGGGTGCCGTCGACGCGCTGATTCGCTGCGCAGAGGGCGACCTGCGCAAGGCGGTCACGTTCCTGCAGAGCGCGGCGCGCCTGGTCGGCGCCGGGCCGGCGGCGGGGCAGCCCAAGGATGTGGATGGCGACGAGGCCATGGATATGGACGGGAAGGCGGTGACGGTCAAGATCATCGAGGACATTGCCGGCGTGATTCCCGGCAAGACGATAGACGAACTCGTGGCCGCCCTGCGCCCGCGTGGATCAACTGGCTCATATACCGGCGTCTCCAGGGTGGTGGAAGACATGGTGGCGGACGGCTGGAGCGCCGGACAAATCGTGTCCCAGGTAAGCATCGCTGACCGTCTTAACCAAGGCCCCGTTCTAACCCGCTATAGCTGTACCAAGTCCTCGTATACGACGAGACGATTCCCGACGTACAAAAAAACAAGATGGTCATGGTCTTCTCGGAGGTGGACAAGCGGTTACTGGATGGCGCCGACGAGCACCTGTCGATCCTCGACTTGTCCATGAGAATATCTGCCATCATGGCTGAAAAGTAATCACCTGCATATAACAGCGATTGTACTACCGAACTGATGTAAGAAAAAGAGAAAAAGTCGGAATTTGGCTATGCATGCAAGTAGACAAGGGTATATATGCAGTAATCTCATGTCACGGTCCCTCCTGACCCAGCAGGCCCAGGTTGCCTCGTACTCTCGACCACGGATCCGTCGAGCTTTGCGGCTGCACCTTGCTCCCTTTCCTCGCATGTCTCTTCGCCCTCGGCGTCTCCGCGAGCCACGTATCCTCCTCGGCCGGGCTCCTCCCCTCCTCGCCGCCGCCGCCGCCCAGGACGTCCTTGCCGGTCACCTCGCCGATGCCCTGCAGCGTGCTCATCAGCCCCTCCAGGGCCGCCTGGCCGGTCTCGAGCGTCTCCGCCACGGACTCCAGCGTGGCCATCTTGGCGGCGTCCGCGGCGTCCACCCACGGCTGCACCTGGCTGGCGATGCTGCCGCCCTGCGACCCCGTCGCATCCACGCCTGATCGGTGGTGGTGGTGGTGGTGGTGGTGCGGGGAGGCGCCTCGCTGGGAGGGGAATGCTGACAGAAGGTGGCTTTCCTCGGCCAGCTTGCCGACCTGCCGGCTGTGTTCCTGGGCGGTCCTGTTGACCAGGGCAGACGCGTGCGTTCGGTATGCCACGGTGGCCTTGTGGCTGGCAGAGGTTTCGACAAGCGCGGCCAGGTACGGCGCAATCAGGTGATCCGTTGGCGGACGCGGCGGTGCTGCCAGCGCATAACTCGTTCGCTTCGTAGATTTGGCATTCCTAGATGGCGGCGGAAGCGGTTGCGATCCGCTCGCTGCTGCTGCCATTTCCAAGAGGAGCCTTCGCGAGGAGACGTAGAGGTCGTACTTGTCCCTGATGGTCGCCAGCTGCTCTTGAATGGCCGCCGGGTCCGTCACGCCACCGCGCTCCGTTGCCGACGAGCCCCCCTCGCCGTCCTCTACCGCAGCCTGCGCCGTCTCTGGCGACGCCTTCCCCAGCTCCGTCTCGATCCAGGCGATGAGCTCGTCGCGCGTCGCCTGGCTCGGCGGCGCCTGCGTCGTCGAGGACCCGCGCCGCCGCCGCGCGTGCTGCTGCCTCGCCTCCTGCAGCAGCTGCTCCTCCCGCATGAGCAGCAGCTTGGCGCGCAGGACGACCTTTTCGAGGCGGCCTATCTGCGCGGGGATGTCGAGCGGCGCCGAGCTGCTCTGCTCGACGACCATGGCGTCGGTGACGTCCCGGGGCACGGGGGGCAGGGCGGTCGCGACGCCGTGGAAGACGCGCTCGGCGTCCAGGAACTCCGGGTCCGCGGCCGGCTGCTCCAGCAGCGTATCGAGCGTCTCCTGCACCGCGTACAGGCTGTCGCGTTTCTGGTGCAGCTTCAGCAGGGCCACGCGCTCATGTAGGCCCGACGACGTGGCCGACGTGGCCGTCTCGTCGGTGCGTGGCGGCCCGGGGACGGCATACTGGCGGGCCTCTTCAAAATCCTTCTTAGCGGCCACGTTTTCCTTCAAGGCTTCAAGGTAGTCTCGGTAGATGGTATTTTCCGTCGTGCTGTCTGTCTTGATTAGGCCGCCGGCATCGCGCCCGTTGGCCAGGGCCAGCGTGGGTGTGAGGGCACTGCCCTGTGTGCATTTCGCAAGGTGCGCGGCTAGTATGCGCCGAATGTAGCTGACCTGCTCACGGGGTTTGATGTATGGATTTAAGCCGTCCTGAATTATCGCGGCTATGTCTTCGTTTTCTGGCATGATGGCGCGCGTGGCTTGCTGATGCAAGGTTGAAGCCAAGCGAGGTGACGCGCATTGCAACTCCTCATGTGGAGAAGGCAGGCGGCCTTGAGCCCAGGAAATACCTTGCAGAATTTCTCAATATTTCCAGCAAAAATGTAGTGAGTCGCCGCAGTATATCTTTCTTATTATATATAGATAAAATTCAAAATTATGCCTGTATAAAGTAAGTATGTCTTTTCCTCATCTATCCGCTGGACGAGGAAGGCGAGAGTAGCGGGGCGCATGTACTTTGTGTGTGCATCTCAACACACGCCAAACACCGACCAACAGCGTGCAGATCAAGCCAGTAATGTACTGGAAAATTAAACACAGCCCTACTTCTACATATGCTGTATGGCCACTCTTTTGCTCTGTACGATTTCCGCGTGTCTGTCAGAGAGCTCAAATTTTAGCAAGGGTCTACCGTGTTTGAGCACGCCGCCAAAGCTGCCCTGAACCCATTCCTGATGGCCATCTAAATCGCGCTTCCTCATTAATTAGCGAAGTAACACCGATGATTTAAATGACAGTGGGAATATGGATAGATGCTATGGTATGGTGCTGATGTCAAATTGGTGGAATGAGGGTTGTTTGTGCCTCGAAACGGCCCAGTCCCCGCTATTGCTCCTGTAGTAGATGAGGCATGTTCGCGTAGGCTTTTTCTCAACATTGAAGGAGAGATTTATTACCTCTTGCCTTTTGAGAGCAAGGGGCGCGTATCAGCCATGTAGTTCGCTCCTCACAGCTTCAGCCTCGCCAAGAGATGAATCGACGCCACAGGCACGCACGCGCTCGGTAGTGATACTTCTGCAACATTGGCTTGAAGAATATCCCGATCGGGATTCCAGCTCTTGCTAGCTTTGCGATGTTTCTTGGTCTATATACCAATCAAGTCATCGGTAGGAAAAAGTGGCGCATCTCATACCACGCCGTAAGTAATCTTGCCTCGCTAAACTCGCAACTCGCCTCTGCGAATCTCGTAACGTTACCACTGTCTACTGACTTGCCGGCTGATGCGGTTGCGTAAAGGTCATGAGTTGCGAATCCAACTCTAGATACAACAAACCATCGCTTAGACTAGCTTCCGTATCGCCGACGGGATTCTCGCTGGCCAGCCTTGTTTCATTCTGCGACCAACGCCACCAGACCATGATGACCATTAGGCCCTTTCCCTTTCGAGAAGGTCGTTTCAACCTCAAAACTCGAGGGTTATGGCTTCAATTTTACGAAAACGTCTTACAAAACTTCTTTGTTGGCCATGGCTACGAGTGGAAACTGTAAAAGCTACTTATAGGAGCGGTTTTCTTTCTCGCCAAGAAGACCGTTGACAACCATCTCTACCTCTTAACTGCTTTGCACCGTTCAACCAGTCTTTAACTTCACCTCTCCTCTGCCTCTCATTATGCATCTCTCAATCGCTCTTATGACGGCCCTGGCGGCCAAGCTCGGTGCCGCCCTGGTCGGTGTCGACTGGAACTTTCCCAGCTCCGACGATGGCGTCGGCCTCAACGACGTCACCTTCGGGTTCGACGTGACCAACGCGCCACACACCACCGGCTTCTACTTTGCGCAGCAGTTCTACTTCAACGGCGTCGACGGCGGTGCCTACACCGGCTTGCAGCCGCGGCCCGACAACGACAATGGCAGCGTCATCCACGCCGCCTTCTCCAGCTTCGTCAGCGGCACCACCTCCACGTCGTCCCTGTGCAGCGACGGCGCCGACGGCGGCGACGGCGTCAGCTGCTCGACCGAGTTCAACGGCAACTACTCCCACGCATACAACTGCGTCGTCGAGACCACTGACGGCGGTTCGACCTGGCGCGGCACCGTTGTCGACACCGTCACGGGAGACGCGCACCCGGTTGGCGAGTGGAAGCTTCCCAAGCAGGCCGCCGGCCTTCAGTCGTGGGGTCTCGGCTTCGTGGAATACTACATCTACCCTCGCGGGTCGGACGGAAATGTCATCTGCGAGGACCTGCCCCTGACGGAGGTGACTTTCTTCTCGCCGTCGAGCAACACCAAGGGCGCGAACCAGGGATCGGTTGCTAAGCCGTACGAGTACGGTGACTGCGTCGGCAAGTCTGCGTTTTCGACCACCCAAGTTACCGGCGGTTACGACGTCAAGGTCGGCTTTAGCAGCAGTGGATCTGGTGAATCTAGCAAAGACTATTGCTAGAGCGCGAAAACAGGCTGACGAGTGGTCTTCTGTACTGACACATTCGGCACCTGCCGGAAAATTTCAATTCAGCATCACGAATTAAGTAAAAATTCGACTCGATGCAATATATAGCTTCCCTTCTTTCTAGATCAGGTATCAATTTCACAACAACTTCAATCAAGTGTCACAAACAACACACCTCCACGTAGACTGAGCTAAGCGGTAGCGACATTCTTCTTGCTGCCACTTCTGCTCATTGTCATGCCGGTCGCATTGCTATCCTATAGCGCATGCAGGGGTTTGAGCAAATTTTCCTCAAAAATGTCAGGAGGCCTTTTCGCGGGTGTCCTGAGGGCATTCTGAAAGGTTAGCTTTCAGTACTTTTTGAGTGCGAGAATAAATTTACCAGCTGCGGCGTGAGAGGACACGGTTTCGGAAGAACGTCTTTCAAGCTTGATCTTCACGAGGATAGTTAAAGGTTCTACACGCAGATTATGCTCACGTCGCTAATCCATAGGTGATTCGAAAGAGCGCAGCTGTACCATTCGAAAAGAGCCTTAAACATATCAACAGCAAACAGAATGTCCTATAGAGATTCATACTCATATACGCTTATACTTGACGTGTATTTCCATAGGACTAAGCTGTGCTTCTATAGAACTTTTCCACTTCGTCACGAAATCTGTCCATGGTTGTTAGCTGTGTTGGCGTGATGCGGGGAGAGGGAGGAACAAACCATGAACGGTAGCCTGCTGCGCTGGTCTGGAGCGTAGCACTCGGCCATGACCATCTCCTAGGAGCCAAACTGCTTGACAATCTGCGCAACCTTGTTGGCCAGCTCATCCGCCTCGGCGCGCGAAGCGGCTTCCGCGTAGACTCGGCAAGCGTTCTCGGTACCACTAGCACGAGCAAAGGACCGCGCCGACGTGTATTTCCTAACACACTCGTCGATAGCGTCCTGTGCCCCATCCGGCTTGGCCAGCCGACGCTCAGCATCCGTGGCCTCGAAGGCGTCCTTGTTGGCAACCTCGACGCGTACCAGACGGTTGGGAAGATCCGTGTACGTGGTGGCCCAGTCCTTCAAAGTCCACCCCTTGTGAGCGAGGACGACCTCAACCATAAGCAAGTCGGAGATGGCATCACCGACAGTCTGGTTAATCAGGTCGCCAATCGCCGCCAGAGTCTCCAGGGCATCCTTCTGGGCCGGCGACTGAGGCTCCTTGCTACCAAACAGGCGCAAGGCATCCTGCGAAAATACGACGGTGCCGTGTCCATTGGCTTCGAAGTAGACGCCGATATCATACTGGCAAGCGGCATGGTGCAAGTGCTTGACGCCCGTGGGAGTAAAGACAACAGGAAGCTGCAGCAGCTTCTCGATGTACTTTGTGCTGGCGCCGTTTGCGTATGCGGTCTGGATAACACCAATGCGCAGGTCGTCTGCGAGACCTGCAGAGCGGACAAGCTCGCCAATAAAAGAAGCGCAGAGGGACGAAATGCGATCGCCGTCGAGCATGAAGAAGCCGGTGTCGGGATCAATCCAGTAGTAGATGAGACGGTCAGCATCGCCGTCAAAAGAGCAGCATCGGGTGCCAGGTACAGGCTTGGGGCTGGGAGGGTTGCGCTGTCTCGTCTTGACAAAGTCGGCGCCGCACTGAACAATCAGCATGCATTGTGACGGACTTGGCAATTACGTTGTTTACTTACGTCAAGGTTCAAGACCTCCGGTCGCAGCACATCGTCATTTACAATTTTCACATCAAACCCTGTGACGTCCTTGGGAATGATCTTGACAAGCTCGGCGAACTTGGGTCCACCGACACCGTTGGCACAGTCAACAATGAGCTGCCCCTGGATTTTGCGTCCGCGTAGGGCACGGACAAAGGCTTCGGAGAGCTTCTCGTAGTACCCGGCCTCGCTGACTTTTCCATACGATTTAGGGGTGCCCTCTGTGTTGACACAGCGGACCAGGTAGTGGAGCTGAGGGGTGGTGAGGATCTTAAAGTCGGTGTACTCGGTGTTGGTTGCTTCAAGGGCATCGGCCAGCGCAGCAACGAGACCGTGGCCGGAGGGGCGGGTGTCTCTGCCATAGACGACCCGGCCGGGGGCCGCGAGGTCAATCTTGAGCTGGGCGGCGAGGGCCTTGTACGTGTCTAGAAGCTCTTGGTCGGTGGCGCAGTTGACAAGCTTGGTAGCATAAGCCTCCCACTCCTGCTCAAGCATCTCTCCCATGGGGTCAACAATCTTGACGCCGTTATCGGGTGCGGGGTTGTGGCTGGCGGTGATCATGACACCGATGGCCTGGCCATTGAGCTTGCGGCTGCGTAGGCCGGCGAGTAGGCCAACACGGAAGCTGACGCAAGGCAGCAGGTCGGCCTTCATGCGAAAGCCAGCGGTGCCATACTTGTAGACATGGCCGGCGGTGATGGGGTACTTGGCTGACGCCGCTAAGAACTTTCCATCCATGGCTGCGGCGGATGGTTTATGGCAGAAGTGTGATTTCCCGTTGGGTCGATTTCTGCGGCGTGGCAGTGTTGATGCTTGTTGTGATAAAGTCGACGATTTGTGGAAAAGGGAAGGTGATGAGAGGGCTATGCAGCTTGCTGACTAAGGAAGGTGAGTGCTAAAGTGAGGGTGTCATCAGGGAAGCAAACGTAGACCGGAGATTCTTCTTAACAGGCTGGCTGTAAGGGTAATTCAGCTTAGAATAATAGTAAATATCGCGGTGTCTAGATTAACGAGCATTTTTTTTAATATCCATCTTTTCTCTTCATTTTTGTTATCATTTTATCCCTCTTATACCTCTTATCCTTACCCCTCTTCTCCTTCGTATCCGTATAACAGCTTTCCATACTTACGGAGTGCAGAGACAAAGAATTATCCTTTGTATTATTCTTATACTTAAACTTTCTCTTCCTCAGGAACAAAGGCGAATAATAGCAATGACCCTATCATTTACCGCCTAGCAAACATCTTAGAGATGTCAAGGTTCGCCGCAGTGAAGCCATCGCCGCCGCCCTGCTCCATAGCCATCATCATCCCCTTCATCGCCGCGCCGCTCGCGCCCCCCGGCGCCGAGCCATAGACGGCCTCGGCAAACATGCGTAGCTGCATCGGGAACTGTCCGTCGCCGTAGTGCTCCACGATGTCGCACTTCTCCACTGCTGCCGCCAGCGAGTGCCACCCGCCGGCCTGCATGCCCAGGTCCTCGCACTCCTTCTTCGCGGTCTCGTCCCACCACGGCGGCAGAAGGGCCGGGCGGGCGGCAGTGACGCGGCCCAGGAAGCGGCGGAAGCCGACGAGGCCGTTCGGCGCGCCGCCGTAGAGGCTGTCGGCCTCGGCCTCGCCCTCGTGGTTGTACATGTCCTCAATGCGCAGGCGGTAGGCGTCGAGGAGCAGGGCGAAGACGTCCTGGCGCGGGCGGTCGTGCAGCCAGGTCCCCTTATCGAGGCGCGTGAACGGCTGGGCGATGCCCTGCTGTAGGCCCTTGGGAGGGGACAGCTTGGCCGAGGAAGAGGAGGATTGTTGAGGGGTGGATGCGGAGGGACGGGAGGCAGACCTTGCACCGGTTTGGCTGTTGCAGGTGGCACGGTGAATAGGCCAGTGAGCGGTCTGGCAGACTCGACCGCAATACTTGATCTCAGGGCACCGGACGCAGTGCTTCAGCTTGACCTCGGGGGCCGTCTTTGAGCAGCTTGCGCAGGCAGGGGAAGAAGTCATGATGCTTCGAGGTTGATTTTTCGTAGCTTAGGGTTAGAATGAAGGGGGATGCCCTAGCTAAATGAAAAATTCACATTATCACACTTGTTTTATACTTGCATACAGTATACTGTAAACCTGAGCATCGTAGGAGTTAAAGGAGAAACATTACCCCGGCACGTCAGGCGTTGTTGCCGTCCCCGCTAAAAACTGCCCAAAGTGGCCACAGGCCATGATTATCTGTCCAGAACGGAGATATACTTTGGGTGGCATCACTTGAATCCCTACAGCGCAAACATTTCAATTTCTCCCACCTGCCGCTCATTTTCGCCCCCCAAGTTCGCGCGACAATTCTGCAACACCCGAAACCCCGAGTCAGTAAATTTTCCTCCGTCCGCCCAACCTCGACATACCGACTCTCACGGGCTCCCCCCCTCCCCCCCTGCATCGACCGCAATCGCGATACACCACACGACGTCAACAGCAGCAGCACCACCACACCGCCGTCATGTTCAGCATTGACTGGAAGGGGCTCGCGCTACCCTTTGCGTACCTCATGGTTCTGAGCGGCGCCCTCATGACCTTTTCCCAACCTCGCTCTTCGCGCCGCGCCATGCGAGAGTAGAAACAGAAAAGATCGAAAGAAACATGCTAACATGCAATTTGATCCTCCCCGACGCGCAGCCGAGAGCGCAAACCTCGCACCCTGGTTCGGCCCCAACCTCCAGCGCAACGTGTACATGTCGCTCCTCCACGCAGAGCCCGCGGAGGGCAGCCAAGGCCCCGCCGTCCCCGAGAGCGTGCTCAAGGCCGCGCTCGTCCGCCGCGCCGTCGAGGACATCCAGCGCCTCATCCAGATCAAGACGGCCAAGCAGGCGTGCAGCTCCCTGCTGCAGCGCGGCAGCGTCGGCGATGACCTGTGGCAGCGCTTCCAGCGCGCCGAGCGCGAGATGGAGGATGAGCTGCGCGATGTCGTCACCGAGGTGCGTTTTTTTTTTGGTTCCTCGCTTTCGCTCGAGGCGGGCGGGAGAAAGACCAACACCCCCGATGCCGGGGCAAGGAACATTTGCTGACCGAGACTCTTTTGCATAGGCCAACGCGCTCGCGCCCAACTGGGGCCACGCCATCTTCCAGTCCGCGCACGAGATCGCCTCCAACACCAAGCTCCGCGAGAGCCTCGCCGAGATCGAGACCCAGGCCGCCTCCGAGAAGGCCTGGTGGGAGAAGCGCCGCGGCCAGATCCAGTCCGCCTTCATCCGCGAGCTCGACCAGGAATCCACCATCGCTGCCGACGCCAAGCAGCAGCCCAAGGCGGCCGCCGCCAAGGCTGGCAGCAGCACTGTCGCGAGCGAAGATGAGGCCGTGCTGGTGGATGCGCCGGCGGCTAAGAGCGGCGGGAACTAGAAGCGCCCCCCGCGCAAGGCCGGGCGCGGCCGCCAGCGTCACAACGGCGGAGGAGGAGCGGCGGGTGGTAGCACGGCAAGCAGCAGCAGCAGCGGCGGCGGCGGCAGTAGTAGCAAGGACAGCGGATGATGACCTGCGAACGTGCGGGGAAGGGAGGGGAGCAAGAGGTGGTGCATTTGCAAAATACATACACACAGAGATGGGAGTCTTGGGCGTACAACATCTTCGTCTTTTTCTTGTTTCGTTTCGTTTTTGTTTGTTTTCTTCTACATGTGTTCATGTTTGCGTAGGGATGCTGGGTTAGAAAAATACAGATAAGGGTAATGATGATATCCTCGCTCCCCGTTTACTCACTTCTCTTCGTGGTTCTTTGACTTCTCTTCGTGGTTCTTTGATCACTTCTCTTCATGGTCCTTTGTTTGTGATTTTTTGCATTTGTGTAGTGGTAGTATATACTATCTATGCGTGGGTACATCATCAATGGGCTGTTAAAACAAGATTGCTTCCAAAGAGAAGCATGCCAGAAGCAAATGCTGCCGAAAAATAAAGAAAAACAACAAAGCAAGAAAAGGCAAAAAGAAGTATCAAAGCTCGCTAAAAGTCAAGAAAAAATCAAAAGGCTCCTCCTGACACTTGGGTGTCGAATTGCCTGTAGACGCCGAATGGTTGCTCTCTGATGCTGCGACCAATATTCTAAAAGGATGTACTCGGGAAAAAAGAGAACCGAAGCCAAGCCCAAAAAAAAGAAGAAAGCAGAAGCAAAAAGGCACAAATGTTCAACATATGTGTGTATGAATGTTCGGTATGCTGATGATCATGTACATGGACATGTATGTAAATCACCGCGGAAAGGGGCCAGGGGCCGTCTTTCTCCGCAGGGCCTCGTCATCGGCGGCCAGGCGGGCGAGTCTCGCCTCGCGGGCAATGTCATCCTCGGTCTTGAAGAAGGCAGCCGGGGGGACCGGGGCCTCGACGACGGGGGACTCGCAACCGCGGAGGCCGATGAAGCGGCCCATGCGGCGACGCTTGCACTCGAGCGGCGCGTCGGAGCGCCAGCGGACGGGGCACGGGTACTGTGCGGCCCAGGGGGAGGGTTGCCCGCTGGGGGTGACGGTCTGGTGGTAGAAGGATGCGAGGGCCTCGAGCTGGGAGTCGGTGAGGAGCCAGAACTGAAGAACGTTGGTGGGGAAGTCGGGGTGGACGGCGCCGGTGGTGAGCTGGACGAGTGGGCTGAGGGGCAGGGCCATCTGGTGCAGCTTGTGGGCGAGGGCCGGGTTGCGGGCGAGAAGAGTACTCGTTTTAGCAGCGTGAGGGCCACAGGGTCGGCGGATGGAGGCGGAGGCAGCGCCGTGCGAAGCGTGCCGGCATGAGGCACGGCGGCGGTTGCGGCGGAGGTGGATGGGCGAGGAGGAAGAGCCAGTAGAGGTCGTGGAGGCGGATGTGGTTGATGTCGTCGTTGTTGACGAGGCGGTGGAGGATGTGGAAGTAGGAGTAGTGGTGGAGGACGCAGAATGCTGCGAGGAGAATTCACGACGCATCATTGTGGCGGTGATGGCTGTGGTTGTGGTGGTGAAGGTGAAGGTGGTGGTGGTGCGTGTAAGTGAGCCTGAGGGAAAGGCTGGGGCGAAGCGGACGGCGTGAGACTGCAAGATGGCGAGCGATGAGGAATGGAATTTCGAGATGGCAGGAGGGAGGAAAAAGGAAGCGAGTTGGAGGTCGACGGGATGATGGAGGGTTTTAATGACGGATCGAGTCAGAAAGGGCCAAAAAAAAAAGTGTTGCAAATAGAGAGAGGGCTTGGCTTTCCGATTGCGGGAGTGGAGATTTGGGTTGTGGTGGTGTGTCTGAGCTGAGTGTCGGAGGGTGAGGTTTTGGCTGTTGAAAACGGGTTGGCGGCGGGTCGAGTTAATATATCAACGCGAGCGTCTTGTGACCAGGGGGGGAAGTTTAAAAAATGAAAAATATCCCGACGGCTGTGGAATTTTCTGCTTGCGAGTTGAATTTTTGTTTTGAAAATTTGACCAAGGGTTGAAAGTCGGTAAAAGAAACCAGTGCCCTGTAACTACTAGGTGGACGGACGACACAAGGACGGACGGCTGGATGCGTGCTGTAGCGGGGTGCTGCGTCGGGAGACTGCCTCGAGGTGGTTGTTGGAGGAGAATGCCCAAGGACGTCGGTGAAGAAAATGGAACAGAAAAGAGGAGTGAAAACAAAAGAAGCAGCCTTTGTTTCTTGTTGAGCCCCCTTCTATTTAAATTCTTCTTCTGCTTGTAGTTGCCTTTGACCGCGGAGCTGGATGAATGCTTGCGTTTGTTGTCGGACAAAGCGATGTCAGTAGCCGCTGGCGGATTTAGTGGCGCGAGGTAGTGAGGAATCGGTTCAACTTTGTTGTCGGCGAATGCGGCGGAACAAGGACGTTTGAAAAATGCCCGAGGGGTAGAAGAGATAGCTCAATGTCCAAGGTTAAAACGCAAACAATGTGCAAGTCAAGAGAAACGAGAAAATGTTTCGACGTCGAGACCAGAAACGGAAACAGGTCAAGTGCGGGTTGCCAGGAGGTGAGGAGGGGGTGGGTGAGGTGAGGGTTGTGGGTGAGCAGCGAGCAAATGTGGTGGTGAGGTGTTGTTGCGGTGTGTTTGAAACAAACGGAGAGAATACCAGCCGGTACCAGGAGAGCGAAGACGGAATGTCAAGTATGGAAGAAAGGTATTGTAGTTAACTACCGGCAAGAGGGCAAGAGGAGAATGGAAAGAAGGGGGGACAAGAAGGAGGGGGGGTGAGAACGGGTTAAGAATGTTTGGAGATGATGGAGCGGGAGGTGTTTTCAGTGAGGGAAGAAAGCGTCTGTGTCTGTGTCTGTGTCTGTGTCTGTGTTGTGTCTGTGTTGTGTTGTGTGTCTCTGGACCAGACAAGTCAGTGAGTGGGCTGTGACAGTGGACGACGACAGTGGACTGACCAGTAAACCGTGGTCTGTGTGAGTTGTCTGTCTGTCTGTCTGTCTGTCTGTCTGTCTGTCTGTCTGTCTGTCCGTCCGCCTGCCTGCCTGCCTGTCTTGTCCGTCACGGGGGGGTGTAAAACAAGGTTCAAGCGCTGAATCAAAAAAGCATGACAAGGCAAGGCAAGGCGAACGTCTACCGTGGACCCTGTTCGTTGGGCTGGCCAGGTGGAAGTGGAGGAGGCGGGGGAGGGAGTTGGTGATGGGAGAAGGGAGGGGGTGGACATAAAAAGAGAAAGGACCAGTTGGAGGACGAGAAGAAGTCGAAAAGAAGATTCGGTTGCAGATATGACGAGGCGAGAACAATGGGACCGGGGTATGGGTATTGGATGGATGGATGGTGAAGGATGGGGGTGAGAATGGAAATGGCTGGTCTATTTTTTAGGGGAGACGGAGTAGGCATAGCAATAACTTGGTACGCGGATTACTCCATTCAGAGGAAAGCCGTCCGAGCAAAAGAAGACGCTAATAATATAAAAAGGCTTGGGCGGATAATATGGCCTCTCCTCCGGCCTCCCTGCTAGGCCTGGTCAATTGGCAAGGTAAAAGTACTGGTTGCAGTCGGGTTTGTATCCACAGAGCAGGCTGGTGCCGGTGCCGGTGCTGGTGCTTCGAGACGTTGATACGTGGGAACTGCTTTATTACTGGTTTATATTTTTTTCTTTCGTCCATCTTTCAAGACATTTGTCCACGCACTTGCGCAGACAAGAACCGAGCCTGATTGACTCGTAATGCAAGACAATGACACTTGGGCTGGGCTTGTGCACCACCCACACACACACACACACACACACACACCGTATGGAGAAATACATACAGGCAGCACACACCAGCCCCAGCTGGGACGCCACAGCGGGCTCTCAGCAGCCAAGCATCAGGCGAGGCTAGTAAATTTCCTTTTTACAGGTCATCGAACTTTTACGGCGGCTGGGGCACCGAGCTACAGCGGACAGTGGGCCTCTGCCACGCTACCGATAGCGCTGACGACAAAAGTCACCAGCCTTTTCTTTAGCAGTTCTGCCAGTAATAATAGCGCTAATGGGTACAGATGGAGGCCGTTCCCAGCCTCAACGCTGCAATCTGCCATCATCATTAACAAGCCACCTGTATTCCCCGCCACGATGGCCTCTTGTTCATTTCTCACCATGATATTATATTCAATAGCGGCCCTTCTTTCTCACGATAGCTCCGCTGCCGTATACGGATGGATGTATGCTTTTCCTCCTTGCATAGCTACATCAGTAGTTACACGCACATGCACGCGCACGCACATCTAATACACATGCTCTGTCCTCGTGGCCATTCGTCTGCAAGTCTCACTCACTCACCCATTCGTTCGTTCATTTACTCATTCGGTTTCATTCATCGAATGTATAAAACACGCCATCGTCCTGCCTAGCTACCGACTGTATGCAGGACGCTTCTCATCACCCTCTGTACAGAGTAGCATCTCATTCTTCCTAGATCCAACAGCCCGTATCCATTCCCTGCCTCCTCTCCTGCCCTTTGCCCTCTGCCTCTGCGCCACATCTCCGCCAGTTCATGCACGCCAGTCCTCCAGCGAGCACGGATGCACACCATAATACCCAAGCTCATATTGTGTGTGAATGATCATGCGTAGTACATTGTCTACGATGCCAACTGCATCACATTCTCTTTTATACACGTCTGTGTGTTCATAATCTCATAATCTTCTCTTTCTGTTCTCTCTCTCCTGCTCACTTGTGCTTCGTCTTTCTCTTCCTCTTAGCTCGTTCTTTTTTTTTTCGCGATGGTTTCTTTTTCCTTGTTTCATCGCCCCCTCACTCACTCACATAAGAATACTGTCTCCTCCAAAGCTAGCCCTCACGCCAACCACCTTATCCAACTCACTCTTCACAACCACCTCTTATCCCATCCCCATCCCCTCGCCTAGTTATCCACATCAATGGCTCATAAGCAAGTGGGCCGTCGATCCCATGTCCTTGCTCCTCTTCGCCTCGAGTCCTCACTCATGCCGGTCGTTACGGATGCTGGTATCCTCTCACTGGCCTTGCGGCCGTGCTCAGTTAAAACGTGTTGGGGGCCGCGCATCATACCATCCGTCCATCCAGCCAACCATCCATTCTCCCGCCACCGCCTGCTGCAAGTCAACTACCAATCATGTGATTGCGACTCTGCAGCGCGACTCTACGAATAGTCACCAAATGGAATCTCATGTCCTTTTGACTGCTCAGCTATTTGAACCTGCTGGACCTTGTCACACCCTGTTGGAACGAGATCCAATAACGGAAAATCGTCCTTCATTTCCACAATGGACAAATATAGAAACAAACGGGTAGATTACACACACAACGACCACATCACCACCCCCGGCGCACTCGGCAAATATCCCTTCCAAGACATTCTGGACAGACCGAGGCTGCTGCTAAAACTGTTAGTTGGCCGCGCGCGCTAGTTAAAAAGTTCTGGCTGATTGATTCTCAAGAGCAGCAGAAAAAGCAGGGAAGGGGAGAATCGGCAGCAAGTCATGGTGAGACATTTCGGTGGTCCTCGTCGGGCTCTTGCACCTAAACCGGCCACTGCCAATCCCAAGCTACTGACTAGATGCCATGGGTTTCTCCGTTGAATGCTAAGTAAAACCATCTCCGTCAGAAAAAAGAACAGGAAAAGAAAAGAAAGCTAGCTATCGAAGCCGCCAGGTTTTAGATGGAAGCCTCTTCTCCGCAGGCTAACACCCGACCATCATCAATCTCCGAATCACCAACAAGCATCAAGTCGCATTGTCTCTTGTTGCGACCCGGGCACGGGCTTTTACTTGATACCGGTCCGAATCAAATCTACGAGCCGCCTGCACCTTCTCTTGCAATCTTACATGAATATCCGCAATGTGGGCAGCCACATGGTCATTAGCCGGGGCAAGGGGGTGGGGAGGAGGAGAAAGACGTTGCCCAATTCACACACACATCACAGTCTCTGTCTCATCACCCACGAAAAGAGCCGCCGACTTGTGTGGCAGCCCACGCTTTTCGAGATGGCCATTCATGAGCCTGCGCTTCGCATGCCAAGTGCATGTTGAGATATACCGTCACCCACACCACACCCTTTCTCCCCCCTGCTCCATTGTTCTCTTCGGCTAGAAGCCGCAAAATGCGTATACGCCTAGGGTGTGTGCAGATTCCCACAACGCCCAAAAGTCCCTCTCCAGTTCTGAACGTGCATGTCCGATCCCGTAGGCCCTGCCCATTTTTGACGATGCAAGAAAGAAGTCACAACGGCCGCATGCTGATGACTGACACGACCGTACCTTTTTGGGACGCACAAGAAAAAACAATCTCAGTTGAGTAGCGTACAGATGTAACGCTGTCCGGGTTTTGTTTCCCGTGCTTGTGCGTTGTCGGGCTTATGAGATGGTGACACACACAAGCGCGCACACACCAAGGAGGAATTCTCAGCCTGTCACTTGGGGGCTTGGGGGCAGCACCGGCGAGGCCCGGCGCACCGGCTCCGGGTTTCTGGATTGGTGAGCACAGTTTGTCTCAAGCCGGGCGTCGTCCGCCGCCGGGCGCCTTCAGTATACGTCGTGGTGAGTCAAAAGGGCAGCCTAACCAGTTGACGAGTTAGTTCAGAACAATAATGGAAAATAGATCAAAATAAAATAAAATAAAACGAAATAAAACGGAAGCGAGTAAGTAATTAATATCTCCAACTAAAAGTCTTCATTTACCGCCAAATACAACCTAGTCCCATGTTTCTCGATAAAACACACTACTGTCAACTTACAACATCGGTCGTCGGCTTCTTCATTTCCTTTTGGTTCCGCCGCTCCTTCTCGGCCGCCTTGCCCTTTCGATACCGAGGCCTTTACGACATGCCTTTCTTGGGGCTGGGCTAGGCTGGGGGGCATCACCTCACCTCAGCCCCAGCGCCTGCTGCTTGCGAGCGAGTGGCTCTCTCGGGCTCCCAAATGTCTCACTATCTGTCTGCGTCCGTCGCAAAAAAAAAGGACAAAAAGATCACCGCCGCCGCCGCCGAGCCCCCTCCAAAGCCCACATCCTGCCTGCTGTTTTCGTCGTGGCCTTGTTCACTTATTCAACTACAAAAGTTCTCGTAGAGAGAGAGCACGGATGTACTCCGAAACTTGCAAAAGGGACGGCAAGAACGGAGTAACACTTGGTGATGTGATAGATGAGAGGAGAGGGATTTGCGTTGCGCATTGTCCGGCAGAGCAATAACCACTCTTGACCTCCTCGTATAGCTAAAAGGTAACTAACTGTACTACGATCTCCTCGGGAACCCCCCCTCCCCTCCCCTCCTGGGCGGCTAGTCGCTTGCATCCAGCCAGCACCGGCACATCTTCCTTCTGATGCCGTCGTCTCGTTGGTAGGACGAGACCTTTGTGCAGTAGTTGCACTCTTTCATTATTAGGGGGACCATGAGTTGCATGCACATCATGTGCTTCTCCCGACGCTGCAGGTGACGTGCTCTTGTGCCCAGCTTCCGGCCATTGTAACCCCCGCGACCCCTTGCATAAAAAAAAATTGAAGCCCATTGTTCAACTCTTGTCGGCCAAGGTACATAGGTCCCCTCGTCCCCTCGTGACGATGGGCTACGTGGCAAAAGCGAGCGCGCCCAGCTTCTGCAGTAGCGGTGGGAAAAAAAAAATAAAGATGAACCAAGACAAAACTTGCCAACGCAAGCCACTTGTGACCCCGTACTTTCCACACAAACTTGCTGTCACCACGAGGCTTTTCTTGTGTCTTTCTCATCGTGCTCTACCCTCACTGGTTCCGAGATTCACTAGCTCCGGCGGCTGGAATGTGGAGTTTGATAGTTGAATTTACTGAAACCAACAACATTGGCGCTCTTATTGGATGCAGCCACGCGCGCTGACGTCGAGAGTTTTTTTCTACTTTTCTTCTATTTTTAAAGAAAAAGAAAGAAAAAAGGAAACCAATTAGATGCCCGTCTACTCCGTACAGATTACTCTCACCTCAAAGAAAACACATGTGAGGTCCAACTTCCCGCAGGCCCTGCTACCGAACCATAATTACCCTTAAACCCCCCCCC